TCGTTTCGTCCTATTTTGGGACTTTTCAGCAATGTGTTCCGACAGGGATCACAACGTGGGACTTTCAGATTACCAGGCTAAGCTCGTCGACCATTCAGTCAACTGGGCTAGAATTCAATGGTCAGTGAATTATAACTCTATTAACTCATGATATAACGCTACCCTCAACTAGGGCCTTCAATGTGCATCCCTCTCTCTGCCTTGACATAGTGGACCCCAATGCTCACGACTTCTCACTATAGCCTCAAAACATTCATCCAGCAGCCATTATTGAGTCAGGGATCGATATTTAGATTATGGAATTTGTGACGATTTGGATTAATTTAATTTAAATTGTTAGATTTCGTCAGGAATTAACGTCAATTTCGACAGATCATTGAAAACAAGAAGGAAGCACTGGAACAACTGTTTCGTCCTATATTGGAATTCTTCGGTAGTGAGCACCCACAACTCTAAATGGATCACATCTAGGACCTTTTTTAATGGTAGAAGACGACAGACTTGGTAAAGGAATATTTATGTGCAATTTAGTATATCTATATGGACTGACTGACTGGTTTCAAAACATAGAACTTTGCACCGATGTGCACCAGTTCAAGTCGCCACATTCCATGTAGTACGCAAAGCAAGAGATGAAAGTAGAGGAAATGCATATTAGAGACAGTAGACAGGGATATGAGACAAAGGAATAGTAATATCGAAGAACAATATAGTTTCATTGAAAATTATAAGTCACAAGGAGTGGATGCATCTGCGCTATTAATTGAGAACGATTTTGAGCCATATCACCAGCTGTCTCCGGCTGCTGGTGTTCACCGTCCCGAGGACCCCAACCAAGAAGTCTAAAACTTTCTATGTGGCCTAAACTAACTGTTTTGGATTTCATTGATTGATGACGCCATGTTTTCGTTTGACCACAACTAGCGGCTCTTTTCCAACCTTTTCCTATGTCAATCAGCTAACATTGCCCATCGGAGAAGGTGATGGCTAGACATGCATGCGTAACACATGTCCTAACCATCTCAATCGATGTAACTTCACAGCCTTGTCTATTGATTTCCCCTCCTTTCCTACCACTTGACCGAAGCTTAACCTCAATATTGCTCACCCTATTGTACCACTTCACACGGGAGATATAACGCAGACAGCTAAGATCAAAGGCAACTAACCTGCCTTTTCGTGTCTTCCGCTATCAATGAACATGCCTCACAGCATAAATGAGGACGGAGTGGACTGCTGAGCAATACACACGTCGTCCTTTGGTCGACAGCCATCTGGATATCACGTCTACGTCAGAGACGACGTAAACTGACATTCTGTCAGCAATCAGTCCGTTGGGGGGGGGGGGTTGGCTGATGCAACTTCCCAAATAAGTGAAGTGGTCAACATGCTCAGAACACCATTTCACTCCCTATTTCTAAGCTAGGAGTCAGTGTAGTCCAGTCCTGTTGCATCATCTTACATTTCATAGGAGTGAATCGCAAGTCAAACATTCGAAGACTACCTTCTGGTTAAGGTGTTCAGAAGACTGCATATTGTTGGCGTCTTCACCTTAAATGACTATATCATCTGCATATTCTAAGTCAACGAAATTATTCCCTGGTAACAAGTCAATCCCTGAGTCGCTGAATCCAGTTAGGGTTACGTGCATTGGAACATCTATGATGGATGCATTCCTGACGGACACCACTAGTTGCCAACACTTTAGATGACAACTCTCAGTAGGCTGTCACCTGGATGTATGAGTAGGGAGTCTTGAACAGTGAGATGTGTTTCCTCGGCATTCCTTTTACAGCCAAGCATCGCCACAGTACCTCTCGGTCGACCGAGTCGAATGCCGCCTTCAGATCAAGAAAAATAACGACTGTTGGACGCCATCGGTATGCCTACGTTCGAGAATCTGTCGAAGGGTGAAGATATGATCAATAGACCCTCTCCCTGGTCTAAAGCCTGCCTGGTCCTCTCGAGTTTGTGTCTCGTGAGAACCACTCAGTCTACGAAGTATTATTGAGTCTAGAACTTTAGATACCATATAAGTCAAGCTAATCCCCCTGTGATCATCACAGGAAGACTTGTCTCCCTTCTTGTATATCGGATAATCAATGACTTACACCAACCCGATGGGACTTACTCTGATTCCCAGACTACGCCTAATACCTTAGTTAACGCAGACAGCAAAATGTCTCCACCGTACTTAAATATCTCTGGAGTCATTCCATCAGGTCCCACTGCTTTGCCTCGTTTCAGACTAGTGACAGTCTTAGTGACCTCAGTTAGGGGCGGAGGACCTGTGTTTATATCCCATCCCATTCAGGGAGGTGTTGAATTTTCGGCAGGTTAGGCGTGGCTGCAGGCCAACCTAACTGCTCCTTATAGTGTTCTTTCCAGCGTTACAGTCGTCTTTCCTGGGAGCTAATTATGGTGTAGTTTCTCCCCGAGATTGTTTCACTTATCGTCTGCCTTTTACAACCTGTTTCCCTGATAAGTCTAAATAGTTGTCTGGTGTTACCAATCGTCGATGCCTTTTCCATCTCTTTTGATTTTGTCGCCCACTACTGTTCACGGTTGTTACAAAGACTTTTTGTTATTTTGCGTTTGAGCAGCTTTCGCTCCTCATCATATTCGAAGCTCGCCGGAATTAGTCTTCTTGCGTCAATCAGTTAGGATGAGGTAGTAGAAATCCACTGGCTCTTACTACCTTTAGGTATCAGGTTATTAACAGCTTTTACAACTGTGTCTACAGCTAACTGTATGTTGTGCCAGGCTACCTCAGGGGAAGTCCTGCTGTCGATCTCAGATACTCATTTCGCTATTTCTTCGTTAAATAGGGACTCAGAGTCTCAATCTAGCTGGGGACCTAACTGTTTCGCTGCCATTAGTTTCTTATGTCCATTTAGTCGTAAGCATAAACGTGCGCAAACCAGAGCTTGCTCGGAGTCTACACACGAATTGTAGAAGGATCGGTAGTCTTCAACTGACCCTCACCAACGATACCCTATAGCTATGTGGTCTATCTGAGTCCAGCGTTGATTTGGTGATGGAGGTCGCCACGTTATGAGGTGTCTCTTTGTGCCTAAAGTTAGTGCTGACTTGAAACAGATGATTATCTGAACAGAGCTGTAGAAGACGACCACCATTTTCGGTTCGTCAGCAGGGAACTCCATGCGTACGTGCCACCTACATACTTCTCAGTCTGGCACATCTTCCCTACTTGGGCATTGAAGTCGCCCGCTAAAACAACTATATCTGAAGGTTTTGTTTTTTGTAGCAAGTTAGACAATTTCAGGTAGAGGTCATCCTTTAGTTCATCCAGACTACAGTCTGTTGGGGCGTAAGCGGAGACTACAAAAAGACAACGAAAGGTAGCGCCGTCCTTTCTTCTTCTAAAGGACCCGTTCATACGGACTGCACACATACAACTATCTACTGGGATCTAGTCAAGAAGGGATTTTTCTGCCCTAACACTCAGTGCTATCCCTATACCTGCGAGTCCTCGCGAACTAGCTGAGGGGTCTCCCGACACCCCTAAAGTGAATTTTGCAGCTTCACCTTGTTGACCAGGTGAGGTTAAGTGAATGACCATACCCGGGTCTTGTATGTGTGTCTCCGAAACACAACATACATCCATGACTCGAGATGCCAGAGTTCTTGCTAGTGATGCCTGTTGTCCGATTTGGCTGAGGCTCTGGACGTTTAATACTCCCATATGAAGTTTGCGAGGTAGCTTTAAGAGGCTGTCGGGGGTGCTTCTATGGCTCATGCTTGTTTGTGGCCACAGAGTGAAGTGAAGATGCCTCACTAGCATGAAGTATAGTACCTAATGTAGTGGGGGAATAAGATGATGGTGATGTGGGTAAAGGAGAATGATGCTCAGGAAGGCTTCGTGTGTTCTTGGAAGTGTGTGGTTGTTACTTCCTGGCTGTCCACACTGAGGAAGTTGATTGTTTCTTCGGGTAACTGAAACATAAAGAGTTAGCGTTGCGTGACCGGAGAGCCCAGGAGACAACTACTTGAGATCGGTCACACACGACCTGTATGAACTGTTTTCTGGGATTTTTTTTTCCTTTCCTTCACGCTCCTCAGTGGAACATAGGGCTTCAAGCTAGTGGCTTGAAGTTTCTGTAGCAGTGTTTATTTTTACAGGATGGGGTTGCTAGCCACATGCTCAACCTTTCCTCTTCACCAGCATTATTTCTGGCTTAGCGAGGTAAAGGAGTGCGTTGGCGGCCGGGGATCGAACCCCGTACCATGTGCATGGTCGGCGAGCGTCCTAACTGCTATGCCACCGACGCGACGTTTTCTGGGATTGGTTCCGTATTAATAAACTTACCACCGGTTGCAGACCACCGTAGGGTAAGTCGGGATGCACAATTGTTGGGGTCGACCTTTTCTACTCCCCTTCCTCCAGAGTGGAGAGACAGCATAGTTGGCATGCTGATCATCTGAGGGAAACACCTTATTGTTGTAACATCTCTGTTCTCCAGCAGTACGTCTTCGTCCACAGACCCCCAGCATAGTGTAAAAAAATTCTTAAACAATGCCTGTAACCGCTTTTAGTCTAATCGCTATCCTAACAACCTTACTGGCATGGCAGCACCTGCAGGAGCAATAGTTCCAGCCAGTGTAGTTTGTTGGGTCATTGAGATATATGCAAGCCCGACCACCACGTCAATCTAGCAGCTATCGGTCGGGATCTCTATATAGCCAAATTATGTACACCTTATCTTCAACGCACCATTTGCACAAATCTTCACTACTTCCGGCCTTCCTTCATATTGTGCTTCTTTGCGTTCCTTTCATGTCTCTCATGTATCTCCACAATGCTGTATCATTTGCTTTCTCTGATATCAAATCTATCTCACTGCTATATGTGATGTTTTTTATGCCAATGAAAATCTCTTTACATAGATATATATACATACTACTGATAAATCTTATCAGTAGCACACACCATACTTTGACCATTCCACCAGTTTAAAATAAAACACACAAGGACAAATGATGATTCATTTCATTTTATTCATCATTCAAATGAGTTTAGGAATTAAATAATTAACCAGGTAGAGAGAGAATTGGTTATCAAAAATATACGCACAAACACACACACACACACTCACACAAACAAACAAACAAACAGGAGAATAATCACTGTTAAATGCATAATCCTTATAACAAGATCATGAACAAAATATAACAAACAAAACTAAATAATTAATAATAATAATATAAAGATTAAATATCTAAAACAGACCAATGAATGAACAAAGCAACAAAAAATGAAAACAAACAAACTTGGAATTAGTAAATAAATAAATAAATAAATCAACATTTTCAAATAGTGTAAAAATCACTTCATAGAAAATAAATATGAAGGTAATGAAAAGAAAAAAAGAAGAAATTGACGACAACAAGAATGTATTGATATACACGAATACATAATACGCACATAGATAGAGATTTTAATTAACCACAGCAAACAATATCACACATAGCGTATACAAATAGAGTAATGATGAGAAAGGAGTATGATCGCGCCTGCTTAAATCATCATGCATTAAAAAAATCTCTTTTAGCATTTCATATTGTTTTTTTTAATCATGCAGTTCACATCAGCTGATCGCCATGTGAACTCGCGCACCTGTTTAGTTAACTTTCATCGAAACACTGAGCAATTCTTGAAGAGAATGAAGATAAAAAAAGTGTACAGAATCGGTTCTGTGTTCTGTTCATAGGGAACAACACTGTATCGTGTGCCCTGCCTCAGATTATTACTTTACATGTAAATCCTGTACGAAGATGAAATATTTTTGGAAAGCTGGAGACCTCTGATTACTATGTGTTCACATACTGTCTGAAATAAAGCCTTATTATTACTACTACTTCTGAGGGTGTGTAGACGGTACAACCACCACACCAACATATGCATGTATAAAATTGTATCAATAAAAAAAAATATATGAAAATAATGCCCAATGGAGAAGAAAGAAAAGAAGAAAGCAGAGAAGAGAGATTCAATTGTGTATGTATGAAGAGCACAGCCATGTGTTGTTTTATTGCATCATCATAGATTACTTGACTACTGTTGTTATAAAAACTTGTTGTTTAACTATTGTATACAATTGATGAAATATAGAATAATTATTATCAAAGTGTTCTGTACTATTATCATTATTATTATTATCACTGGGACAGGAATTTTCTTTGCTACTACTACTACTACTCCTATTATTATTATTATTGTTAGTAGTATCACAGCTATCACCGAGTGTTGTATCACAATGATCTTTAATCATAGCAAGGAAATGATCCCGTTCAGCTTGACGTTGATTTGCCAGACTTTCTGATTCCAACATCGATAAAGGTCTCAACAGGCCATCAGTAACAAAATGATAAGCTGATATGCATAAAAGATCATTTAAGCATACATTTGTAGTCGGATTACAACTCAGGGATTTATCAATATTTGTATACCATGAATTAGTTGACTCAGAATTGGATAATTTATATGTATAGCATAAATGCAATCTGACATAAAAATTGGTTAAGGAAATATAATCATAGATTATTTAAAGAAAAAAACGAATCAATTCTAAAATGACAATATTACATAGAATAGGTGACATCACCTTACACCAAGTATACCGAAATATCTTGTTGAATTCAGTAAAAATGTAATGTGATCAGTTAGAGAACCCCTGATAACAAATAAAGCAACCGACAGTTGTTTTGTTCTGATTTAAGACTCGTCAACTGTATGTGCTCACAGTTTCACTAGCTTAGAAAGCGAAAACACTTATTGTTCACTCATTCATTCGGATGAATTCCAGTAGATTTATTAATTATAACTTCTGTCAGTTGGCAACATTAGTGTACTTGCTTCCCATTGAAGTGCCTACTGAAGAGTCCCAAAGTATGACGAAAGTGTTATTCACTGGCTTCACGATTTACAATAGTAACTGTAGACATTTATTTAAATTGCATTTTAATCACTCTTTTTTTGTCTCTGGATTTATTTTATTCTAATCGTCCACTTATTTATATCATGAGAAATTTTCATCGGTTGACGAAAACTTCTTTTAACTTATTCAGAAAACACAGTGTTTTTCCTAAATTGTTATTAACATTACAGTTCTACACATGTTAAGTGTCGGTTTGCAGGGATTTGACTGGTTACTACAGGATTTCATCATGAGCTGACATCAGTTAGAGAACTTGACGGTTGTTTCGTCCTGGTTTGGGACTCTTCAACAGTACGCACCTACCGGGATTTGAACTCACGACCGTCCGGTTACAAGGCGATGTCTTAGATCATTGAGTCACTGGGAAATATTAGATCAATAGAGAAGGGAAATTCAACATTACACTGATAAATGTAAGAGTGCAAATTTAAACACTGTGGTAGAATATAATTCCACATTAGTAACTTGAATATTCCCATAATTTATTCAAAAAAGAGTAGTTAGAGCGAACAATTGTGGCCTTAATAAATTCTTCGTCAGGCTCTACAGTTATAAATCCATTAATTTAAGCCAACCAGTAAAGGCAAATTAGAATCATATCAGAAATGTGTATTGTGGAACAAGTATAAGTAAGATGGATGGGATGGAACAATAGTCCTCCACATACGTTAGGACTTTAAATTCCTACCACAATTTTCTTTTCTTCTTCTTCTTCTTCTCCTATTCCTTTGTTTCGTTGACAAATGTTCATTTTCGACTTTTTATGATTTCATGACCTTTCTTATGATCTTATTAGCCTAAGTTCAAATAGTGCTTTTCTGACTTGTTATCGTATTGACAAAATTTTGTTCATTTCACTTCACTAAATTCATTATTATTTGACAATCATTTTCCAATAGTACTTTTATATTTACACCACATCATCGCTATTATTATTTTACAATCATTACTATTGTCGTTATTTTCAACCTTGAACTTATGTCTCGTCCGTCCCATTCGTTGGTTTATTTTCTGTAGTATTCGTATTGTCTCACACCCTGATTACACACACTCTCGAAACCTGTATTTCCTGTTGACTATATTTATATATATACAAACATATCATTAAATTAAATAGGATTTTATCTGATGTTCTCATTGACCATGCATATTCAAAACTAATTGACTATTGTTCCATCCCATCTTACTTATAATTGTTCCACAATACACATTTCTGATATGATTGTAATTTGCCTTTACTGGCTGGCTATTGTATGCTTAAATTAATGGATTTATAATTGTAGAGCCTGAAGAAGAATTCATTGAAACCACAATTGTTCGCTCTAACTATTTTGTTCTGAATTCCATATTAGATAAGTTTATTTGATACATAACACATAGTGATACAGTATTAATAATTGCATGATGTTTTGAGCACAATTCATTGCTCATGGTCTCGTTATCAGTAAGTAGTGTCACACGGATTCTTAATTTACTTCAAATATATTTTCCTCCTCGCCCCCCCCCCCCTTGTTGTTGATTGCAATTTACCAAATATCCGGTATAAACGTTAAGTCATTGCGATTCCACATTTTTTTGTTTTGGTGTTGAGTCGTTGAACAAACATTTGTCTTAAAGATGAGAAAAATAGTATTATTATTGTTTCCTTTAATTCCTAGAGGAACACAGGGCTTCAGTCGTGCGTCTCCATTGCCTTCGGTTCTCTGCTAGAGTCTTCACCTGGCTCCAAGTCTGCCCACACGTTTTCATCTCCTCTTCACATGACCTCCTACAAGTCACCCTCACCCTTGCACTGACGACCAACTCGCCGCTTCCCTTTCGGGTTCCACTTGAGCAATGGCTTGTCTAGTGATGTCACTTGATGATTTGTTTCTTCAGAATATGGCCAGCCAATCCATCTCCATTTCTTCCTGCCTATTTCTTTCACAATCGGTTCCTGGTGGGTTGGTTCGCTCTTTGCCAGAGATCCCTCTCTGTTGCTGATCTTTTCTGGCCGGCCATCTGATCTTGAGTGAAGTATTGAGCGAAGACAACTGTTAATGAAGGTCTGTAGTTTGTTTGAGATGCTCTTTATGACGCGCAGTGCAAGTCTCTGATCCGTATAGTGAGTAGCACTGACTTTACATTGGAGTTGAAAATTCGGATCTTATGATCTTTTTGATGGTGAGTGCTGTTGACCTCCACACAGACTTGAGAGTAGTGAAAGCTTGTCTTGCTTTTCGGATTCTTGCATTGATATCCTCGTCAGTTCCGTTCTCCTGTAGTTGAAACGATGCTTCCCAGGTCGGTTGGTGAAGGAGGTTGATTCTTTCAGGTTCCTCCTATTTATGCTGATCGTTGTCTGTTGTTGTTGTTCTTGTCCAGGAATCTTCATTACCTCTGTTTTTTCTATGTTCACCTGAAGTCCTATCTTTGATAGGACTATGTTATGACTGTAAGGTCAATTGCATAGGTCAGAATACTAGATCGGAATCAATTGGATCACTGGAACGGAAGAATTTAGCTACACAGCCATAATGATCCTGCTAAGTTAAATAATCTAGAAAAAAAACTAAGTCATTCCATAATTGGTTTGTTTATTAGACACAGTGAAACAGTATTATGATTTACTGGATGACGAGGTCTCGAACAAAATTTATCATTGTTCATAATCATATCATCAATTATAATCACACGACTTCGAAACTTGAGTTTTATAGTCTTCTTTGTTCTCTTCTATTTGTCGTCGTTGGAGTAGTAGAATTTTCCAGATATCTGGGTAGACAGGTGTTGAATCATTCCTACTACACGTATTTTCATTCAGTTGATTTGATAAACAAAGCTTCTGTTGTTATTAATCTCTCCATCCACCCTGTCACAGCATTAGATTTTAGAACTGTCATCTTATCCCATCCATCTTATTGTATGGTTGTGTGTAATTGCATGTAGTGAATGCTATCTACGGCTGAACTATTCTCTAGATTTCTTATCTTATTCGGGTCAAGTAATCTAGATTTTACTGTTAGGTTTTCATGCTCGGCTAGTCAGTTTTACTGCATCTGCTCTGCTACTTTGACCTATGTATTTGACCTGACAATCATTGCAGACAGGGTATTAGATAAACTAAATTGTTTTGTTTCAAAGGCTCCACTGGCGGGATCCTTTAACCGACAAAGTTTGTTTCTAATTGAGTTTGTGGGATTCAATGCCAGCCACTTATATCCCTCCCTTGTTAAGAATTCTCCGTAAGGTTTCCAAGGTTCTTTCCTTGTATGGGATTATTACTGATGATTTAGATTCCCTATTGTTGGTGTGTTGTCAAAGTCGTGTGTTTATAATTGATGACATGATTATGAACAATAAATTTTGTTCAAGATCTCGTCATCCAGTAAAACAATAATACTGTTTCTCTGTGTCTAATAAACAAACCAATATGGAATTACTTACTACCCCACAGTACCCAAGTTTTACACATATATTAAAATGAAAAACTAAGTCATTGCAATACATTAAATTCGATTTAATCAATCATACAATAAGATGGCGGACAGGGTTAACACCATAGAAGCTTTATTTCACTGAATCAACACCCAAACACGTAAACAATCCAATTGAGTCAACGCTTATACCGAATAATTAGAAAACTGCAATCAACAACAATAAGGAGAGGAATATATATATATATATTGCATGGAGGATTTCATCATGAGCTGACATCAGTTGGAGAACCACTGGAAAACCTGGGAGTACGGGACAGCTGTTTCGTCCTAGTTTGGGACTCTTCAAACAAACCATAGCAAATTAGGAATCCGTGTGACTACGTAGTGATATGAGATCATGAGCAATGAATTGTGCTCGAAATATCATCCAGTTATCAATGCTGTATCACTCACCATGTGTTATGTAGAATACCTTATCCTATTATGGAATTATATTGGTTAATAATCCATTGACTACCGACCTAGTGAATATTTTTTATCATCCTTGACTGACTATTGAATAATTTGTAACTGCACTAAACAGGTTACACATGCCTTTCAATAAAAAAGCAGTAAATACTATGGTGAGTGCTATTTATGTGGTGAGAGCTGTCTACTAGCCAAAATTGGTAGACAGTAATTTACGTCAATGTTTATGTCCCCCAATATTGGTTATGTGAAAACAAGAACAAAGACTGACTCAACAACCAATCACAGCAGACTTTGTTTGCGTAGGCGGATACAATTAGCAGATATGTGATCTGACCTTCAAGAAACAGCCACAAACAGATGAAAGATTAACTTTCAGTGAGAAACAACCAATCAGAAGACTGTGTTTGTCTGCTAACAATGATCTATAATAATGTAAGTGGAAATCTATAAATATATGTTGATTTCTTTAGTAAACGATCTGTTGCCTGGCCTGTTGTTACGCTCACAATCACATATAAGTAGTAAATCAGTAAACGAATTCAGAAAAGTAACAATATGTTTTGGGGCACTGGAAACAGCGATCGAAGAAGAGAACTGCGAGAAGAACGTTACAACACTGTACAGAATCCAACAAGCTATCAAATATGGTGATATTCAGTCAGTTTGCAAATGATGTGGAAATAAAGACAAGGTATACCAAATTTATGTACCTACAATGCGTTTGACGTTGACTTCGAGCCTCATTGGTATTTTTTGCTTAACTATACTATCAACAACAACAAAATACGAGATTGGTTTATTTCAATGAATAATCTTGTATGAATCCAGTCTGTACTACTGGCATGAGTAATGTAACTCTGTCTGTTGAACAATTGGCAACACAGTGGGATAGTTGGAGGAAGTCGGTAGGAAGCTCTGAAGTTAGATTTCATGACTGCTGACACTCATCAGTAAGGCGTATCTGCACCCCTCAAGGGTGTGTGTTACCATTAGGTTATTTGGACCCACAACTGACGTCTCATATGAATGCAATGGATGCACATCCGTTGGGTCACTAGAGTGTCAACAATGCCTGTTATTAATTATGACTGAATTCTACCAGTCAATTTGGAAATACTATCACAATTAGTGAAGTTAATGCTAACAATGCCATTAAAACTTATGAAGGAATATATATCCAACAATCACCTATTTTACAAGTGAGTCATGCAAATTAAAAAAAAGAAGAGAAGAAAAGCAAAGAAGTCGAATGTAACCAAAAAAAGGATACGCTGCTCGTAGTTTTTGATCAGTAGCTGCAGCCAACAGACATACAGTACAAGCCCATATAGCCAAATCAGGCGGTTGACGACTCAATAGTGTAGGGAACGAAAGAAGTATCCATTGTCGTATTAAATTTTGTCCATTTTCATTTTGCATAAATCTTTCAAACAACTAAAAGATAAGAAATTCAAAGTGCAAAAAAAGGCATGGTTAAAATAATACTTGTGTTTGTATCTCACATAACCATAATGAAACTTTGGATAAGACTAAATTTTTAAACAAAACACATCCCGTGGATTTAGCCTCAATAACTCAACGATCTACAAGCTAAGCTACGAGATCCAGATAGTATGCCCAAAAAATCAGTGGGCTAGCAATATAGAGTCCCCTAGTTCGAATCCCACCACCACCACAACTACGCAAGTTTTTACTTCACTTTCAATTAATTCATTACCTATTACACCAATTATCAGTCAGCCAATCCAATGTCATTACAGATACTACTGTCACCCAGGAATTAATCAAGATTAGATACCATAATCAAGATTTTGGTGATAAACTGCTGTATAACCTGATCTTTAAAGCGGGATCAATAATATCTTGATTATTGTTTTCAGGGGGCACCCTGAAAAGTAACTTTAGACAGGTTTCAGTGTGAGCTTTGTTGAGAACGAATACTCTAGTTAGAGAACTTTTCAAAACTAGGGAATACTGGAAGGCTGCTTCGTCCTGGTCTCGTCCCGTAACTCTTTACCAGCACGTCACAATGATCTCAATCAAGGATAGAATCCAGGAGTTTTCGGCTACAAAGACAACACATCACTGTTCTGTCACTCAATCAGAATTCAGTGCTTGAAAATTGTTCTACAAATTGATTTGAAAAGTTTATAAGTAAGTTGTGTGCTAACTGACACGTGACTCTAAACTATTGCAGCCCAAAACGAAACTACCTAATGAACGGATTAATGACCTTGAGCTATCGGTCACATGAGTCCGTAGTATACAGAGGGAATGATGGATTCTTTACATGAATTACGTAGTAAATTTCATCCAAATCTAGTGTTTAAGTACTACTTAGACAACAGACTCATTGGAAGGGAGAAAATGTGTGCAGCCAACTTTCATCCATGGGCTATATTCACAATCTGGTCAGTCATAGGGATGATTTCGTTCATCCTTTCGATGGGACTCACACAAATTCCTTCGAAAGTTTCTAGAAGCACCTAAAACAAAAACAGGATCAGAGAGGTGAATAAGTCAAGAAGCATGATGATTTGCAGTTATCTCGACGAATTTATGCCCAGAAATTGGATTAACCTAACTATGCGGACTCCTATGAGAAACTGGGAGGTTTTTTGGAACATATATAAGGACGTTATCCTATATAACTACTCTTTAACATTGTCTTACTTTTATATAAACGCTTTTTTTTAAATTACGCACTTCTAATACGGACGCATCTGATTGGTCGATGGGGGTTCGTGAAGGTCTTTATTAAGTAGTTTGGTTTTGGCCTGCCATAGTTTAGAGCCATCCGAATACGTCATCTTTACACCTTCTTGAGCAATAATAATAATTGTGATAATAATATTAAAGAAGAAAAAACTTCATAATTACCTCAGTTAAATTTGAAGCAGCTAAATTAGGAAAGGCATGATCAGCACGAGCAAATTCAGCTAATGCTTTATTTAAAACAATATTCGGCAATGAATCACAACCAATTATTGCTGATGAAAGACTAAATTGTTTATTTACTGTCTCTGGCCTAGTTAATAGACCGACCACAGTTTGAGTAATATCAGTGCTGATCAATGGTAATAATCTTGCAATTAATCGAGCTTCAACAGCACTTGTCCAAGCACTCATTGTCCAAGGGATTTGTAATCCATGCGTAGACTGAACAGGTGAATTAATCAGTGATATCCCACCACGAAATCTTTCCCATAGACAATTAAGTGATTCTTGTGTAAGAGCAGCAATATTTTCTGAGTCTTGAAGAAGTGATGAAGGAAGTGATTCCAGTGAATTAGGATCATCTGTTTTAGATTCACTTATTGCTGTTGGCCCTGTAGTATCTATATTCGGGTAAGAAAAATAGAGAGTAATTGTTCATAAGACACTTTAAGTGAAGCGATGGTCATTAAAACAAAATGCTGTACTAACTGTACATATATGCCTGAGTTCTATCTCCCGTGTGAAGTGGTACAATAGGGTGAGCAATATTGAGGTTAGGCGTCGAGTGCTGTTTTCAAACACACGCTACCGAACCTCAAATTACTCACGCGATGATGCCATCGAATGCAAGCGATCCTGCGGACACAGCGATGGTCGAATACGCAGAGTCACGGCATATCCTCAGCTCGGAGAGGCCAGGTTTCACAGGCGTAGAGCAAGACAACTCGCACCGAAACATTGTATACCCGAACTTTGACAGCCAACCTAACGGCGCGATGGCGCCAGAGGTGGCTCAAGTTGATGTATACCACCCTAGCCTTCATGATACGGTTGGGAATCTCATCCGTCACCCCTCCTCCAGCACCCACACAACTACTCAGATACACAAAATTATCAACAATTTCAAGCGGTTCACCTGCAAGAGTGAGTGAAGGTACAGGCCCTTGCCAATCTTGTAACAGTATTTTGCACTTAGACGACGTAAAACACATACCATACTTACAGATACTGATCGCCAAATGATTAAGTGCGATTTGGGCAGCCTGCATGCTATCGCACAGTAACAGTAGATGACAAGAGATTTGGTGAAGAAATGTTTATTTGGAATCTGGTATCTCTATAGAGCGAAATTATGTACATATTATCTGAAAATCGTCATTTGCACAGATCTTCGGTGTTGTGCTACTTCAATCCTTCGCATTGTGTCTCTTTTGTCTTCTTTTCATGTCTCCCGTGTTTTGCTGCAACGCTGAATCATTTACTCCCTTTGACTTCAAATCTATCTCTCTGCTATTTGATATTCTTGTGTAGATGAACGCTTAGCTGGTAGTCAACCCGGTAAAGGTTGTGTGTTAGTTAGACTAGCAAACCTACTCCCGTAAAGACAACACCACTGCTGCTGAAACCAAAAAGCTGAATGCTTGAAGCTTTATGTTCCACTTAGAATGTAAAAGGAATGAAAATTTTATCCTAATGTATCTTAGTAGCTCATTAGTGTATATCCCCCCTTATTCTATCAGCTGACCTTCTTTGATTGGAAACCTTAACATAATACATATATAGGCAGCTGCTTTCGCTAACTTACGCCATCTCTGGCGTAGGGGTGACATCCGGCTATCAACCAAGGGACGTGTGAACTGCTCAGCAGTTCGCTCCGAGTAATTGCCAATGGATGAATTTTTGGGCCTGCTATCATAACATCTACATACTGCATCCAACCTACCATTTACTCCATTTATTTATCACCCAAATATGAATTCTAAAAGGATCATTTACTCTCGTAACTTTATCATTCATTTACGACCCAATGACTTTCATATTCCCAAGAAATCGAGGAGGAAGCATCGTAGTGGCTGGCAGAGAGCTCTTAAACGTACACCAATACACTTAACTACGGTCCCTGTCATAATGAACACTAACTGCCGCTCTCTGCCAAACAAAATAATGTACCTACAATACTTGATGTCCACTGACACTTATCACAATACTGCGATAATCACATTACAAGAAACATGGTTACACGAACTGTACGATGACAATCTCCTCTCTAAAGGACTTCATTCTATTTAGACAAGACCGAAAATGTTGCAATAAGAAAAATGGGGGTGGAGTAGCAACTTTCATTAACTCCAAATGGTCTATTTCTAATAATGTCTGCTTCTCATTCTCAAATGACTTCATAGACTGTATCACCGTCAAATGTCGTCCCAAACATCTCCCCAAATATGAACACATCTTTATCACGAACATGTATATTTCTCCAAGTTGCTCACTATCTAATGTTTCAAATTTTGCTGATGAATTCACCATGTTTGCTGCTGCCAACTTCGATAACTCTCTATCTGTTATTACTGGGGATTTCAACTCGTCAGATTGCTCCTTCCTTGAAGCACTTGGTCACTCTAACACTGTCAAATTTCCCACTCGACTAGACAAAACACTGGATTTAGTTTTTACAAATGACGAAGGAATCTATGAAGCACGTAAACGTGCACCGATCCTCAACTGTGATCACTCTATTGTTCGTGTTCTACCAAAAATATACAGCAAAACACATATCAAAGTCTTCTCGCATCTGTCTATGAAAGCACAACAAAGATGCTACTTATCTGACAACTTACTCAATCTAAGGTGCATGTTACAAAATACTAACTGGGATTTATTCCATGAAAGTTCATTAGATGACACAATTGTCAATATAACGGATTATCTTAAGTTCTGCCTTGATATATTCTGTCCCAAACAAACACTATTCAAACGCCTCGACCGCTTCTCATCTCCTTATCTCAAACAACTTCGCAGGAAAAAAGAAACTTTATACAAATCCAAAGACAAGTTAGGACTCAAAAAGATTAATGCTCAGATCAAATCTGAAATCAAAAATCTTAATGCTATCTATAATGATACTCTTATATCATGCAAATCTCCTATCAGTATGTGGAAACTTTTTAATGAAATTACTGGTAATAGTAAGCGTTGTAATGCTTTCCCCTCTTATGATGTTAATGCTCTTAATCAGTCTTTTATACGCTGTCCTTCTACTTTAACTACTTCTAATGTTACCTATCATGTAGCTGAAAACTTTCATGACTTTAATAGTCTCGATGTTCTAAAATGTCTTAAAACGCTCAAGCCCTTACGTAGCTTTGGTCCTGATGGTATACCTGCTAATGTTCAAAAACAATGTGCAGATGTGTTGTGTTCTCCACTAACCAACATCCTAAATGCTTCTTTCTCCAAAAATATCGTACCTGATGCATGGAAAGACATCAAAGTTGTCCCTGTCCCTAAACCTGGAAACGGCAAGAACGTAAAGTTCAGACCCATTGCCATCACTTCCCCGTTTCTAAAGCTTATGGAAAAACTAATACTTCTTAAAATTGAACCCTCCCTTAAAAGCTTCGAAGACCCCAAACAATTTGCCTATAAACAGGGTAGGAGTACATTAGACGCTGCAGCTGTCTTACACAACAACATCGTCTCATCATTAGATAAAGGTGCCAAATACGTCCGCTGCACGTTTCTTGACTTCACTTCTGCTTTCGACTCTGTACCTAGATGTCTCCTGCTAAATAAGCTCTCTTCGACAAAAACTGAGTCCTGGGTCACTAACTGGTTGCATTCCTACTTCTCTAACAGAATGCAGTACACCGTATACAAAGGTAAATCATCCTCTGCTGCACTCACTGAAGCCGGAGTCCCCCAAGGCGCTGTACTCTCCTCCCCACTTCTCTTTTCTTTCTTTCTACATGACTTACCATCTTCAAATGACATTAATTTTGTCAAATACGCCGACGATCTGTCTGTATCTTTGCCTATCAAATGTCAAAGCGACTGATCTAAACTAAATGGCTTTCTGTCAGAAATCAGCCAGTGGTCCAAGGAAAATGGTCTTACTCTAAACCCCTGCAAATGCCAAACGGTCAATTTCACCTTTAGGCATAAATCCGACCTAAACAAACTGGTTGGCTCTTACGAGGTATGCAACATAGACGGCACTAAAATAGAAACTAAATCGGAAATTAAATACCTAGGTATCATTCTGTCTGCTGATCTCTCCTGGTCGTCTCATATCTTAGCAATTTCTAAGAAAATATTCCGTCTTACCTTCTACATTAAGAAGTTAAAACATTCTGGTATTACCCAACCCTTACTCCTACAATTCGTTAATTCTCGCATTCTGCCTATTATTCTCTATTGTTCCCCCTCAGTTTTTCCAGGGCTACTGAAGAAAGACTATAACATATTACGCAGGATGCTAAATGTTGTCAGCAGGGTAAGCAACATGCCACTTAGCCAGCTTGTTAATAGTCTGGTTGACAGGCACATGGACTCATGTGAAAAATGGGCCAAGTCCATTTTATCTAACTCACACCACCCTCTTCACTCACAACTCTCCCCTTGCATCTCATCAGGTAAAACCAGAAGCCTATATAGAAAACTATATGCTCGTACCAGCAAGTACAAAAACTCAACCATACCCTACTTAGCTCGTGTTCTGTGTGATAAAGAAAGCACTAGGCGTGACACCTATAATTCATTAAATAGTCAGTAGAACAACTGGACGTCGTCTTTCCAACTCATATCATTTATAGGTACAACACTTTCTTTCTTTCTTTTCCTTTTCTCTCTCTCTCTTTTTTCCGTTTTGTGCTGCTTTGTTTTTTTCTCTCGCTTACGCCAGTAAATATGACTGCACTTACTTTTCTAACACCTTCAAACACCGTTCAATTTTGGCTTTGCTAATGACATGCCAATATGTTGTTGTCACAATGAACTGAGATTTCCTTAATCTACGTAGAATTCTATTTATTGATAATGTTCTAACTGGATGCAATACTGTAGTAAAAAATGCTGAGAATTCCATTCTGTGTCACAAGTACTGTTTTGGAATAAAGCAAATTATTATTATTATTCTCTATGGCTCTGAAACATGGCCAATACGAGTTGAAGACATGAAAAAGTTGACTGTTTTTCAACATAGATGTTTACGATCTCTTTCTCACGTTAGGTGGCATAATAAGGTAAGTAATGTTGACGTTAGGCGTAGAGTGTTGGGCGAAGAGGGAAAATCAATCGACGAGGCTATAAAGTTACATAGATTGAGATGGTTAGGTCACGTGCTGCGCATGCCTAACCATCGTCTCCGCCGACGGGCATTACTAGCTGATATAGGTGCCGGTTGGAAAAGAGTAAGTGGTGGCCAAACAAAAACATGGCATCAATCCATGAAATCCTTGACAGTTAAACTGAATAAGGTAGGGAGGGAGATGCAGACTTCCGGGTTGGGGCCCGCCCTCGGGACTCTAAGAATCAATGGCTGGAGACAATAGGCGACATGGCTCAGAATCGTTGTCAATGGCTTACGCAGATGTATTCAGTCTCTGTATGGAATCTTTCATATTCCTTTCTACCATTACTCATTCTGTTTCACTCTTATACTTGTCAAAACTCTATTGATTCTCTTCACTCATTTTCTTGTCTACCTTTGTGTGCTATTTGGAACGTGGCAACTCGAACTGCTGCACTTCGGTGCCAAGTTCTATGTTGTATCCAGACAGACAGACATATAGGTGATGTGACAGTATGATAGTAACTAATAATGCAATATAGGCATAACTTATTCAAATTCAAACTTACTTTCATTTAATGTTGTAACTTGGAAATTTTTCGTTTCACAGTCTTGTGAATTACTACTACTACTATTACGATTAGTGTTATCGTCATTATTATCATCATTATCATTTGATATCTGAACAGATGGTGTAGTATTATGAATGCGTCGATAATGCTGAATACGATCATTTAACCGGCCCAAATTTGCATACATACAAGTCAGTAGTAAACGAATAGCAAGATAACTTATGTGCGGTGATCGACAAGTACGTATTCGATTGATACACATTTTTTGTAGACTCTTTAGAATACGAAGTGAAAAATAAAAATAAAGAGAAAAAAAAACACGCAGTAAAAGTGAGCTGATTATATCACAATTAATTTCATTAAATGCATTGATGTAAAAGAGAAGTAAGGTAATATTTCATCATACTGATGAAAAAAATTGAAAATTGCGCATTTAAAAGTTTCAAAAAGAACGAGTCAAGTAGTTAAAGGTACTCAAACAGAGAGATGAACTCTGATACATTATTATTATTGCACAGACTTGGTACATCATGGACATCACAATATCCTATAGTTTTCGCAACCGGACGCCCAAAAAGAAGCAGGTGGTTGTCATAAGAGGCCACAAACCCCTTCGAGCTTGGCTTGGAGATGAGTTCCCATGACTGCCGGTGACCAGAACAATTTCATACGTCATTTGATCCGTTCGGATTATGCAGCTCATAAGTTTGGAATTAGGATTTTCCAGCCCCCTCCCTTCCCTAGGTAAACCTGCATTTTCACCAGTCCGACTGTAAGTGCCAACCGCTCAAAACCACCGTTTCATTTTTATGGGGAATAACCCTACCGAGTGAAGGCAGTGAACAGAACTTACTTGGCAGAAGCTTCTGATATATTAGAGAGGAACGAATATTCAATGCAGTTCAAGTGATAGACTTAGGATATGCAGATGATATAGTGCTTCTAGGCGAGGATGCTGAAAAAAATGCAGAGTCTTCTGAACACCTTGAGTTGCAATCTACGAATGTTTGGCATGCGATTCGCTCCCGCAAAATGTAAGGTGATGAGGCTACAGGAATGGACTACATTGACTCCTAGCTTAGTAATATCTAGATGGCTGTCGACGAAATGACGACGTGTGTACTGCTCAGTAGTCCTCTCCGTCCTCCTTTATGGCTGAGACCTGGCCAGTGAGAGTGGAGGACATGAAAAGGCCAGCTAGCTGTCTTTGATCATAGGTGTCTGCGTTCTATCTCCCGTGTGAAGTGGTATAATAGGGTGAGCAGTATTGAGGTAAGGAGGGTAAATCAATCAATAGACGAGGCTGTGAAGTTACATCGACTAAGATGGGTTAGGATATGTGTTACGTATACCTAGTCATCGCCTTCCTTGATGGGCAATGTTAGCTGAAATAGGGTCAGGCTAGAAAACAGCCAGTGGTGGTCAAACCAAGACATGGCTTCAACAGTCAATGAAATCCACACTACAGTTAGTTTAAGCCAGCCACGTAGAAAGGTGTAAACTTCCTGACTGACTGGTTGGTGTCCTCGGGACGTGAAAGCCAATGGAGGCTGGAGACAATTGGTGATATGGCTCAAAATCGTTCTCAATGAAAAGCGCAGATGTATCCACTCCTTTTGACTTATAATTTCCAATGGAACTATATTGTTCTTCGATCTTACTATTCCTTTGTCTCATATCCCTGTCTACTGTCTCTATTTTGCATTTCTTCTACTTTCTTCTCTTGCTTTGTGTGCTACATGGAGTGTGACAACTTGAACTGTCGCACATGGGTGCAAACTTCTATGTCAAAAACAGACAGACAGAAGTGATAGAATCTACTTAAAAAAGATCATCTTAAAAGTGTTTAATTATTTTTATAGGATGGGATTACCCGGATCACGTAGACATTCTTATGCACTCTTGCTCGCAGGATTTAACGAAAATACTACATACATATGATACTTGGAGAAGTCGAATACATTCAGAGATACAAAACTTATAAATTTAACACAAATTATATGAAGGGATTTACTGTAAAGAGAAAAGTATCTCTCCAACAGAAATTTCATCAACTTTAACACAACGGAAACAAACACCTTTCGAAAAAATGAACAGTTTTCACATTTGGATGTAAGAAGAGTCTCTTTTCGGTGAATTCATTCACTTAGCTGTGAAATCGTAATTATAATTATTTTTTGTATATGTGTGTACATTTTGGTTTGTCAAACAAGAGTTAAAATTATTTAATTCAATTTTAGATTTTCCTGTCGATTGATTGAACGGAAGTGCTCACTTTCAGGTTGACATGTCTACTTCTTGTGCAGATGCTTCGACGATGTCTGGGCATGTAATTAGAATTTAATTGATGGATGGTGACTAGCAGTGGAATCCAGGATGCGCGTGTCGTCCTATTTGGGACTCGTCATCTGAGTATACCTGCATTCCACAGTGAGTGATGATGTTCCCAGTGTCCATAGTTTCGGTCCAATCAATCGACGGGAAAATCTAAAATTGAATTAAATAATTAATGTGACCCATTGCATAAGAAGGAGGTGGTTCTCGTGGCCCGAGCGGTCCAGTGGATAGTGCTTTTTGCGTTTGAAACTGTGGGCGCTGGGTTCAAGCCTCGGTGGGAACATCATCACTCACTGACTGACTGGGGAACGCAGGTACATCCAGCTGACTAGTCTCGAGTGGGACGAAATGTGCATCCTGGATTCAACTGCTACTCATCATCCACCAACTAAGAGTAAAAATTACTTTGGGTTATTGTTTAAATCACTAAAATATTTGAAAAAATCTGATGAATAATCAAAATTGTATGTAACTAGGGACGGGAGAGTTAGGCGTGCAGAGATTAGTAAGTATAAACTGGGTTTACGTGACGTGAAAACGTTCAGAAGAAAATGGATGTCAATGAAACAGTATGGAGACGAATATTAAAATTAATTACGTAGTAGATGAAAGGAGTAAATAGAAGATTGGTGAAGAAAGTGATTATACTAAATGGCATAAGGAAAGAAGGCACAAAATACTATTTAATAACAAAATATTGATAACAGTTTTCACATTCCTTTGAAAATCAACTCTATGAGATAAGACTGGAAGTCTGGGAGTAAAAAAGCCCTGAGGTGAAGTAAGCGACTTTTACTGCAGATGATATACTTGTCGATATCATTAGTACTATTATCATTCTATTATCATGAAATTTACAGAATTCTTCAATCAAGAGAATGCTGCTAGTCACTATACACCAAATAGAATCAACAATAGTTTGCGAAGATACAGCTCACTGGATCCACCGGGATTCGAGTTTCAATCCACATACTTCAGCTTGGGTAAACTAGCCAAACACAATAGTTGTGGCCTATGTGGGTTGGGACACGAAAGATCTGTTCTATGTAACTGAGTTCTGAACAGTAGGCTAGTAGTCCGTGAGCAAAAAGGTTTTTTATAGAGAGCTAAGAGCAGTAATTTGGGGTGGGGGGTGGGAGGAAGAGGAAAGTTCTCAAGTTCTGTTTGTTCCTTAGTTAATTATTGGTGGACAGCTATTTTATTCTAGTTTGGGACTCTTGCAACTACAGCAGGAACGGACGAGGATGTCAAATCGAGCGAGAATCGAGAAGGCGAGAAACACATTCATCAACCTGAAGCCAATCTGGAAATCTTCGTCACTCAGCCTGCATCAACAACAAAGTTCGGATTTTCAATACAAACGTCAAGTCAGTCAGTTCTTCTATGCGGATCAGAAACTTGGCGGCGGGTCACAAAGAATATTTCCAACAGCCTGTTGCAGACCTTTATCAACAACTGTCTTCGCTGGCTCTATACTGAAGATCAGATGGCCGGAAAGAATCTCCTACAAGAAACTATGGGAACAAACAGAACAAGAAACAATCGCTCAACAAATATGCAGGAGAAAGTGGAGATGGATTGGACACTCGCTGAGGAGGCCACTGGGTGACATCGCACGTCAGGCCATAGCTCGAGTGGAACCCGAGAGGGAAGCGGCGAGTGGGACGTCCAAGAGTGACATGGAGGAGATCGTGTGAAGAGGAGCTGAAACAGTACGGACTAACATGGATGCAGGTGAAAAGTACAGCAGAAGACAGAAGCAAGTGGAGACGTGCAGTTGAAGCCCTATGTTCCACTAGGAACCCAAGGGAACAATAATAATAATAATAATTGGGAGTCTTGAGCAGTACGCACCTATGATCCCACCAAGAAGTCAACTCAGCATCTTCAGGGTACAAGATGACCTCGTTTAGTATTCAACCGCTGCCATTGGGATGGAATCCACTGGCCCATCAGTTCTAACTTCTGTCAACTGGCAATATAACCCGATTATCTCCCAATGACATTACATTGGTAAGTATCTATTCTCATGCTCAACTTGGTGGGCTGCATTGATTACAACTTCGCATTAGAAGTGATAGTTCACTAAATGAAGTCAGTGTGTGACGTGATCAAAGTTGAAACCAATCAAACCAACAATTCAAAATAAACATAATATTTAGAGTTAGTGTATAATAGAAAATAGATCGATAAAGCTAATGAAAACAACAACAACAACAATACATACCCCAATAGCACCTTTTCCAAGACGTCCAGTTTGAATAAGTCGTTCAATACCTTGACACCATGCCATATGAACAGAAAGTGAATAGCTTAAATCCACTGTAGTTCCTGTACTCAAAGAAGAACATTGCTAAAATATAAAAAAAGTAAAAATAAAAAGTAAATTATAACATGATTACAATACTACCGACTAAAAGAAAAAAAAAACCTCATAAAGAAATCAATTGGAGTAGTCACCCTCATTAAGTATAAAGCCCACTTATATTTATTAGTTAGACAGTTAGTTGTGCACCAATCATCTGAGAAATGCTAATACAGAAAATAATTGGATGGAGGAATTCATCATTAGCTGACATCAGTTAGCGAAACATTGGAAAACCATCTAGGGAGAGTACTGGACAGCTGTTTCCCCCGTCCTAGTTTGGATGCGTACTGATGAAGAGTTCCAAACTAGGCTGACGAAACAGCTGTCCAGTACTCCCAGCTGGTTTTCCAATGGTTCGCTAACTGATGTCAGCTCATGATGAAATCCTCCAACTAATCAAGAAAAAATCCCTGGAAAACTAATACTTGAAAACAGAAAGCAATTCTTGACACAGTGTTTAGAACACAGGTCAGTAGATAAATTGGCTGACTCTGTCTGTCTGTCTCTGTCTGGATTCAACATAGAACTTGTCACCGAAGTGCAGCAGTTTGAGTTGCCACGTTCCAAATAGCACACTAAGGTAGACAAGAAAATGAGTGAAGAGAATCAATAGAGTTTTGACAAGTATAAGAGTGAAACAGAATGAGTAATGGTAGAAAGGAATATGAAAGTTTACAGAGACTGAATACATCTGCGTAAGCCATTGACAACGATTTTGAGCCATGTCACCTATTGTGTTCAGCCATTGACTGACTGCATTACCAAAACTGAACATTTGTGTTTTACTGAACTCCAACTGTTTTACAACTTACTATTAAGAGTGATGTATGGATTATTTCATATCGCATCCTGTTCACATTTATTTGTATGACAACTTGAGTGAGTGGATATTAGATGAAGAAATGAATACACTTTTTTTTATTCCTTTACTTTCCCACTGGAACATAGAGCACCTACAAGCTAGAGGCGCTTGAAGTTTCAATAGCAGTGGTGTTTATTTTGACGGGATGGGTTTACTTGCCTCACACCTAACCTTCACTCTTTAGCAATTTTATTATTGGCTTAGCGAGGTAAAGGAGTACGTCCGTGGTCGGGGATCGAACCTCGAACCCCATGCTTGGTTGGCAAGCATTCTACTGCTGTGCCACCAACGCACAAAAAATATACTAATAAGTAATAATAATAATAATAACAGCTTTATTCTGAACAATGTTTATATGATGTACAGAATTTTCGGTGGAGTTTATTGCAGGATATTTTCTCTTCGTCCAGGATCAACACAGTAGATAATGTTATACAGCTATACATTTTGACCTGAAGCGTAAATCAATCCACCATTATGATATCTATTCTTCTTCTTCTCCTTCGAGAAATACACGACGGCATTTTGTGGATGGATGCTGATTATAAAAAAAGTTCAGGAGTACATTTAGTAATGTACACATTGAGTGTAACAGTTATCTCCTATATTAGGATAAGCTGCTATCGACGACAATGGTTTTTCACATCTTTGATAGAAACTAGCCAATCAGCAGGCTGTAAACGTTTTAAATTCTCGCCAGAGTAAACAATACTTTAATATATGTGTAAAACTTGGGCACTGTGGTAGTAATTAATTCCATATTAGTTTGTTTATTAGATGTATCACACAGTGAAACAGTATTATGACATACTGGATGACGTTTCGAACAAAATTTATTGTTCATAATCATATCATAACCGTTATAAATAAGGTTAAAAAATTCACAGTAAAACTTATACACCGAATGAAGCCGTTTCTAGGTGAGTCTAAGTGTTTTAATTTAATGCCCAAAACTAATAACCCCAGTAGGATGTATGGTGTTGTTAAAGTTCATAAGTCAGGATACCCTATTAGACCTATAATTGATTTTAGAAATTCACCTACTTATGAATTATATACATATTTAGCCATGGTATTAAATCCTCTTAAAAACCACTCGAAATAGAGACTAACAAATTCTTATGAACTAAAACATTGATTTGATAATGTAAAATTAGATAATGAAGAGAAAATGGTTAGTTTCGACATTGTCAGTTTATATACGCATATACCAATAAATATGGCTATAGAGGCAGTCAGAAACGAACTCATTTCTGACCAACAACTCGAACTTAGGACGAGTGCAGCTATGCCTGACTTCCACAGCGTTTAAACTCCAAGGGAAAATATACAAATAAACTGAAGGAGTTGCCATGGGATCACCAATATCCTCGGTTGTGGCAGATATATTCATGGATAGGTGGAAAAACATATCGACTGAAATGTTCACCGTTACCCCAAAAGTATGGTGGAGGTATGTAGATGACACATTCACTGTACTTAGAACACAGGATATAGATAGATTTTTCGAACACATTAACACAATGGTGGAGGCAATTCAATTCACTTATGAATTGGAAAGTTGGGAAGGGGAACTGCTAATGTTAGATTGTAGCGTAAAAAGGAAAGAAGATGGGAAGTTAAACACTAGTGTTTACAGGAAACCCACTCATTGAAACAGATATCTGGATTTCCTATCATCCCATCCTATGTCACAAACCACAAATCACCAAATCAGTGGGTAAAAGAGAATAAAGTCATAGTACTTCGGTAACATGGAGAACTCTACTAAAATGTCTTCTATTTCAGTTAGTCAGTCAAACATAAAGTAATAAGGAGAAAGCCAAAACTCAAACACAGTGATAGGCTATAAATGCTTGAAGATAAGTGAAATAAAAAGTAGACAGTATTACTGTGATCTACAGGGTTCAAGGAGGGGTATTGTAGACGAAGAAGGAACCATGAGATACATGCATTCATTCATCATATAACTCAGCTACACTTGTTATTCTTACACTTATCCAATTGACTGATAGCTAGACTAAGAATAATTACTGAGAATAAAAAACAGAAGAAAATAATTTTATTCATCATTCCACTTACTGTATATCCTGGACTCTTTGATTGACTCACTACAGGTGTATCACCAAGCATTGATGGTGCTAATCGAAAGAGATTAGCTGTCAGACCAGATAACATTTCTGTAATGCCTAAACTTGAATCTGTTACAATAGGATAGACTGGTGGACTAGAAAAGTGTTCAGTTAAGAAGAAAGCAGTTGACAGGACAATCAATTGATGATTTTCCAGATGATCTGTTAAATCAACATTTGACACGTGAATCATAGAGGCTAAAAATAAACAACAATAATAAAAGTAATAAGTTATTTACTTCAATACTATATATATATATATATATATATATATATATATATATATATATATAATGATATTTAAATTAGAGAGCTTGCTAAACAGTCAAACATTTCAATGTCAATTGTAATTCAAGTATTAGTTTGTAGGGATTTGATTAATTGGTTACAGGATTTCATTATGAACTGACATCGGTAAGAGAACCATTGGAAAACCACAAGGGAGTACTGTACAGCCGTTTCATCCTAGTTTGGGATTCCTCACCAGGGTTCGAACCCAGGACCTATTATATTACTGATTACTATCTACCAATAATCATCAACGGGGGAGATTTGACAGAGGTTACTTCCTCCACTTATCATCTAGGAAGCATCGGAACGGATGAAGATGTCAACACCAGCCAGAATCGAGTAGGCAGGATACACTTTCATCATTTTGAAATCAGTTTGGAAATCTTCTGCACTCCGCCTCAGCATTAAGAACAAGATTCGGATTTTCAACACAAATGTTAAGTCAGTCAGTCAGTCACTTCCATATGGGTCAGAAACTTGACCAGTGAGTCACGAAAAGCATTTCCAACAAGTTACAAATTTTTATCAACAGCCGGCCCCTTCGCTGAAGATCAAATGGTCAGCTAGCAAGGAAGAATTAGCAACAAGAAACTCTGGCTGGCAACAAACCAACCAAGAGCCGACCGCTCAAAAAATATGCCGGAGAAAATTCAGATGGATAGGGAACACAATGAAGAGACCGTCGAATGACATCACGCTCAATGCAAACCATCACTCGAGTGAAATCCCATGGGAAATGACGAGTGGGGTGGTCGGTGTGAGGGTGAAACGGAGAAGATCGCGTACGTTGGAGGAGGACATGAGAGATTATGGGCAATCGTGCGGTTAGCCAGTTGAAGAGGACAGCAAAAAAAAGAACGAAGTGGAGGTGTGTTGTTGAAGCCCTATGTTCCATTCGGAACCCACGGCAATAATAATAATTAATCACTATCTAATATTAATTTGCCTAACACTATATACTACTGGCTGAGCAAAGTGAGTAGTTGCATAACACTAACATAAACTAGTAGTACATCCTAGCCAGATCGAAATCACCTTGACACTGGATGGTCATTTCGCTCGTTTACGACAGAGCCGATGAGCGGCGTACACGGTTTGACTCGGTTCAGAAAGCCCAATCAGTTCGAACTACCCAATTTCTGAATACCCCCTTGGGCAAATTGATAACATCACAAATCAAATTCTCAACTGGCAAATAAATTCACAATTTTTACACAGCTGGAGGTGAAATAAGATAAGAAATCTGGAGCATAGTTCAGCTATAGCACTACATACAATTACACACAACCGTACAATAGGATCGATGGGATAAGATGACAGTTTTAAAATCTAATGTCACAGGGTGGAGGGAGAGATTGATAACAACGGAAGCTTTGTTTATCGAATCAACTGCAAGCGCCTGTAATCGGAATGATTCAACACCTGTCCACCCAGATATCTGGAAAATTCTACTACCCCTACGACAAATAGGAGAGAACAAATAAAACTATAAAACTCAAGTTTCGAAGTCGTGTAATTATAATTGATGACATGATTATGAACAATAATAAATTTTGTTCGAGACCTCGTCATCCAGTAAATAATAATGCTGTTTCACTGTGTCTAATAAACAAACTAATATGGAATTACTTACTACCACAGTGCCCAAGATTCATACATATATTAAAGAAAGTACTTACATCCTCTTTCCATATGTGAATTCATAGAAATTTTACTAGCTGCACCTGGATGAAGTACTGCTTGCATAAGTTTTTTCATACCAGATGATCCAGTCATCAATGAAAGTGACAGTTCATGGTTAATTGATGTTTCATTGTTTAATAAATTAGTTGTATTTGTTGTTGCTGTTGTTGTTGACGTGCAAAATATAGTGCTGAGCTTCTTTTCCAAATAACTGCATAGCTGTAATTTTCAAGAATTGAAATATTAGGAAAGGAAAAAAAGCACAAATTAAAACAAAACTATAATATAGGCAAAAAGAGAAAACTATTTAATTGAATTTTAGATTTTCCCGTCGATTGATTGGACCAAAGTGCTCGGTCTCAGATTGACATATCGGCTTCTTGAGCAGGTGCTTCGACGATTAGAGGTGGCTCTCATGGTCCAAGTGGTCTAGTGGAAAACGCTTTGGTGTTTGAAACTATGGACACCAAGTTCGAGCCTCGGTGGGAACATCATCACTCACTGCGGAATGCAAGTACATCCAGCTGACAGGTCCCAAATAGGACAGAGCGCATGTTGTCCAGGATTTCACTGCTAGTCACCATCCACCAATTAAAAAGAGAAGACTGTGGAAACGATGGTAAATGATAATACATTTGAAGATATAATGACTTAGGTGTTTATTAAAAAAAATAGAGATTTTCCAGTGTTACTAGTAACATCATTAAAAATCCATAGACCGTTATGTCCTATACCTTACTTTAATTATTTGATTACTAGTATGATATCAAACAAAATAGGAAAAAATAAAATTAAATATGAAGGAGATGCAATATTTATATTTGAACATACAGTCATAAACGAATTGGTACGGTCGAGAGTGAGGTGACTTCGGTTTTCCTCTCGAAATGCCCTCATATGGTCACACGTTCACTACCTATGCTAGATAAGTCCTATTCACTAGCTTCATGAGTCAGGAATGTTCCTCAAAAAAACGAAACGGAGACTTTGAATTAATGGATGACAATCGAGGTGATCATAATAATGGTAATAATAACAGGGATAAATTCATTCAAGTGTTTATGTAATCTAGGCAGTGGTGAGTGTATGGGTAGAACGAGCATACTTGTAGGGCTCTGGCGACTTGAACTGCCGCACATATGTGAAAAGTTCTATGTCGAAAACCGACCGTAGGGCTAGAGGGGAAAATAACTATTGCTACATTGCGATTCGATAATATAATAACAATAATAAATTGTGAAACTGTGAGATAGCCTTGGTTTGGCAGATTGATAGTGATATAATCAACGGTGATCGAAGATAAAATGAAAACCACAATTATGGCAAGTTTCGAATGATCTGTCTCCAAATTACTGCTCCGTTAAAACTCCTTTATACCCGAAACGCATTTTCCATATATTAGGCTATGACTAAATACATGTTGTATGAAGTGGCTGAAGTGTGATTTGAGCACAGTACCTATTGGCTGATAGTCGAGTATCTGAGCCAATGAAGACACATTTCCAATTTACTACTGCTTGCCTAAATCAGTGTAATGAGAATCGCTAAGAGAACAAATAGTTGGGGGGGGGGTAGATACCGTGGCAGTGTTTCATGGACAGTTATGAATCACTCATCTGTATGACAAATGAACAGAACTCGTGATGGTTTCAGTGAAACGATGATCAGGTTAGCAAACACACATGCCATCCAGGGGCATTTTTTTTCCTTCACGTTCCCCAGTGGAACATAGGGCTTCAAGCTAGTGGCTTGAAGTTTCTGTAGAAGTGCTTATTTTTACGGGATGGGGTTGCTAGCCTCATGCCCAACCTTCCCTCTTTATCAGCGTTATTTTTGGTTCAGCGAGGTAAAGGAGTGAGTCGGCTGGGGATCGAACCCCGGACCATGTGCGTGGTCGGCGAGCGTCCTAACCGCTAAATCACATCAGAGGCAAACAGATGGTATCTCTGCTGAGAACCAACAAAATTTTATAATTCTCAGGAAATTATTACCAATTGAAAATCCTTAAAAATAACTCACTTGTGCATAAAGATCATTTAACAAAGGTGAACCAGTTGGTGGACTATGCTGTTGTAATTGTTGTTGATGTGGTTGTGTTCTAATCAATAATGCAGCATGTAATAAATACATAGAACTATGCAAACCAGCATTTTGTACAGTTAATAAACTAGAATTAATTGTATTCAATGTTTGTTTAACAGCTGGTTCAAGTGAATTCGATTGAAGAACATGTGAATTATTCGGTGAACTATTAAGTAATTCTAAGACTGCAGTACATTTTGCAATACCTAATGCTAACCATGCATGAATTGGTGATTGGAATTCACTCCATGTCGGCAATTGTTTCACGGCTATTTTATCATATGAAATGTAATAAAAAAAAAGAGAGAACAGATGAAATTAAATAATAGTTAGTTTAAAAAGCTAATACAAAAAAAATGTATGTTCCTTACTACTTAATTATCAGATACGACTGTTGTTCAACCCTTAAGAATACTCTGTGACAATTATGTCATCGTTCTAGTTCACTTATAATCCGCTAACACACTACCTTAGAGGTGAAGACGGGGATAATAAAAGGCTGTCTACTATCACCGATCACATTCCTGACTATGGTGGACAGGATCATGCATGCAGGTGGTCGTGGGGAGGGAGGTGACAGGAATACATTCAGTCAACAAGAAGACTCTAGAAGATCAGAACTTCGCGGAGGGTTTACGTCCACTGTCACACCACCTCGAAAATATATACGTTGGCTGGAGACACAGGCAGGGAAGATAGGATATAGAGAAGACAGATGTGACGAAGATACCTCAACGGAAACAACCAAAAAACAATAACCAATCAATGCTCAGCAGTTCGCTCCATCCTTCTCTATGCCTCTGAAACATGGCCAATACAAGTTGAAGACATGAAAAAGTTGACTGTTTTTGATCATAGATGTCTACGATCTCTTTCTCACGTTAAGTGGCATAATAAGGTAAGTAATGTTGACGTTAGGCGTAGAGTGTTGGGCAAAGAGGGAAAATCAATCGAAGAGGCTATAAAGCTACATAGATTGAGATGGCTAGGTCACGTGCTGCGCATGCCTAACCATCGCCTCCCACGACGGACGGGCATTACTAGCTGATATAGGTGCAGGTTGGAAAAGAGTAAGTGGTGCCATGCCAAACAAAAACATGGCCTCATCAATCCATGAAACCCTTGACAGTTAAACTGAGTCAGGTAGGGAGGGAGATGCAGACTTCCGGGTTGGGGCCCGCCCTCGGGACTCTAAGAATCAATGGCTGGAGACAATAGGTGACATGGCTCAAAATCGTTGTCAATGGCTTACGCAGATGTATTCAGTCTCTGTAATCTTTCATATTCCTTTCTACCATTACTCATTCTGTTTCACACTTATACTTGTCAAAACTCTATTGATTGTCTTCACTCATTTTCCTGTCTACCTTTGTGTGGTATTTGGAACGTGGCAACTGGAACTGCTGCACTTTGGTGCCAAGTTCTATGTTGAATCCAGATAGACAGACAGAACAACGAGAGAAATCTGGACAAGGTCACTTCTTTTACTTATTCAGTCAGCTTCCTATCAACTACAGAAAGAACAGATGAGCGTGTCAAAGCCAGCCAGACAGGATCGAAAAGACAACACACACCTCCACTAATATTAAATCAGTCTACAAATCTACTCTAATAACCAGCAACAACAAGGTTGAGATTTTCAGCGTTAATCTCAAGTCAAGTGAGACAGTGTTTCCATGTGATTCAGAGACATGGAGTGAGTGTCACCAAAACTGTTTCCAACAGTCTTCTGAACACTTTCACCAGCAGCTGACTTCAATGGACTCATACTCAATATCAAATGGCTGGTTAGAAAGTATAGGCGACAAATAACTCTGACTGGCAACGAACCAACCAAGAATCAATCACTCAACTAATATGACAAGGAAAGTGGAAATGGATCGGACACACTTCGAGGGGATCGTTGAGTGACATTACAAGCCAGGTTATCACTCGATTGAAATCCGAATCGGAAACGACTAGTTGGGTGTGTGGGTTCGACGGTGACATGGAGTAGATCGGGTGCGGAGGAGGTGAGAGCTTATGGTCAGTAGTAGAGCCAGCTAAAGACGACTTCAGAAGACAGGATGAAATCGAGATGAAGCCCCCTATGTTCCACTAGGAGGAACCTAAGGGAATAATATTAATAAGTTAAGACAACAACGCAATTTTGAGATTTTGTAGCAATCACTACAAATTTAACGAAACCAAAAAAAAAACTGTTATTCTGCTTAGTCTTCTTTCCTTTCCCTTTCAAAAAGTATAATGGTGATGATGTTATGTATGTGTACAGTTTTCAGACAGAGGGGCATTTGAGACACAAAGGTGTCATTAAGTTGTACGAACTTCGATGGTCACAGATGAGGCAGGGTATGATTCATTCCTAGTTACAGATCATTATTATTATTATTGTTTCCTTTAATTCATAGAGGAACATAGGACTTCAACCGTGCGTCTCCATTGCCTTCGGTTGTCTGCTACAGTCTTCACCTGGCTCCAAGTCTGCCCACACGTTTCCATCTCCTCTTCACATCACCTCCTCCAAGTCACCCCACCTTAGCACTGACGACAAACTCGCCGCTTCCCTTTCGGGTTGCACTCGAGTAATGGCTTGTCTAGTGATGTCACTTGATGGTTTTCTCAGAGTATGGCCAGCCAATCCATCTCCATTTCCTCCTGCCTATTTGTTTCACAATCGGTTCCTACTAGGTTGGTTCGCTCATTGCCAGAGATCCCTCTCTGTTGCTGATCTTTTCTGGCCGGTCATCTGATCTTGAGTATTGAGCGAAGACAACTGTTAATGAAGGTCTGTTGTTTGTTTGAGATGCTCTTTATGACGCGCAGTGCAAGTCTCTGATCCGGATGGTGAGTAGCATTGACTTCACATTGGAGTTGAAAATCCGGATGTTATTTTTGATGCTGAGTGCTGTTGATCTCCACACAGACTTGAGAGTAGTGAAAACTTGTCTTGCTTTTCGGATTCTTGCTTTGGTATCCTCGTCAATTCCGTCGGCCTGTAGGTGAAACGATGCTTCCCAGGTAGGTAAGAGAGGTTGTTTCTTCCAGGTTCCTTCCATTTATGCTGATCGTTGTCTGTTGTTGTAGTTACCGATACCTACCATATACTGGGATGGTTGTGTAGTACGGTAAACTCAGCTTGCAAAAAAGCAGGCAGCCAGCATAAAACGCTAATTAAGACTTACACTACACTATACGAGACAGTGTGGGCGGTAAAAAGAAACTCATGGAAAAAAGATGACGATGATGATGATGATGAAGAGAAACAACACCTTACCATCTTGTAAATGATCATTTAACCAGATAAATTGTTCTTGTGTTGTAAATAAATCAGATAAAATAATAGCTGATTGAAGAATTGACTGCCATACATCAAAAGCAGGTCCTTTTATCGATGGTGCAGTATTAATTGGTTTAGTTTGTTTAACTGTTGACGTTTTATTCAACACAGAAGATGATATAACATTTGGATTTGATGTAAGTAGATCAACAAGTTTTGAAGTACCCAATAACAGACTAGGCATATCTTCATTGTTAGGTCGTGTAGGGAATGGTTCTGGTTTTAGGCATGAATGATAGAATAATTGTAATGACTGTAGACATGAGAATAAAGGATCTTCATAACTTTGTAGTGTTAAATTGTTCACTGTTCGATGATTCAATTTTGAAACTAGAAATGTATGAGAAAGAAAAATAATTATGTAATAATAAATAGATTAATTATTATTTTTTATTAGTAAAATAAAAATAAAATTATGTATCTTGTTCAGCATAAAGAAAGCGCTAGGCGAAAATAGGTAAGTTGGTAGAAATCGATCAATGCTGAGAATGGTTGTTCACTTACACAAATTCATGTGAGTATGATAAGTGGCAAATTCAGCAAAGAAAATGCTTCTTTATCCACAAAATCATCTTCAGAGGCTGAACAATCGTATTTATATTTAGTAGTCTATTATTGAGTAATAGGGGGAGGGTGACATAATTGATATAATTACTCAGAAGTGGCTTTAGAAGTGAAAATTAAAAGTTGTAAATTACGTGGTAATCAACGGAACAAAGATAGAAATTTGATAAGGTTAAAATTGCTATTAAGTCAGAATAAAGGTATTTGAGTGTCAATTTAACAAGTGTGAAGAGGGTGTGAAAATATACAAAAGGAGCATATGAGAGTGATAATAGTGAATTAATTATTAAAGCAAAAGCAAACTAAAAGTAAGATTAAAAATTACAAAATAGAAAAGAAAAAAATCAAAATTTTTTTTTAACAAGGAACAATTAGTGAGAAGGTAGAATAATAGACTGAAAAAACTTTTTCTGTATACAGAGTTCAGGGTTGTATTGATGAATTGCCAGTGCCTCCGCCATACACAAAAGCCAAAACCTGACGCCCTTCGTACTATTTGGCCTCACCTTGTAGATGATCTTGAAAGACGACTCTGATCGAGCTACATGGCTTGAGTTCACCAAGTGCTCGAGAATTGAGCTAGTAATTGTCTTGCACTGTCCCTTTGCTAACCATGCCGGATAATGTTCAGAGATGGGTTTGGAAAATGTGCGGTCGCTTTGTGCAACCAATATAACTAGCTCCACAGGAGCAGGTGAATTTATAAACACACAATGAAGTGGCCCAAAGTGGCAGTTTATCCTTCACACATCCATTGATCATTTGTCAGCTGTGGAAATTGATTCGTAGCTCAGCCGAAAAGAGGGCTCTTCTCAGTGATCTGCATAAGCAGTTCTTCAGAATCTTAGCAGCGGTATCACTTCTAAATTCAGCATTCATAAAAATAGAAGTTTCTTCAGCACCATCTGGGTTCTTTTGGGTTTTTTTCTTTTTTTTTCCTTTAATTTCATGTTTTTCTCGATGACTGTTGAAGGATACGTCCATTTTCAATGAGGAGTCGTCCGAGTATCTCCAGTTCGCTATCGATTTTTCCTCTCTCTAATTTTTTCTTTTCTTTTTTACAATGAACAATAAAATTAACGCATTAATTTTGTTTTCATACCGTAGACAAACAAACTCACCTAGGATGATAAATAAATAAATAATAGTAAATAAATTATCATTATCATTATCATCCATAGTCGTCTATTTCGTCTACAATGCGATTTAATACGCATAAATAACTCCATGTGAATCATGTATAAAAAATACTTTATTATCATTATTCTTTTCACAAACAATTGTCCGACAATACACAGACAACATAGTAAATAAGACAGCGGAAACAACAACAGCGACAACAACAACAACAAGACCAACAGAGTAGGAAAGTTAGCAAAAGAAGACAAAAAATGAGATGGAAGAAAGGCAGAAAACTCCCACAAAAAAAAACTATAGTGTCTCTTTCAGTGAAGGCAATCGTAAATGAAGCAAGTAAACAAACAAGAGTTTATTAGTCATCCCCATATGTCTGTATTTCCCTCTCTCTTTGCCTATCTCTCCATTGCTTTATCAATTTCATGTTAGACAAAGACAAAAAAGAAAATTTCTTTTTCCATGGATAAAAAAAAACTTAAAGGAGTGAAAAGCAAAAATTCAGGGTTCATTCAATGTTTTACATGTTTTCAAGATGTGTCAAGGTCAAAGCGCATAAACGATACATAAGCGTATCTGTAGTGTATCTTATCAATCAAAGCTAAAATACACCATATATATACACAATAAATGGATACTTATTCCGGTTAAACCTGAAAATGTAGAGTTTTTAGTTTTTTTTAAATTGTTGATTGAAGAAAGTTGATAGTCTGCTTTGTTAATAAACAATGAAATGGATTTGAAGAAATGTTGATTTACACACACACACAAAATAATAAACTACCTTAAACTCCTAACTGGATTATGGCACACTTCCTTTTGAGATGTGTAGTCTAATAGGAAATGATTTGAGGTGGGTTAGCTAAATACTTAGACGTCTGACTGACTGGCTGGATTCAACATAGAACTTGTCACCGAAGTGCAGCAGTTCCAGTTGCCACGTTGCAAATACCACACAAAAGTAAACAAGAAGATGAGTGGAGACAATCAATAGAGTTTTGACAAGTATAAGAGTGAAACAGAATGAGTAATGGTAGAAAGGAATATGAAAGATTACAGAGACTGAATACATCTGCGTAAGCCATTGACAACGATTTTGAGCCATGTCACCTATTGTCTCAAGCCATTGATTCTTAGAGTCCCAAGGGCGGGCTCCAACCCGGAAGTCTGCATCTCCCTCCTACCTGACTCAGTTTAACTGTCAAGGATTTCATGGATTGATGAGGCCATGTTTTTGTTTGACCACCACTTACTCTTTCCCAACCTGCACCTATATCAGCTAGTAATGCCCGTCCGTCAGGGGAGGCGATGGTTAGGCATGCGCAGCACGTGACCTAGCCATCTCAATCTATGTAACTTTATAGCCTCGTCGATTGATTTCCCCTCTTTGCCCAACACTCTACGCCTGACGTCAACATTACTTACCTTATTATGCCACTTAACGTGAGAAAGAGATCGTAGACATCTATGATCAAAAACAGTCAACCTTTTCATGTCTTCAACTCGTATTGGCCATGTTTCAGAGCCATAGAGAAGGATGGAGCGAACTGCTGAGCAGTACACACGTCCCTTGGTTGATAGCCGGATGTCACGCCTACGCCAGAGATGGCGCAAGTTAGCGAAAGCAGCTCGAGGTTTTTGGATCCGTGCTGAGATTTCGTCACCAATCAATCCGTTGGTGCTGATACAACTTCCCAAATAAGTGAAGTGGTCAACATGTTCTATCACTTCACTCCCTATCACTAAGCTAGGAGTTGACGTAGTCCAGTCCTGTAGCATCATCTTACATTTTACAGGGGCGAATCACATGCCAAACATACGAAGATTGCTGCTCAATGTGTTCAGAAGACTCTGCATTTTGTCAGCATCCTCCCCTAACAGGACTATGTCATCTGCATATTCTAAGTCCATAAGACTATTCCCTGGTAACATGTCGATTCCTAAGTCGTTAAGTTCAGTTAAGGATACTTCCATTAGCATATCTATGATGAAGTTAAACAGAAAAGGGGAAAGTGGACATCCTTGACGGACACCACTGGTTGTTATCAATTCAGATAACAATTCCCCATAAGCCCTTACATGGCTACATGAGTTTGAGTAGAGTGCCTTGATTAGTGCAATGTACTTTCTTGGCACTCCCTTCACAGTCAAACATTGCCATAGTACCTCTCGATTCACGGAGTCGAAGGCCGCCTTCAAGTCATGAAATATGGCAATTGTTGGACGCCTAAAAGTGTGCCTATGTTCTAGGATCTGTCGGAGAGTGAAGATATGATCTATGCACCCTCTACCTGGCCTAAAGCCCGCTTGATTTTCCCTCCTTTGTTCCTCCCGAGTTCGGCTTAGTCTGTGCATGATTACTGAGCCTAGGATTTTAGAGACTATGTTCGTCAGGCTGATTCCTCTATGATTATCACATGAGGACTTGTCTGACTGACAGACTGGTTTCAGCATAGAACTTTGCAAAGATGCGTACCAGTTCGAGTTGTCACACTGCCTCCATGTAGTACACAAAGCAAGCAAAGAGAGAGAGAGTAAAGAGTGATTCGAAAGAGAGACAGATAATAATACACAGTGTGAGGCAAAAAGAAAAGTAATGTAGAAAACAATAGAGCTCTCTCTATTAGATACGATAGATCACAAAGAGTGAATGCATCTGCGCCAGCAGCCATTGAGAACGATTTTCAACTGCATCACTAATTATTTCCAGCTAATGGATTTTGCCATCCTGAGGACTCCAAACCAGTCTGGAAGTCTATACCTACCTCTCTACGTGGTTGGCTCAAACTAATTGTTGTGGATTTCATTGACTGATGATGTGTAACTTCACAACCTCGTCGATTGATTTCCCCTCCTTGCCCAGTACTTGACCGAAGCTTAACCTCAAAATTACTCACCCTATTGTGCCAACTAATATGGGAGATTTAACTGAGACATCTATGACTAAAAACAGCTAGTCAAACTTTTCATATCTTCCACTTTCAATGGTTACGTCTATAAAGGAGGATGGAGTGAACTAATGAGCAGTATACATGTCCTTTGGTCGACAGCCAGATATCACGTCTACTTAGACGTCTATTTTCATCTTAGAACAAAACTAACAGCGAAAACTTCTGTAAATGGGAAAGTTTATGAAGCAGCCTGGATCCAGGTCTCATGCTTATTGTTACTCGTCAGTACGCAATTTATCTGCAAGAACGATAAGATGAATGTCCTTTCAAAGATTTGAGCGCGTTTCACTCAAAACTGTAGTCAAAGACAATGCTGCGGATTCATTGGCGTAACGGTCAAACTGTTGCAAGATCGTGTTGATGAATATACTGACTGGCCACTCACTGGCTACTAGATATTGAACAGTACCATGTTGTCCAGTCCCAGTCGTTGACCAGAGGCTTCTTGATCACCGCATCCAAGAATCCCGCATCGGTTAGAAATGCACTACGATGGTGACGCCTAGATTTGTAACCACATTATAAAGCCGACTGATAGAACTCGGCCAGAAATAATGGCTAGATGATGCGACATTAGTTACTCAGTGTGTCAAATGAATGTTTCTTTATTCGAAACAGAACATGCAATGTCTCTTTTACAACAACTGTTATACAATTTCAACTCCGAAATGATTTAGCCCACGTTTTATCATAATATACAGGAGAGAATACCTAAAATTGTAAGATATATACTACCGATTGTGACCAGTCAAATGAACAGGAGTATCAAGGTGATACAACCATCAGAAAGAAAGTTCCGCTCATTCAGAGTTACGAATACCAAACGATTTGACGCGCGAATAACTTGAAAGTAATAAACTCACTCGGTGATTTTAGTGTAGAATGAATTTTATCATTTTCACGAATGTATTCATTTGATGAAGGCCGACGTATTGTTGTAGTGGAATTCATATTTTCTCGCATATTTAAACGTCGAATTGACCAATCCACTGCAAATTGACTAGGACCATCGGTAATGCATGAATCAGTTAAACGTTCCAAATTGATCATTTCTAAATCTTCTGTTTCATTGAATTTATTCATACTGTATTCAGAATGTATTGAATTTTTAACTGTAGCATATTCACTAGACTTGTTTAAGTAATCCCGTTCTCGTTCAATAAAGGATAACAATGAGATCAGCTTTCGACCAAGCCTTTATTGATAAAGCAAAAGTAAATAAACATTCGTGTTAAAGAAAAAAGATGAATAATGTTTAAGAGTAAACTGCAACACTGATTAATTAAATGATAAGAAAGATGAATGACTTTATTCGTTCACGTTCCCAGTGGAACATAAGGTTTCAAGCTAGAGGCTTGAAATTTCAGTAGCAATGGTGTTTGTTTTTACGGGATGGAGTTGCTAGCCTCATGCCCAACCTTCCCACTTTAGCACTCTTATTACTGGCTTAATGAGGTAAAGGAGTGAGTCGACCGGGGATCGAACCCTGAACTACACGCGTGGTTGGCCAGGTAGATACTCTTTACCATATATCATGTCATGTACACTTCAACATTTAGGAGAGTTACTTAAAATACTATTCTGGGGCACGGCATTAAAGGGGGGAAAAGTTATAAAATCATTTCCAACAGTAAGACACTCGGGTAATTAAAGCAAACGTATAGTCATAGTATATCCTCATTATAAGTATTCCCTTGGGTTCTCAGTAGAATATATGGCTTCAATAATACATCTCCAATTTGTTGTATTCTCTGCTGTCCTCTTCAAATGGCTAGCCACACGACTGCCCATAATCTCTCATCTTCTCATCGATACACGATCTCCTCCATGTCACCCTCGCACCAACGACTCACTCATCGCTTCCCGTTGGGATTTCACTCGAGCTATGGCCTGCATTGCGTGCGATGTCATTCAAAGGCCTCCTCAACGTATGACCAATCCATCTCCACTTTCTGCTAAATCTTTGTTGAGCGATTGGCTCTTGGTTGGTTTGTTCATCACCAGACTTTCCTGTTGCTAATTCATGACAGGCCCTTCAAGGTCAACTTTGACAGACCTTGATTTTGACTATGATACTTCAACTTTGTCATATTTTCTATTTGAGGTTAGGCATCGAGTGGTAGGTAGGGAAGGAGGAAGGGAAATCAATCAACGAGACTGTGAAGTTACATCGATTGAGATGGTTAGGACATCTGTTAAGCATGCATGCTTAGACATCACCTTCCTCGACGGGAAATGTTAGCTGACATAGAGTCAGGCTGGAAAAGTGCCAGTGGTGGTTAAACCAAAACATGGCTTCATCAATCAATGAAATCCACAACAGTTAGTTTACTCCACGTAGGAAGGTGTAGACTTCCTGGTTGGAGTACTCAGGACGGTAAAAGCCAATGGCTGGAAACAATTGGTGATATGGCTCAAAATACTTGTCAATGGCTAGCTGTAACTTATAATACCCAATAAGACTATATTGTTCTTCGTTATTACTATTCCTTTTGTATCATATCCCTGTCTACTGTCTCCATTATGCATTTCTTTTTACTTTCCTCCCTTGCTTTGTGTGCTACATGGAGTGTGGCGACTGCAACTGGTGCACATCGGTGCAAAGTTCTGTATTGAAACCAGTCAGTCAGTCAGTCTACTTGAGAACAATTTCTTAATTAATGCCACTTACCTACCATTTTGAAGTTATCTACATAGCTAAATCTAACCACTACAGAAGCCTACACTTTCATAACTTGTGTATACTGAAGCATTAGTCATACATGAATAGAAACCTAAACTCTGCCTTCACAATATTTCTAAATGTCTTCTCTTTCTTCATATTAGTCCTAGTGATGTTCTTTCTAATTAATTACAATTCATCTCCTCGGTCATTATTGTTATCAGTATAGTATTTGATTGACTTTATGCCTCTTGATATCAATTAGTAACAACAGAAGGCAAGATACAGGAGCCAAGGTATTATTAATGTTTCCTTTAGTTCCTAGAGGAACAAAGGGCCTCAGCCGCACGTCTCCATTGCGTTCGGTTCTCTGCTAACGTTTTCACCTGGCTCCACGTCTGCTCACATGCTTTTATCTCCTCTCCACAAGACCTCCTCCATGACATCCTTGGATGACCAACTCGCCGCTTCCCGCTGTTTATATATCTCCAGTTTATATTCTTTAACCAATCACTGAGTATGTGATTTTGGTTTACATTAAACGACATGAAATAGAATGTTCAAATCCATGTATAATTTTCTGTTATTATTGCAGTATTGAACTGTGAGAATATGTAAGAATAATGTTTCGTATCACACCACCACAAATTCATCTCTTGAATAACTTTCTCTGCATTTTATTTCATTCACATCAACTCTACAATTACTCCTTCATGCATTAACTCCTCTGAATTTCTAATTGTTTTTTTAATCATTTCATTATATTTATTTTTGATGGCTACATGAACTGGAGCACATTATACTGTCAACGTAATTCAGATAACATTTTCAGTGGGAATGAGGAATCTAATCGATTGAATATTGATTGCTCCAGATGGAATATCCTAGCATCATATAATGTACTACTGAATACTATTTTCACTTGAAGATCCTATACGAAGAGTGAATATTTTGTCGGCCTGTCTGTCTGTTTTGACAATAGAACTTTGCACTGATGTGCAGCAGTTCAAGTCGCCACACTCCATGTAGCACACAAAGCAAGAGAAGAAAGTAAAAAGAAATGCAAAATAGTGACAGTAAACAGAGATATGAGACAAGAGGAATAGTAATAACGAAGAACAATATAGTTTTATTGGGTATTATAAGTCACAAGGAGTGGATGCATCTGTGATATTCATTGAGAACAAGGATTTTGAGTCATATCACCAATTGTCTGTCTCCAGCCTCCATTGGTTTTCACCGTCCCGAGGACCACAACCAATCAGAAGGTCTACACCTTCCTACGTGGCTCAAACCAACTGTTGTGGATTTTGATTGATTGGTGTCATGCAAATATTTTGTAATTTAAATACGCTGAGAATTCTGTACTCTTTTGGTGGTGTGATACAGACAATGTCTGCCAACGGAATATGATTCTGACATATTCCCACGGTTCATTACTGCGTTAGCGGCAGAATACTATATATCCATTTGAACATTCTACTTCATGTCGTTTGATGTAAACCAAAATCACACGCTCAGTGATTGGTTAAAGAATATAAGACTGTATATATATATATATATATATATATATAAAGAGCTGTCTGATCACTTGAAAATATACCTTGTCTTCCGTGTCTTGGATTCTGTTGTTACACTGTGTGTTAACATGCTGTCTACAATAAAGATATTATTTTTTATTCCTTTACGTTCCCAGTGGAACATAGGGCTTCGAGCTAGAGGCTTGAAGTTTCTGTAGCAGTGTTTATTTTTACAGGATGGGGTTGCTAGCCTCATGCCCAAATTTCCTCTTCATCAGCTTTTTAGTTCTGGCTTAGCTAGGTAAAGGAGTGCACCGGCCGAGGATCGAACCCCGGACCATGTGCATGGTCGGTGAGCGTCCTAACCGCTATGCCACCGACGCACAAAGCGTGTGTCAGAAGTGGGATGCGAACCCACGCCCACATCGTGTACCAGAACTTGAGTCTGGCGCCTTAGACCGCTCGGCCACCCCGACCTTATGATTATCATTGATAATAATAATATTATTATTATCTACTAAACAGTTTTCATGACAATAGCTGTCTTTCTTACGTAATTTAAACACAGTTGGATGAATTGAAAATGAGGCCACTAAAAGGGAACATTCCTTCACTGAGTAAATTTTTATTTTCTTTATTCATAAATAAATGGATATGTTTTTAGTTATCTGAAGAATTATTTTGCAATTTAAAAGTAACAAAGGCGTGGTGTAATTGAAAGTTTCCCTTAGTCAATAGTATGTGTATCCTACCACAATTTGAAAACTCAGAGGAGATATGAGTTCTTTGAAGACTGCAGATACGTATGCTTTGCTGACTGGTGTGTCAGTGTGAACAAACACAAAACCTGGGTGGTGTTCAGGGGGGGGGGTTGCTGTTGATTGCCTCCAATCATCATGTAATTGGAAATCTTATTCATTTTTATATATGGAACTTTTGACTTTCATCAGATTAACTTTATCTGTTATTTTCTATTGTCGATTCAGATTTTCATTAAATGTGTAAGTGTGAATCTCATGTGTACAATCTCTTGTGCACTTGTCATACATTTGCTTAGAATAAATTATTTGGATTTTTTTATTATTTGATTGCACACTAGTCAGTAACTAGTGTACTGTGTCTAGTCCTATCTTCGCTGCAGACTGAATTCTATTAGTCAAGCTTGCAATGTGGCCACCATGCTAGGCGGCTCGCCATTACGGTGCACTGTGAATTGTTGGTATTAGATGGTTGGAGGCAATCGGCAGGAAGCCTTGAACCTAGATTTCGTGCTAGTTGGCACTCATCAGTAAGGAGGTCATCATGAGGTCAATCGCGAACCTGAATAGCTCAGTGGTAATGTCTCTGACTGCAGTACAGGGTGTCACGGGTTCGAATCTCAGAAGGGACATGAGTTCCTTCAAGGTTGCAGATATACCTTGGTGATGAGTGCCAACTAGCACGAAACCTAGGTCCAAGGCTTCCTGGGTCAGATTGCCTCCAACCATCTAATACCAATAAATTATTTGTAGGCTACATTTAATTCTCTCTGTCTCTCTATTACATATAAAATAACTGAGTAGATTAGTGATAACACTCAGATGAGTAGTCATCAACTAGAACAACAAATAACATTTCAGAGTTTGTAGTAAGCTGTCATCTAAGTTATCTGTGTAGTATACTAACTGAATATTCATTTCCCTTATTTTCAGCTATTATATATTACTATTATTATTATTATTCCCTTGCGTTCCGAGGGGAACATACGGCTGGCTTCCACAACACATCTCCACTTTGTTCTGTTTTCTACCGTCCTCTTCACAGCTGGGTCCACGATTGACCAAACTCTCTCATATCTCTTCCTCACACAATCTCTGCTATGTCACCCTCGCACCGACGACCCACTCATCGCTTCTCATTGGGATTCCATTCGATTTCAGTCAGCTAAGTAAGTTTGCTGCAAATGTGGTTCCGATGGTAGCACATCCTTTCTTTTTTTAATTATCCACTAAATGAAATCAATTAACAACAACAAAGCAGAGATTAACTTGGCCAGTATTCTAGTTACAAACTTAATAAATAAAGATCATGAAAAAAAATGCAATTCTATGAGAATTTTGAGACATAGTGGTAATATTTTAGGTGTATTTCTTAAATCTAGAAATAATAGTGTTGAATTAGGAGTGGTTCATATGAATAATTCATTGTCTGACAGTAGGAATCTCTCTCTCTCCCTCTCTCTCTATATATATATATCGCTTACTTCGTGTGAGAGAAATGTGGTGTACCAAGACGAGAATGATGACGTAATCGAGAGTACAATGTATCGCCAGGTTGAGGTTTCAATGAAGTATCCATAAGTAAACGTGTTAAACCACGTAGACCAATTACAATAGACTGACTGCATTCAATTAACTCCTAAAAAAAATAAACATGAAAATAAATTAGTGAATAAGTAAACATGATGGTTCAATATATATTTGAAGTTTCTGCTGATCTCTCCTGGTCGTCTCATATCTTGGCGATACCTAAGAAAATATTCCGTCTTACTTTCTACATTAAGAAGTTAAAACATTCTGGTATTACCCAACCCCTACTCCTACAATTCGTTAACTCTCGCATTCTGCCTACTATTCTCTATTGTTCCCCCTTAGTTTTTCCCGGGCTACTGAAGAAAGACTATAACATATTACGCAGGATGATAAGGGTTGTCAGCAGGGTAAGCAATGTGCCACTTAACCAGCTTGTTAATATTCTGGTTGACAGGCAAATGGACTCATGTGAAAAATGGGCCAAATCCATTTTATCTAACTTACACCACTCTCTTCACTCACAACTCTCCCCTTGCATCTCATCAGGCAAAACCAGAAGCCTATATGGAAAACTATATGCTCACACCAGCAAGTACAAAAACTCAACCATACCCTACTTAGCTCGTGTTCTGTGTGATAAAGAAAGCATTAGGCGTGATACCTATAATTCATTAATTAGTCAGTAGTACAACTGGATCTCGTCTTTCCAACTCACATCATTCATAGGTACAACACTTTGTTTCTTTCTTTTCCTTTTCTCTCTCTCTTCTTTTTCCGTTATGTGCTGCATTGTTTTTTTCTCTCGCTTACGCCAGTTAATAAGACAGCTCCCACTTTTCTAACACCTCCAAACACTGTTTCAGCTTTACCTTTGCTACCGACATGCCAATGTATTGTTGTAATAATGAACTGTGTTTCCTTAATCTATGTAGAATTCTATTTATTGATAATGTACTAACTGGATGCAATACTGTAGTAAAAATGCTGAGAATTCCATTCTGTATCACAATTACTGTTTTGGAATAAAGCAAATTATTATTATTAAAAAAAATAATACTGAAGACATTGGAAACAGTGAATATATCTCTTACCTGTGTTAATATTTAACGGAATGGAATGACAACTCTGTTCTACATTCAAACTAATAACATGGAGTGGAAGTTACTGTGTATTCCAGGGACATGGATATTGTACAATAAATATATAATAGATGATAATAACTAAAAGTGAAGTTGAAATCTAGTTGCCAACAAGATTCGAACTAAAAAGCCTTCATACACATACCTGTTAGTCGGTTTCGCCTGATTCACAAATTTAATGAGTAAAGAATGAATAACTTCTAGTCATATTGATTTCTTTGCTTCAAATTACTTTATCATGCATACATTACTGGTTGTTTCACATCATTAACTAAAAGTATTAGTGATCAGTTCTTTTCGTGCTCGTTCACTGTGACGATGATTTGTCACAACCAGTCAACAGGCAATAATCAGACAGTTGGCCTCTTCTTCAATTTAATGAAAGTCAGGTAGGTAGGTAGGTCGGATGCGAGGACAAATACTAACCAGTGATGACATTCGCTAGTAGTCGTGCCATATCATGAATTGGCAGAGGTTGGAATTCATGAGTTGGCCATTGGATCGGGTTCCAGCAGCTTAATGGTCTACGAACTCGACTTGTAACCAGAAGGTCCTGGGTTCGACCCCTGGCGGTGGGTGAGTACTACTGAAGAGTCCCAAACTAGGATGAAACAGCTGTCCAGTACCTCCCCCTACTGGTTTTCCAATCGTTCTATAACCGACGTTAATTCATGATGAAATTCTGTAACCAATCTGATCCCTGCAAACCAAAACTTGAATAAGTCAAAGTCATCACTTGAATCTTCTAGATATAAGGATCCAAGTGACTTCATGAATTCACTCAGTCTTGAAAGCATACTTAATTAACTGTCACACAAGATAAGCATACAGTTGACATATAAGACTTCGTGTAAACTGTAAAGTTGAACTGATAGGACACAACCTCAAAAACAATGCTGATTACCAGCATAAAACTTTGTACATAGGTGCTGTGACTTATGATTTCCAATTAAACTGTTTTTTTTCTCCGTTATTATTATTCCTTTGACTCACACCTCTGTTTACTGTCTATATTATGCATTTCTTCTATTTTCTTCTCTTGCTTTGTGTGCTACATGGAGTGTGGCGACTTGAACTGGTGCACATATGTGCAAAGTTCTATGTTGAAAACCGACCGACCGACCGACATAGGTGTTGCCACAATGCAGAAAAAAGTCATCAATGTAGAGAACAGTATAGAATCAACAAACATGTGAGAATATGACAGAAGGTTATTAGATGAAGATCAGTGAAGATTTTTACAATTTGGAAGATAATAAGTAATGAGCACATTTACATCATGGGACACAATCTTCAATCACTTCAGAATAAAAGTGTCTAGTATGTGATCCTTAGCATCCTGTTTACTACAGTCAGGTAGTAATAAGTACTTCTCTGAATGATGCTAACCAGTAGTTAAATATTTCATGAATCAGTGTGAGTTTTGATTCGAAAACAATCCAGAATAGAAGCGAAAACACTAACTTTAGTCTTACCTTAAGGTTATTCAATTGAATTTTAGATTTTCACGTCGATTGATTGGACCAAAGTGCTCAGTTTCAGGTCAACATGTCAGCTTCTTCTGCCGATGCTTCGACGATGTCTGAGCATGTCATTTGAATTTAATTGGTGTATGCTGACTAGCAGTGGAATCCAGGATGGGTATTTCGTCCTACTTGGGACCCATCATCTGGGTGTAATTTCGAATTACATGCTCAGACATCGTCGAAGCATCTGCACAAGAAGCCGACATGTCAACCTGCGATCGAGCACTTCAGTTCAATCAATCGACGGGAAAATCTAAAATTCAACTGAATAATTAATATGACCCGTTGCACAAGAGGTGGCTCTCGTCGCCCAAGTGGTCTAGTGGATAACGCTTTGGTGTTTGAAACTATGGGCACTGGGTTCGAGCCTCGATGGGAACATCGTTACTCACTGCGGAATGAAGGTACATCCAGATGACGAGTCCCAAATAGGACGAAATGCGCGTTATCCTGGATTCCACTGCTAGTCACCATCCCCAAATTAAATTTGAATTACCTTAGGGTTATTTGCTTAGTGGACTGATCAAAAGTGAAACCTAAGACTTGCTTAATATATATATATATATATATATATATATATATACTCAAGATGCCTATAAGCCAAGTGAAATCAATCACTTAAGATCAGTAAATAAAAATTTACAAAAAACAATATCTAGGAATAAATAGTTATTACTGAGACTTAAAACTTTAGTGGATTATTATTATTGTTATTCCCTAGGGTTCCAATAGAAACATAAGAATTCCACAGCGCACCTACAGTTCGCTCTCTCCCCTATAGTCCTCTTTAACTGGCTCGATAATTACCCATAAGCTCTCAACTCCTACTCACATGATCTCTTCCATGTCACCACCATCGGATACACGCTGAGCTCACCTTCTACCTGAGGGCCTGGCACATGATTTCATCCAACAATCACCACAGCCTGCGCTCGATTCATCTCCAATTTCTACTGGATAACTGTTGGGGACAAGGTTCTTAGTTGGTTCATTCCCAGAATTCCTTGATGCTTATTTTGTTTTTATGGCTTGCCATCCGATCTCTAGTAGGGAGCCAGTAATGGCAGCTGTTGATAAAAGTTTGCAGCTGATCATTGGAAATGCTTTTAGTGATGTGCCAGGTCTCTGAGCCGTATAGAAGCATTGACTGACTTGACATTAGTAGTGAAAATACGAATTTTGTCCTCTATGCTGGTTGTAGCAGACTTCCAGACTGAGATGAGCCTAATGAATTCCTTTCTTGCTTTCCCTATCCTGACATCTTCATCCGTTCCGCCCATAGTTGAAACGATACTGCCCAAATAAGTGAAAGTAGTGATCTCTTTGAAATTTCATCCACCCATTCATACTGATTCGTGCCTGTTGTTGTTTGTTTGGTTGGTTTTCTTCATCGTTTCTATCTTATCTAAGTTCACTTGAAGTGTTGTCACTGCTGCCAGTATCTTCTGTCAATTTGTTAGTTTTCATCTGTAGATCTTGGAGTATGTGTGATATAAGACGTAAACCGTCCACAAAGTCCAAATCTTCTAGAGTCTCATTTGATCGGTCCAACGAATACCTGTCTTCTCGCTTCTCAGGGTTATGTTGCATGGTCCAGTCCACTACAATTAGGAATATTATCATATCAGTGGTAGTCCTCTATTCAAAGGCTTCGCTGAGTTTTCCGTTGTGAATCACTCGATATATGACATTGTTCATATGACTGTTGGATGGGGTGGTTGATAAACGTTTGAGGCACTCCACCGCAAGATTGAAACAATTTCTAAATTACTCTGTGTTCGGTGGTCTCGATGGGTTTTTCAAAGTCGACGAAGTTTACCAGCTCACCAGTTGGTCTCAAGTACGGAAAAAGAGGGAAAACACAACGCAATCGCTACAGAAACCCCAACACACAGCTTTTAATGAATAATGTTCTTTTATTTGAAACCATGACTACTGAATTTAATTTTCAAAGAAAACTCACCAAGATGAGCCCAAAAGATAAAAAAGCTGGCTGGCTGGATTCAACATAGAACTTGGCACTGAAGTGCACTAGTTCGAGTTGCCACGTGCCAAATAGCACACAAAGGTAGACAAGAAAATGAGTGAAGACAATCAATAGAGTTTTGACGAGTATAAGAGTGAAACAGAATGAGTAGTGGTAGAAAGGAATATGAAAGATTACAGAGACTGAATACATCTGCGTAAGCCATTGACAACGATTTTGAGCCATGTCACCTATTGTCTGTCTCCAGCCATTGATTCTTAGAGTCCCGAGGGCCCCAACCAAGAGGTCTGCATCTCCCTACCTGACTCAATTTAACTGTCAAGGATTTCATGGATTGATGAGGCCATGCTTTTGTTTGGCCACCACTTACTCTTTTCCAACCTGCGCCTATATCAGCTAGTAATGCCCGTCGGGGTGGGGAGGCGATGGCTAGGCATGCGCAGCACGTGACCTAGCCATCTCAATCTATGTAACTTTATAGCCTCTTCGATTGATTTTCCCTCTTTGGCCAACACTCTGCGCCTAACGTCAACATTACTTACCTTATTATGCCACCTAACGTGAGAAAGAGATCGTAGACATCTATGATCAAAAACAGTCAACCTTTTCATGTCTTCAACTCGTATTGGCCATGTTTCAGAGCCATAGAGAAGGACGGAGCGAACTGCTGAGCAGTCTACACGTCCCTTGGTTGATAGCCGGATGTCACGCCTACGCCAGAGGTGGTGTAAGTTAGCGAAAGCAGCCCGACACAATATACACATTGTTTGTAAAATAAAATAAAATAAAAGGAACAAACAAAAAGAGCATTTCCAGATGTCAACTCACTTCAGAACTGATTAACTGTGTATTATCAGCTTCTAGTGTAGTTGAATATGCATTTTGATTAGTATCTGATGCAGAGGACAACAATTCTAGGTATGTTGTCCATATCCGTTCAAATTCTCGTCTATCCAACCAACCCAATGAATTAATACGTGTAATATTCGATGTTAAATGATCTAAATCCATGTTTACAAATGAATTGATAAAATCTGACTTCTTCGTATGATTCGATTCATGAAATGACATATTCATTGAGCTATAACCATGTGAACTTGATACATCCAAGGTGTGCAAAAGACGAGCAATACCTGATAATTATAAAGAGGTGGTGGTGGGGGGGAAGAAGAGGTGAAAATGTCAGAGTGGGGATTACAAAGAATAATCATTTAAAATGGCCCCTATTACTTGCATTATAAAGGCAAAGATGAGTATTAAGAACACAACATTCAGCGAAGGGACTCTTTTCAACGAATTTATTATCAAGCTGTACAATCGTATATATATATATATATATATATATATAAATTTATTGAAAGCAACATGAAAGATAAGCAGTCACCGACACAGTTCCAAAGAAAACCTTATCCATGAACTTGGAATTCAAAGGTGATCAAGCTTCAGATATGCTCATATATCGTCTCTCTGAATCAGTCAGTAAGGCGTTCTATGCAGCAAAATTACATATGACGTTCACTAGCCGCAAGTTGTTCTCTACCACTGTAAAAGATAAGCTCCCCCGTCTGGCCGCCTCCATGTGCATCTATCAGTTCACCTGCTCTTGTGGAGCAAGGTACATTGGCCGTAGTCAGAGGACGCTTTCCACACGGATACGAGAACATATTCCAGCAGCATGGTTTTACAAGGGAGAAAAGAAGTGTGTGCGAAGCTCTATTCTGGAACACCTGATCGACTTCTGTCACTCTGTCAACCCTGACCATGATTTCAAGATCATATATAGAATCCATGCTAACTTCCCGCGTTTTCTTCGTTACAGACTTCTAAAGACAGCTGAGGCCTTGGCAATTCATGACTTTAAGTCAGACCTTTGTGTACAAAAGAAGTATGTACAATCCCTACTTCTGCCTTGGCCGTAGAGGGATAGACATTTACTTATTTTGTTTATTTAGTTATTCTATGTACTCTTCCCTTATTACTACGATTATTATTATCATTATCATTACTACTATTCTCACTCTGAATCTTTTCCACTTGACATTTTAAACCCAAAATTATTAATTTTTATATTTTTATTTTTACAATATTGAATTCTATCTTATCAAATTTCACACCATGTTATGTAACATTTTATATTCGTCTACTAATCTTATAATTATGCACCCCTTTCCAAAATCTATACACCTTATGTATTATTCTATATACGACATTAATTATTTTGCCACTTGACATTAAACTATGATTATAATCACAAATATTTTAATTACATTTCATACTATTATTATTTCATGTATTCACACCTTTGACCTAATTCCCTCACCGGATATAATTTTTATAAAAACCATATATATACGATTGTACAGCTTGATAATAAATTCGTTGAAAAGAGTCTCTTCGCTGAATGTTGTGTTCTTAATGCTACAATGGGAATTATTAAATTATTGAAAAAGATGAGTATCACAAGCACTGCTTACTGATCGATAAAACCATAAAAAAATATGCGATGATCACTTGTTCAGTAGTCCTCTGAACTGGATTGATCTTACTAGGTAGACAAAAATTGTACTAATCTCAGTGACACATATTTTTAAAAAGTTTAACTACAAAATGCATAGCAAAAAAATGTACGCAGAGAATTCATCTTATAATAATAACTCAGCAACGACGATGAGACAGAATCAAAGGAGAAGATCTTAACTGATCAGTAAGCTGAGGTGTAGACTGCTAAAATTTATAGCTTCCGACTGCATCTTGGCTCAAAAAATGTTGTAGGGTCTTACTGAAATAAGATGAAAAGTCTACTGAACAGATATAAGAATAGAACTTGTGCACTGTGGTAGAGTATAATTCATTGTGGGTAAAATTTATTCTGATAAAATCTCACAATGTTATACAGCAATATTTACTGATGACGTGTCGAGCACAGTCTATTGCCGATCATAATCATATCAAGGCATTACCCACATATAACTTTCTAACTTCGTTTATATAATTCCATTATTTTTCATCGCTTGACTTGATTGGTAGTAGCATTTTACATATTTCCGATAGGAGTAGTGACTCATTTCTATTGCACGTGTTGGGTGTAGACTCGATGATCATGGATTCAGTATTCAACCTCTCTCTCTCTCTCTCCATCTGCCTATATTACTTCTTAGAATTCCAACCAACCCTCCCCCACCCTATTGTGTGCTTGTGCGTTGTTAATGCACGCAGTGCAGTTGGTGAGCTTATTTTTCCAAATTACTTATCTTTGCGAGTGGGGTCAACCATTCTTACCCTAGCTAAATTCTTATGTTCCGACAATCCGACTACCACCGATCTACTAGTTTGACCTATGTAGTTGACCTAACTCCCAGACATTGCAAAGTATTTTGTAAATTATATCATTTTTTCTAATTGGGTCAACTGGGTCCTTTTGTGATGATTTGATACAGACAATCTGTGCCAACGGAATATGACTCTCACATATTCCCACAGTCCAATGCGGTAGTAGCAACAGAATACAGTATATCCATTTGAACATTCTACTTGATATTACAGACAAAATACATTTCCCACGGTTATATACTGCATGAACAACAGAGTACTATGTATGTATTTGAACTTTCTATTTCATGTCGTTTGATGTAAACCAAAATCACACGCTCGCTCAATGATTATTATAATAATAATAATTATTATTGTATCCTTTAATTCCTAGAGGAACATAGGGCTTCAGCCGTGCGTCTCCATTGCGTTCCGTTCTCTGCTAGAGTCTTCACCTGCCTCCAAGTCTGCCTGCACGTTTTCATCTCCTCTTCACATCACCTCCTCCAAGTCACCCTCACCCTTGCACTGACGACCAACTCGCCGCTTCCCTTTCGGGTTCCATTCGAGTAATGGCTTGTCTAGTGATGTCACTTGATGGTTTCCTCAGAGTATGACCAGCCAATCCATCTCCATTTCTTCCTGCCTATTTGTTTCACAATCGGTTCCTGCTGGGTTGGTTCGCTCCCAGAGATCCCTGTTGCTGATCTTTTCTGACCGGCCATCTTGATCTTAATGCAGGTCTGTAGTTTATTTGAGATGCTCTTTATGACGCGCAGTGCAAGTCTCTGATCCGTATAGTGAGTTGCACTGACGGACTTCACATTGGAGTTGAAAATCCGGATCTTATGATCTTTTTGATGCTGAGTGCTGTTGACCTTCACACAGACTTGAGTAGTGAACGCTTGTCTTGCTTTCCCGATTCTTGCTTTGATATCCTCGTCAGTTCCGCCTGTAGTTGAAACGATGCTTCCCAGGTCGGTTGGTGAAGGAGGTTGTTTCTTTCAGGTTCCTCCCATTTATGCTGGTTGTTGTCTGTTGCTGTTGTTCTTCTCCAGGAATCTTCATCACCTCTGTTTTCTCTATGTTCACCTGAAGTCCTATCTTTGATGCTTCTTCTGCCAACTTGTTGCTTTTCGTTTGCATATCTTCCAGTTTGTGGGAAATCAGACATATATCATCGGAGAAGTCCAGATCCTCCAGGTTTTTTGTGTGAGTCCATTTTATGCCTGTTTCCTGATTGCCCGCTGTTTATCGCATTATCCAGTCTACTGCAATCATTGATTGGTCAATGAATATAAACTGTATATATGTAAACAGCGGTTTGATCAGTGGAAAATATGCTTTGGCTTTCGTGTCTCGCCTTCTGCTGTTACATTGTAACAACAGAAGACAAGGGCCAGGCAACAGATCGTTTATATAGGATATCAACAGATATTTATAGATTTTCATGTGCACTATTATAGATTATATAGATTGGTTTAAGCAATGGATGACACACCACAAAACTAAACAGCAGTATCAATAAATCAATGAAAAAACAAAAAAAAACAATAAAAAAACTCTTACCTAAAGTACAAATATTCAATTGATTTATTATATTATTAGATCCGGCAGTTGATTGGCTTAAATTAGCCCTTAATAATCTACACTTTCCAATTAATTGACATGGTTGAATAAAACCGCCTTCTAGATGTATATTCCCTGATGAATTCGATTGGTGTTGTTGTTGTTGTAATGTAGTCGAATTGAATGCAGTAAAAGATGCTGAAGATGCAGTTGTTGCACAGAAATGAGATAGCGTTGATGCACACAAGGGATCCGGCCACCATATACCCATAACAGGTGGATACACAGGAGTAAGTAGATTATTTAATAGAATTGTTGTAGATAATTCTAATGAAGAGAATGTGGTCGGTGGTGAGTGTTGTGCAGAATTGTGTAGTATATTATTCACAGCTTTCATCATATATTCATTAATTGATGTCGACCAAAATGTTGAATACTCAGACAGACAGGCTGTATATGTATTGTAAAGAAACAAAATATGTATATAAAGGAATGTAAGGTAACATGAAATGAAATCTACAACAGTTAGTCTAAGCCACGTAGGAAGGTGTAGACTGGCTTCCTGGTTGGGGTCCTCGGGACGGTAAAAACCAATGGTTGGAAACAATCGGTGGCATGGCTCAAAATCGTTCACAATGAATAGCGCAGATGCATCCACTCCTCGTGACTTATGATTTCCAATTAAACTGTTTTGTTCTTCGTTATTACTGTTCCTCTTGTCTCTATCCCTGTCTACTGTCTCTAATATGCATTTCTTCTACTTTCTTCTCTTGCTTTGTGTGCTACATGGAGTGTGGCGACTTGAACTGGTGCACATATGTGCAAAGTTCTATGTTGAAAACCGACCGACCGAAGGTAACATGAAGTTTAAAGTTAGGCAAAGAAACAAAGTTCTAATGCTTAACTAATGTTTAACATTAACTCAAGGTGTATATATTGTAGAATATAGAATTTAGAAAAATCTACTCTATGTCTGTAAAGTCACTCGAGCGACCATCACAACAGAAGACTAAGAAGGTGACTTATACAATGCTTAAAGCACTTGATTTTATCTTTATTTTTTTAAAATACTTTTGATTACAGCTTGATGCCATACCGTATTTTCAGTACAAGTATGGAATTTTCAGCATGGATATCGGTAGCCCAAATTTGCTGGCCAACCATAGATATCGGGTGTGCGTCGGTAGGAGATCGAACCCCGGACCATGAACATGGTCGGCGAGAGTCCTAACCACTCTGCCACCGACGCATAGTTGATACTGATGGAAATGCTCTGAAGATATTCATTCGTCGCAGAAATAAGCATGGAAATAATGTTCACACGTAGGGAGGTAGGCGTAGACTTCCTGACTGGTTGCAGTCCTCGGAATGGTAAGAACTGATGACGGCTGGCTGGAGACAATTTATGATATGGCCTTAAAATCCTCGTTCTCAATGACTGGCGTTAATGCATTCATTCAATCTTTGTCATTTATCATATCCAATAAAACTGTATTGTTCTTCGATATTACTAGTATTATTTTTGCCTCACTCACACTTCTGTTTATTATCTGTCTCTCTTTTGAATCTCTGTTTACTCTCTTCTCTTGTTTTGTGTATTACAAGGAGGGAGGAGTGTGGTAAGTCAAACTAGTGCACATCAGTGCAAAGTTCTATGTTGAAGCCAGTCAGTCAGTCAGTCCCAATTACTCTAAATTATTCAATGCTAAATACATATGGTGTACAATAATATCAATACATTTCTAGTTGCCGATTGCCTCCAGCTATCTAATATCATCATATCAATGTGCACCGTGATGGCGAGCTACCTAGAATGGTGGCCACATTGCAAACCTGACTGATAGAATTCAGTCTGCACCAAATAAAGGACTAGACACGTCACACTAGTTACTAGTGTCCAATCAAAATACCCACTACAGTCCTACAGGAGGTCAATCGCAAGCCCGAATAGCTCAGTGGTAACGTCTCTGACTGCAGACGGCACTGGGCTACGCGGGTTCGAATCTCAGAAGGGAAATGAGTTCCTTTAGGGCTGCAGATACACCTTGCTGACGAGTGCCAACTAGCACGAAACCTAGGTCGGAGGCTTCCTGTGGCCGATTGCCTCCAACTGTCTAATATCAACACATCTTAGTTTGAAGCTCGTATTATAAACGAGATAAATAAAACCGTAGGTAGCCCCCAGAAAATTCATGCTTTTCATACATTTAACCGTGAGCCAGACTTCTTTTTTTAAGAACCAATGACAGACACTGTTTAACTACTTAAACTTCAATAAATGAAATAAGTGGCTGAGAGTGATTACACAAAAGACACGGTTGCATATAACCTGACAGATGGACAAATGATTGGCTTCGTTTTCCCTCTGCCCTTTATTATTATTATTATTGTTATGATTATTAATGTAATCACAAGCAACCCATTTTATCTGTGCGCTTCGTGGGCTGAAGTACTCATTTTCAGCCGATGGGTCACAGGTTCGAGTCCGATTGTACCTGTTTCAGCCCAAGCAACTAGATAGTATCATCAGCCAATCTTCACCTGATACATGAAAAGTCCATTCCGGGTTATTGAATACAAACAAGAAATACCAAGATATATCAAACGCTACTGAGACTCTCAAGCAAAACAACTACCCAAAGAACTTCATCAACAAAATCAACACTGACATTAAGTATGGTCGAAAAAGTGTTCCGAAAACATGGACCTCAACAGTTGTCATTCCATATATAGAGCAGAGATGTCAGACGATATCAGAAAAGTACTCAATAGGCTCGACATCAGAGTTTTCTTCAAAATATCAGACACACTTTGAAGCAACCTTGTCCATATAAACGACCAAATCCCTAAAGCTTCTCTATCTAATTGTGTCTATAAAATAAAATGCTTGGAATGTGATGCGATATACATCGGACAAACATCTCGAGCATCTGTTCGACCACCGAGAAATCCGGTTGAACTAGAAAAGCTTGAAAAATCATCAGTCATAGGTCGTCTTCACGCTACGCTATAGAATCAGGCCACAAAATTGATTCTGAAAATATTGAAATCATCATTCAGAAAAATTTCTGAAATCACAAAGAATGTCTAATATCATCAGAAGCTCTTCATATCAAATGGAATCCAAATTTTCTGAATAGGAGTGATGGAGTAAAACAGAATTTAACTTGGTTACAACACCTCCTTCCCCCATGAAGTGACAAAATCAACACAAATGTGATAAGCAATTTCATTATACAAACACATACTACTTTTATAATTTCACACACTTGTCGAATCCAACAGTCATCTACACCCGATTTTCCTATCTTTACCAATTGATCAACTTGACAACGTAAAAATGATCCCATGCTGAGGAACGATGAATAAGTTGTTATATATAAGCTGAGATATTGTAAATTCTGGTTTAATATTACTACTTTGATAAAGCTATTAACAGCATTAAATAGCTAAACGTCAGTAAAAGCAATATCGTTTTGTTTTTCATTCATTGGGAAATACAAAAAACCTTCGTTATAATGAATATCATATACCCAATGCCCAAATTTTTTCAAGCTGTTAAAAGTGAACTTAGTTTGAACATATATAATTTATATTTAGTTGTTAAAGGCCTTACGTGACTGACTGACTGGTTTCAAAGTAAACTCTGCAAAGATGTGCAGCAGTTCGAGTTGTCGTACTCCATGCAGCACACAAAGGTAGACAAAAGAGAGAGAGAGGAGAAGAAAATAAAAGGATTCGGAAGGACTGTAATAAGCAGAAATGTGAGGGAGGAAGAATAATAACATAGAAACACATGACGTGGACAGGTAGGTGTAACACATGTCTTACCCATCTCAAATGATGTAACTTCACAACCTCGTCGACTGATTTCACCCACCTTACCTACCCCTTGACCGAAGCTTAACCTCAATATTGCTCACCCTGTTACACCTAACACCTAAAATGGGAGATAGAACCCGAGCACCTATGGTCAAAGGCAGCCAGTCAGGCTTTTAATGTCTTCCACTTTCAATGGCCCTGTCTCGCTCACACCCATAACGGAGGACAGAGCGAACTGCTGAGCAGTACACATATGTCGTCCTTTGGTCGACAGCCAGCCGGATATCATATCTATACCAGTGATGGCGTAAGTTGGCAGGCATATACCAAACGAGCCTTCTGTATCCGTGCTGAGATTTCATCAGCGACCAACCCGTTGGGGGTTGGCTGATGCAACTTCCCAAATAAGTGAAGAGGTCAACAGGCTTTAAGTGTCAGCGTAGACATTATTTTCAGTGCTGTTACGATTTTAAAATATAAAAATAGCAGAAAAAGATGCAGCCCAGGTAATAATAATAATAATAACTTGAACTATAGATATTCGTTGTGATATCGCAGGATTAAAAGAAAGCCCCATTTAACTTACCTGATTTATCTATCATCCAAAGAAAGATAAGAAAAATTGATAAAAATTTTTTCCCATCACCACCGAATAAATCAACTCCTTTGGCAGAACGATTCGATGCTGTCTGTAAGACATAATTCAATAATCGAAGAGTATTTTCTATCAAAGTTACAGATACCATAAATTGTCTTGTAGGCATGTAATGCGAGTTATCAGTGTTCATATTCTGTGGCTGAGTTCTTATATCACCACCAACACCACCACCCCCACTATTATGACTACTACCGCCACTTGAAGTAACACCGGTTAGTTGAGTATAGGGATAACCCAGTGAGTAGAAGAAGAACTGAAAAATAAGAGAAAGAGAGAAGTAAAAGAGATTTATTTGTGGAAGGTTCTTGTTATGAATAGGAAAAATACCAATTAGAACAAATACATATATATCTCAGAATGATGACCAAAGGATCTTATTTAAATTACAATTTTAGCTCGTGGGTGATCGTCAAAACATAGTAGCAAATAATCTTTAACAAGGCAAGAACTACAGTTTTAGTAGAATAAAGTGGTACCATCAACGGTTATTTCGTTGCCTTCTCGTCAGCTGCTTACAAGGCAAAGACATTATTAAATATATCTACAAAAACAATTTTAACATACTTGCACAGAGTTCATTTTAAGCAAAAATCAATCGATCAATATACGCATACACTAATATATATATACATATATATATATATATATATATATATAATATTAAACACTATTCCGAACAATAATAATCATACACAATGGAAAGTTTTCAGCATTTCGCATTCAGATGAAAGAGAGATGAAAAATATCCAGCTACCAGGGCAAAGAAAGACTGATAACTAACAGCTTCTTTCTGGATGCATAAATCAGGTTTCAGGCGGTTGATGGAAATGGCTCCAGCAAACTTAAGGAGAATTGAGCTCTTTTGCCTATTGATAATTTTGAGGTGGACGTCGAAAAGTCGTCCATTGTGTATGATTATTATTGTTCGGAATAGTGTTTAATATTATATATATATATATATATATATATATATATATATAATTAGTGTATGCATATATTGATCGATTGATTTTTCAAAAGAATGGACTCGGAACAAAGAGTGCTCTTTTCGATAAATTCATCATCAGGTTCTACAATTATATATACATTATAATGAATGAATGAATTAGTCTTATGAACAACATTAATGCTGTTTAAATAACATCAAATCAGTAGTATTGATAGATTACAGCTCAATAGCATCAACATAAAATAAGCTGAATGTCAGAAGAATTAGGAAAGATAATAGTACAAATTCACGAGTTTATAGTTTCCACTGAGGGCCAGGCCAGTAGTAGGGGCTGGACTTGTTTCTTTTGAACACAGAGCACTGGTTGTTTGAGGCGAATTGCAATAGCCTCTGCTAATTAAAATGAACTCTGTGCAAGTATGTTAAAATTGTTTTTGTAGATATATTTAATAATGTCTTTACCCTGTAAGCAGCTGACGAGAAGGCAACGAAATAACCGATGATGGTACCACTTTATTCTGCTAAAACTGTAGTTCTTGCTTTGTTCAAATTCATTAAGGGGAATAAATGTATGAAATAATCTTTAGTTGGCGCTTAACACTTTGCTCATTACCTACAGTTTACAGCTAGCTGTTCAGTTTTTGTTTTTGATGCGGGGAGTTTCAAGAACACAGTTCTAGAAGTACAGAAACGGTGAGCATTCTACTGTTACTGAGATATCATCTAATGGTTCCCTTACTTTTATGTTAGGCTACTTGAATCAATGTGATTAGTCAAGAAATATACTCTAGATACATATTCTGATTGATTGAGACAAGAATTAATTATAATGTGAACTAAAAATGATACTAAAGGATGATAGAATGAGAAAAACGAAAATCGAGGGTGATTCAGTCATTCTATATTCTACTCCTTGAAAGGTTTCCACGAAATCTATAAAAAAGAAAACGGAAATGAGACAGGTTTCTGTTCTTAATACTTATTATTTATTGTTATTATTTATCAATAAGTAAGATTTATTATTATTATTGTTCACTTGGATTCCGATTGGAACACAGGGCTTCAACGGCACCTCTTCATTTTGTCCTATTATCTGCGATCCTCTTCAGGTGGCCCCACAGTTGCCCATAATCTCTGGTTTCCTCCTAAAACGATCTCCACTATGTCATCCTCGGATTTACGCCAAACTCGTCGTTTCCTATTGCGGTTCCTCTCGAGTGATGACCTGGCGCGCGATATCATTCGACTGTCTCCTCAGAGTGTGTCCCATCTATCTCCACTTTCTCCTACATATTTGTTGAGCAATATGTTCTCGGTTGGCTAATTCCCATAGTTTCTTGTTGCTAATTATTTTCAATTGGCCACCTGGTCTTCAATATGGAGTCAGCGAAGTGTGCAGCAGCTGTTGATAAAAGTCTGCAACCTGTTGGAAATCCTTTTCGTGACGCGTTTGCCAAGTTTATTACTGTTTGGAAGGACCGATTTGATATTGGTGTTAAAAATCCGAATCTTGTTCCTTACACTGAGTGTAGAAGATCTTCAAATTAGTTTCAGGTTGATGAAGGCATATCTTGCCTTTCCGATTCTGACTTTGTCATCTTCATCCGTTCCTCAGTCCATAGTTGAAACGATGCTTCCTGGACAGATAAGTGAAAGAAGTAACCTCTGTTAAATCTCTCCTGTTAATGGTGATTGGTGCTGGTTGTTGCTGTTGTCGCGGTTCGTTGGTTATCTTCATCACCTCCGTCTTCTCTATGTTCACCTGCAGTTCTGTCTTCACTGCCTGATTCTTCAGCTTGTTTGTTGTTTCTCACCTGCAAGTCTTCGAGTTCGCGTGATATTAAACATATATCATCCATGCGCGAAATCCAGATCATCTAGGGTCTTATTATTGGTGGTCAAGCGTATTCCTGTCTCATCGCTCCCGTTCACACTTTGACGGATAATCCAGTCCACCACAATTAAGAATATCATCGGTAATAATAGACAGCCCTGTCTAACTTCTGTATACGCTTCGGATGCCTCGCCGAGTTTTCCGTTATGAATCACCTGACACGTGCCACAGTCATATAGCTGTTGAATGAGGTTGATAAAGATTTGCACACTGAAAGCCGTAGCGTTGAATCAGTTTCCAAATTACTTCTCGGCCAAGGTTGTCTGATGAAGGCCTTTTCGAAGTCGATGAAGTTGAGGCAGAGAGAGGTTTGACTGCCATTCTATGCTTTGTTCGATGGCGATGACGATGCGTAGACTTGCAATTCAGTCAGCACATGATTTGCCTTTCCTGAATCCAGAGTGTTCTAGTCGGTGGGGCGGAGTTCTACATCCAGAGCATCTTTTAGTCACTCCAGGATGATGTGACTAAGTATTTTACTTGGTGTGGACAACAGCATTATTCCACGTCAGTTCTTGCAGTGAGGCGTAAGTCGGCCTTCTTTGGTAACTTGAAAAGGTAGCCTTTCTTCTAATTGGTAGTCATATTTCCATCCTTCCAAACTTTGTGCAATAATGGTGTGAGCACATCTGCTGCAGTCTCCGGGTCCGTTCCCCGTGCTTCGGGAGGAAATCCATCTGGTCTTGTTGTCTTCTCGACTGAATTTCAGTAGCTTGATTTCGGTGGAAAACTGGTGTCCACTAGCAGGTGGTTCTGTGTGTGCTGTTGGCGGTATTTTTGGAAATGTGTTTATCGTTACTTGTTTAGCTGAACTGAAGTGGAACTGTGGTTCACTGTCATGAAACCATTACATACTTTCAAACCGCTATTCACCTACAGTGGTGAGGAGAACTAGGTATTGCAGCCAGAAAGCATACAGTAGATGTAGCTCATTGCGAAGTAAATGTACGCGATTATTGAGTAGTTGTTAAAAGGCTGTAGTCGATGTTGGTTTACACAGTATTACAACGATTACGAGGATAATGCTACTGTTAGTTCGCTTCACATCTAACATCTGTTTAACTGTTACCCCTTTTCTTCATGTTCAGATTTATACTACTTAATACTACTAAGTAGTGTGACTGTATATCTTGTCAATTATATAATTCTCCAGTAATTATAATTGGTCATTTCCTACGTTAACAATGTATTTTGTCTGTACACGTTTGACTACCTCCTAAAGTCTGTTTATTCAAACCCCTTTTAGTTGTAATATACATTTGTGCGTCAGTTACAGTGAACCGTTTTAGATACATCACTGCTATCTTATTGACACACAGTTATGCCAGTGCTTTTGACGTCATTCAGCCTTGTAATATCTCACAATTTGAGATTTGTAATTTCAATTCGTAATTCTTATATATATTAAAGTATCGTATCTTACACGGAACTGGTGTTCTAGATGATATACGTGACTCAAACATCTGGTTTGTGTCATCGAAGAAAAAAATCTACAACTGTCACTTAACAAACAACACCATAATGTAACTAAAAGCATACTCCTTCGAATGGGCCTTGAAGATATTACTTAGAAATGTAGCTTGTGAAAACAGGATGAGTCCTTGCATAAAAGAAATTTCATTTTCTGACACAAAGTTGCTAATTTTTACTGAACAGAGATAAGTGGTCACTGTTTGCATATCAATTCCTAGAACGTAGGCTAGAGGTGGAGTCTCGGATGAGAAATACGTGAGTCTAAGGAAACGACAGTTGACAACAATGTCTTTTGTGGTTCACGAATCTAGTGGTTAACGTTTTAGTATTTGAAATGACAGGTGATGGGTCCGAGTCTTAGTAAGACACGGTTGAGGCGACGCCGGAATAGGAAAAGATGCATCATCCTAAATCCTACTGCTATTCATCACTTATCGAATAACATCAAGTTGGAATGATTCTGTCTGCCTTAAATAATTTAATAATAATAATGATTTACTTTATTCCAAAAACAGTACTTGTGATACAGAATGGAATTTTCAGCATTAATCACAATAATATTGCATCTGATTTCCTCAAATTATAAATAAAATTAATCACACAGAAAATTTTCCACATTTACAATAGGGGTAATGTCAAAAACATGCAGCATATAAAATGGAAATAATAATAGTAATAATAATGATAACAGCTAAGGTAATAATAATAATACAAGTGAAAATTGCCGTGGGCTTCTTTCACACAGTATTGTCGATGCGGTATAGAAATCCTAGCATGATTAAAAATATTGAATATAATGTTCTCTTTACATGATATGGTGAGGGGAAAAACAAAGATTACAGCAATCATAGAGATAAGTTGGTGTTTGCAATTATGAAAGTAAAACAAAGAAGCAACAGGACCACAAATATAATAGAAATAATAAAAGTAAAACTTGAAGGTATATAAGGATGGATGGAGGAAATTGTTTATTTACTGGATGAAAAAAGGTTAGTTAATTCTTGCCTGACGCTATTTTCATCACATAAAATACGTGACAAGTATGGTATCATAGAAATTTTATACTTAGACGTGCGAGCATACAGTTTTCTGAAGTTACTTCTTGTTCTACCTGAGGAGATGCAAGGTGAAAGCTGAGGGTAAAGTGGATGCTCCAAGTCAGACAAAATCCCTTTAGCAAATTTATTGCACGAAGTCAAGTGCCTATCGACAACGACGTTAACTATGTGGTCCACTGGGACACCACTCACCCTACTGACAGTCTTCAGCATTCTACGAATTGTGACATAGTCCTTTTTAAGCAAACCAGGAAAGAATAAGGGTGAACAATAAAGAAGAATAGGTAGGATGCAAGAGTTTATGAACTGTAAGAGGAGGGGTTGAGTTATACCCGAGTGCCTTAACTTTTTCCTAATGTAAAATGTCAGGCGGAATATTTTACTGGAGATCGCTAAGATATGGCAAGACCAGGAGAGATCAAAAGAGAGAATAAGTCCAAGATACTTAATTTCTGATTCAATTCCTATATCATTGTTGTCAGTCTTACAACTGTCATGAGAATCGACGGCTTCTTTTGACTGTCTTTTACATCTCAAGCTGAAATTAACAGTTTGACATTTAGAAGGATTCAGTTTAAGACCGTTAGACTCAGACCATTTACTGACTCCCGACAGAAAGCTATTTATTTTGGTACAATCTAGCTGGGAGTTAACAGCCATTGAAACTGTTAAATCATCAGCGTACTTCACAAAGTTTACTTCATCAGAGTGAGGCAAGTCATGTGAGAAGAAGAAGAAAAAAGAAAAGGAGGAAGGACAGCGCTTTGAGGGTACTATCAGGCACTTGGGTGACAGATAGATCAACATATGACTTCAGTTGATGTCACTGTACAGTCCAGCAGAACAGAAAGACAAAGTGAACAGAAATGGAGTAATAGATAATAATGATAATAACAATAATAACAGACACATAAAAGGGATAAAACGTTAAGTAAATTCTACATACCTCAATAAGAATGAGTAGGAAACTCAAAGCATCTGTTTCTTTTTCTATAGGTACTAAATCAACTGCTGGTAGATGCGGTAGTACTCGTAGAAACTCCAATAAAGCAAATGATAAACCAGTCAAATATGACTGAACAGAATCCACCAATGTTGGATCTAGCAAAAAAAGCAAAAACAAAACAAGACCAATTAGAGATAAATTTGACTCTTTAAAACCAGCAGACTGTAAATTCCCACATAATTTATGATTTAACTAACATACATAAACCTGAATGTCCTTCTAAGTCCTATTGATGTCAATGTGTAGATCAGCAACACATAAACTTCCTCAATGACTGGTTGGTTAGTTAGTGGAATTATTGGATCTAGTCGGAAGATAAATTCTATGAAGGAGACAGTTCAAGTGATAAATAAGCTTGATGGTATTAACATCAAAAATAGTGTATCTGCAACGACAGAAGACAAGGGCCAGACAACAGATCGTTTATTGAGGGAAATCAACAGATATTCATATATTTTTGTGTACATTATTATTCGTTATTATTAGCAGAGAAACGGCGTCTTCTGATTGGTCGTTTTCTCACTGGAAGTTAATCTGTCGATATAAGAATAAAACTTGGGCACTGTGGTAGAGTGTAATTCCATTATGAGTAAATTTTATTTTGATAGAGTCTCACAGTGTTTGTTATACAGTAAGTTAATCTGTCATCTCTTTGTGACCGTTCCTTTGAAGGTCAGACCATATGTCTGCGTATCATATCCACCCACGCAAAGTCTGCTGTGATTGGTTGTTGAGTTAGTCTGTTCTCGTTTTTTTCTCATGGCCAAGATTTCGGACGTAAACATTGACGTAAATTGCTGTTGTCTACCAATTTTGGCTAGCAGGCAGCTCTCACAACATATCCTTTAGATATAAACCCTTTATTCATTGATGTACGCTTAGTTAAAAAACAATTGACATTTTCTGTGATTACATTTCAGCAAAAAATAATTTCTTAATCCCAATGCCTCCATCTTATTTAAAGGATTTATTGCTGCTATTCATCACATTTGAAAGTGTAAACTGAGAGTATATTTGAAGATTTAATTGAAAATACACCACTTTGTAAAAGATATGCCCATGATCTGTCTGTCTGTTTTCGACACAGAACTTTGCACATATGTGCGGCAGTTCAAGTCGTCACACTCCCTCCTTGTAGCACACAAAGCAAGAGAAGAAAGTAAAAGGAAATGCATAATAGAGACAGTAGACAGGGTTATGAGACAAGAGGAATAGTAATAACGAAGAACAACATAGTTTTATTGGGTATTATAAATCACAAGGAGTGGATGCATCTGCGCCATTCATTAAGAACAAGGATTTTGAGTCATATCACCAATTGTTTCCAACCATTGGTTTTTACCGTCCCGAGGACCCCAACCAGTCAGTCAGGAAGTCTACACCTTCCTACGTGGCTTAGACTAACTGTTGTGGATTTCATTGACTGGTGCCATGTTTTTCGCCGCTAGCTCTTTTCCAACCTGGCCCTATATCAGCTAACATTTCCCATCGAGGAAGGCGATGACTAGGCATACGTAACACATGCCCATGATATTTTAATCATAAATGATAATCCCAATTAGGTCACATGAATTTTTACATCGAATGAATGAAGTGCAAAACAGCAGATCAATTTACATATATAGAAGAGAAAGATAATTGTTAATTTTCCCTAGATATATTAAACTCCATTGATGGCTTGATGGATCAGTATACAACAATCTATTATAGAAAATCTACTTGAACAGGGAAGTATCTTGGTTATCATAGATTCTCTCCTGTTCAGTACACAAGAGACCCAGTGTGAGGTATGCCTGCCCCTAGTAGGATCAAACGAATATGTTCAGAAGACACACTGGAAGGTGAGGTGAGAATATTGACAGAAACTCTGATTGAAAGTAATTACACAGAGAGAAGTTCATAATGAGAGATAGATATACAGCGCGATCAAACCCGACAAGACCCGTTCTCCAACTCATCGCTAGAAAGGCTGTATATATATATATATATATCAAACTAGCTTACACTGGTAACCATGGAAGCTTGATATTTAGACGATAAAGATTGACCCCTGAGGTCAATAAGATTATGCAGCTGAAATCCAGAAAATTGAGAATGTAAAGCATGTATACCCCCTTCGAAGTCCTTAGAACATTCGAAAAATGACATCACATCCCACTGGACCTATATCATGAGGTGACGTTTATTTGAGCCTGGGATAGTGGACAGTGACTCAACTGGCTGACTAATTCTAAACAAAGTAACCAATTTTCAAAGATAATCTATACACCACCTTCAATGTTGTCTCGAAATGAAGCTTTATATCCTCAGAGAACAAATAAAACTGCAAGAATACATAAGTATTGGTATGACTATACGGGAAGCTTTGATCTGGCAAAGTGTTATTGATGCATATATACATATATCACATTGTTTGAGACATATAGGGAGATTTAGACTGCCTACGTGGGATCCTCGGGATTCTAAGAACCAATGACTGGAGACTGTCGGTGATATGGCTCAAAATCCTCGTTCTCAGTGGCACAGACATGCACTCACTCTTTGTGATATCTCATATTCATTAAACCCCCTTGTTTTTTCCATGTTAATATTCTTCCCCTCCCACATTTCTGCTTATTATTATAATTCTTTTGAATCTCTTTTTTCTCTCTTTTGTTTATTTTATGTGCTACATGTGTAACTACAGAAGTCAAGGACCAGGTAAAAGATCGTTTATTGAGAAAATCAACAGATATTTATATATTTGGATAGGACACTAGTAACTAGTGTGACGTGTCTAGTCCTTTATTTGGTGCAGACTGAATTCTACCAGTCAGGTTTTGCAATGTGGCCACCATTCTAGGTAGCTCGCCATCGCCGTGCACATTGATTTGATGATATTAGATAGTTGGAGGCAATCGACCTAGGTTTCGTGCTAGTTGGAACTCACCAGTCAGCAAGGTGTATCTGCAGCCTTAAAGGAACTCATTTCCCTTCTGAGATTCGAACCCGCGTCACACAGTGCCGCCTGCAGTCAGAGACGTTACCACTGAGCTATTCGGGCTTGTGATTGACCTCCTGTAGGACTGTAGTGGGTATTTTGATTGGACACTAGTAACTAATGTGATGTGTCTAGACCTTTCTTTGGTGCAGAATGAATTCTATCAGTCAGGTTTTGCAATGTGGCCACCATTATTATTCGTTAGTGTTAGCAGAGAGGTAGCGTCGGCAAAGTTCAACAATAGCGTCCCAGGATTGCGAACGCACGAGTGACCTTCAGCTGATCAATCATAAAAATGAGGAATGTTTGCTCAAAAAATGATGTATATCGACAAGAAAATGCTTGAAAACACATTAAACAGGTTGTCCTTATCTGACATGACTCAAAAATACGTCCTAGTTGTAACGAGTAGATCAGTTGCTAAGTTAGACTAGTTTCTGTACATGTATTCACCGAGATGACTACAGATAAACTGTTTTTGTGAATCGTTTATCTCTCTCTCATCCTGCTTGCAGTCTTGCAAAAAAGCCCTCGGTTGAATTATTATGGTTTCCAGTAAGAGGATAGACGACTACTTACCAGGAAAACGTGGATAAAAAAAATTAAAATAAATGACATCAACTCTAAATCTATCCCTAATCGTAACCATAAGCTTAATCCTGACCATAACACTAAACCTAACCTTAATCTTAACCCTAATCATAACCCTTATTCAAACCGTATTCCTAACCCTAATGCTAATTATAACCCTGACCCGAACCCTAACCCCAATACCTACCTTAACCCTAATGAGCTATTAACACATTGTACAAACAGTACTTAAAAACGTGATCTGGGTGAAATTTGCTCCTAAGTCGGTGAATAGCGTTGATATTTCAGCTATGATAATGACAGATGCCGTTAACCAACGGCTAGCATGCCTTCAAGGTCATTGGAGCGTTCACACTCCTGGGATGTTATTGTTGAACTTCACCGTAGCGCCTTCTGATTGGTTGTTTTCCTGCAGAAGGTTATTCTGTCATCTCATTGTTGCCGTTTCCTCGACAGTCCGTTGATGATATATCTGCTAATCGTATCCGCCCACGCAAAGTCTGTTGTGATTGGTTGTTGAGTTAGTCTTTGTTCTTGTTTTAGGACGTAAACATTGAAGTAAATTGCTGTCTACCAATTCTGGCTAGCAAACAGCTCTAACCACAAATGGGGTGTGGCTACTTCAAAATGGTTCACTTCTGTGCAAAATTCTGCGTTGAAACCAGTCAGTCAGTCACATATGTGACATCAGTGTCAAGTGAGTTATCATTATTAATATAAAAGAAACATACATCATACCTTCAGTTTCTTTGAATAATTCCATAGGGTTGGTTACAATATCTTGTATATTTTTAAAAAGTAGCTTCTCACTAAAATAATTTACAAAAAGGAGAAAATTAAACGAAGAGATTTCATAATTTGTTATCTAATTGAAAAAAAATAAACATTGAGATAAATTTTGTTAAGTCAATGAAACAATCCGACGCGAAACAATAATCTAATCTGAATTACGAGTTTTTGATCACGGATTGATATCATCAGTTAGAGAGAGAACCATTGAAAACCAGCCCCACACGGAGTACTGGACAGCTGTTTCATCAGCCTAGTTCTTTGAGAATCATCGGCAGTACGCACCCACTGCCAGGGTTCGAACCCACACCTCCCATGGTCAAACTCGTAAAACACAAATCTAATCCTTACAAACCAACTCTTGAAAGATAATCTGAATACTTAATATCAAGTTTATAACCAGTTTCGATATAAACTTCCTAGAATTGATGACTAGAGTGATCTACAATGTTGAGTATAAGTATACAGTTTTACAAATATACTGAGATCTGTAGAAGGCTACTGAATTTATGGAGGATTTCATCATGAGCTGACATCAGTTAGAGAACCACTGGAAAACCTGGGAGTACTGGACAGCTGTTTCGTTCTAGTTTGGGACTCTTCATCAGTATGCACCCACCAGGTTCAAACCCAGGGCCTTCTGGTTACAAGGCAAGCTCGTAGACCATTGAGCCAAAGGTTTTTGAATTCTAATTTCTGCCAGTTCACGACATAGCGCGACCATTTCGCAATGTCTTCTTCGATGAGTTATTATTATTATTGTTCCCTTGGGTTCCTAGTGGAACATAGGGCTTCAACTGCACGTCTCCACTTGCTTCTGTCTTCTGCTGTACTTTTCACCTGCATCCATGTTAGTCCATACTGTTTCAACACTTCTTCACACTATCTCCTCCATGTCACCCTTGGACGTCCCACTCGCCGCTTCCCTTTAGGGTTCCACTCGAGCTATGGCCTGACGCGCGATGTCACCCAGTGGCCTCCTCAGCGAGTGTCCAATCCATCTCCACTTTCTCCTGCATATTTGTTGAGCGATTGCTTCTTGTTTTGTTTCTTCCCATAGTTTCTTGTTGGTGATTCTTTCCGGCCATCTGATCTTCAGTATAGAGTCAGCGAAGACAATTGTTGATAAAGGTCTGCAACAGGCTGTTGGAAATATTCTTGGTGACCCGCCAAGTTTCTGATCCGTAAAGCAAAATTGACTGACTTCACGTTTGTATTGAAAATCCGAATTTTGTTGTTGATGCTGAGTGACGAAGATTTCCAGATTGGTTTCAGGTTGATGAATGTGTTTCTCGCCTTCCCGATTCTCGCTCGATTTGACATCCTCGTCCGTTCCTCCTGTGGTTGAGACAATGCTCCCTAGGTAAGTGAAAGAAGTAACCTCTTTCAAATCCCTCCCGTTGATGGTGATTGGCACTGGATGTTGCTGCTGTTGTTGTTGGTTGGTTATTTTCTTGACCTCCGTCTTGTCTATGTTCACCTGGAGTCCTGTCTTCTCTGGCTGCTTCTTCGACCAGTTTGTCGGTTTTTGCTTGTAAGTCTTCGATTTTGTGTGACATCAAACATAAATCATCCACGCGCGAAATCCAGGTCTTCTAGGCTCTTCACGTCGGTCCAGGATATCCCTGTCTTCTCGTTTCCCACTGTCTGACGCATAATCCAGTCCACCACAATTAGGAATATCATTGGTGATAATAAGCACCCTTGTCTGACTCCTGTGTTTACTCCAAACGCTTCGCTGAGTTTTCCGTTGTGGATCACTTGACATGTGCCGTTGTCGTACAGCTGTTGAATGAGGTTGATGAATATTTGGGGTACGCCGCAGTACTCGAGTAGTTTCCAAATTACTTCGCGGTCAACGCTGTCGAAGGCCTTCTCAAAGTCTATGAAGTTGAGGTAGAGATTTGAGTGCCATTCCATGCTTTGTTCGATGATAATGCGTAGAGTTGCAATTTGGTCAGAACATGATTTGCCTTTCCTGAATCCAGCTTGTTCTGGTCGGAGTTCTGTATCCAGTGCGTCCTTTATTCTCTCCAGGATGATGCGACTCAGGATTTTACTTGGCGTCGACAGGAGCATGATTCCTCGCCAGTTCTTGCAGAGTCCCAGGTCGCCCTTCTTTGGTAGTTTCACCAGGTAACCTTTCCTCCAGTCAGTAGGCACCTTTCCCTCTTTCCAGATATTTTGCAATAATGGAGTCAGCATATCTGCCGTCGTTTCTGGGTCCGCTTTCAGTGCTTCCGGGGGTATTCCATCTGGTCCAGCTGCTTTTCCAGCTTTCAGAAGCTTGATTGCATTCATGACTTCAGTTTTCGTTGGAGGATTGGTGTCAACTTGCAGTTGTGTACGCGCTGTTGTTGGTATTACTGGACGGGTTGTAGGTGGTGGTCGATTCAAGAGTCCTTTGAAGTGGTCCGCCCATTGTTTAATCTGTCTTTCTTCTTTGGTAATTGGGTTCCCTTGGCTGTCTTTTATAGGTTTCACTTGTGTTGATCTCTTCCCGGATAGAGACTTGGTTATCTGATATAGTGTCCTCAGGTCCCTTTCGCCTACTGCCTTCTCAGCTTCAGTAGCCAGGTTGTCGTAGAATTATCTTTTGTCCTTCCTGGCACTCTTCTTCACTTCTTTGTCCAGTGTTGTGTAAGTTGAGTTCAGCCTCTCTTTCTCTTGTCCATCTTTGCAATGAATCATTTTTTCTTTCACCTTTCTCCTCTCCTCTATTAGTTTCCAAGTGTCTGTTGAGAGCCATTCCTTGTCTTGTTTCTTCTTTCTTCCTAAAACCGTTGAGCACGTTTCGTTGAAAATTGCCTTCAGAGAGTTCCAATGGTCTTCCACGCATGATTCCTCAGTGGTGCCACGTAGTGTTTCCTGCTTTGCTCTGACAGTTGCAGTGAAAGTGTCCTTTATGGTTGTGTCTTTCAGTTTTTGCGTGTTGAACTTGCATTGTAGCCTATCCCCAGCTATCCTCGAGGCTTTCAGCTTCACCTTGAAAGTCCCTTGTACTAGATAGTGGTCTGAACCCACATCTGCTCCTCTCCTCGATCTTGTGTCCAGTAGGCTCCGTCTCCACTTCCTTGAGATTGAAATGAAGTCTATCTGGTTTTTGGTGTGTCCATCTGGTGAAATCCATGTCACCTTGTGTATGTCCTTGTGTTTGAACACACTGCCACCAATCACCAAATCATTGAAGGCGCAGAAGTCTGAGAAGAGTTCACCATTTTCGTTCATTTCAACGAGGGCCTCGCGACCCATGCTGAGTTCTCTTCCTGTATTGTCTCCTCCCAGTTTCGCATTCATATCACCCATCAGGATTTTGATATCGCTCTTTGGGACGTTGTCCATTACTGTTTGTAGTTGACTGTAGAAATCCTCCTTCTTCTCTTTTTCTGAGACGTTTGTAGGCGCGTAGCATTGAATGATTGTAACCTTTTTTCCTTTTGAGTTGAACCCGGCTGTCATTTTCCTGGAGGAGATTGGTTTCCACTGCATGAGAGCTTTAGCCGCTATTGGTGACATAATGATGGCTACTCCCTCGGTGTGCTCGTGATTGTCCTCTGGGTGACCGGAGTAGATTATTGTCTCTCCAGTTGATAGTTGGCTCCTTCCACATCCGTTCCATCTGCTCTCGCAGATTCCCAACACTTCTATTTTATATCTCCTCATTTCTGCGGCTACCTGAGCAGCTTTCCCAGCTTCGTACATTGTACGAACATTCCACGTCCCCATCCTTATTTTTGCTCTCATCGAAAGAAGGCACATCGGCTGACTGGCTTCCCGAAGGCTTTCACCAGCCCGCGTCATTTCACTTCCCCGATTCCAGCGAAAAATAAGGTCACTATTTGTAATTTTAGAATTTTGAATATATTTGTGCGTTGAAGTTTTAGTAGCAATTTGGTTAAGTTTTGGGGGTGGAGTTGTTAGCACCACACCCCAACCCTCCCTTTTTATCCGGGCTTGGGACCGGCTAGAATACTAGTGACCTAGTAATCTAGGCGAGGTTCTTCGATGAGTTACTGCCTCATTTTCAACCTGCTGTAGCCTACTGGTCACGGCTTCCCACTAGAACCCTAGGTTAACTGCCTGAATAGGGCCAGTCACTAGTGCACATTACACGACTAATTGATAGAGGTTCGAAATTGCAAAAGCACAAACAGGAGTTTGTGAATTCAGTAAATTTAGGTTGGTGAACTGCTCAGCTGAATACTCTACATATAACTTTATATATACACTATGAGAAATACGTAAGGAGATACATGACGAACAAACAAACAACAGGGAATCAACCATGAAAAAAAGGAAGGGTCAAAATGTTTTTTTCCCTGTCTTAGAACTTGAATTATACGACAACATTTATGGATACATAGATACAGAGCCTGAGGAGAATTGCAACTATACAAATCGTCATCGCCATCGAACAAAGCATAGAATGGCAGTCAAACCTCTGTCTCAACCTCATCGACTTAGAAAAGGCCTTCATCAGACAACCTTGGCCGAGAAGTAATTTGGAAACTGCTTCAACGCTACGGCTTTCATCAGTGTGCAAATCTTTATCAACCTCATTCAACAGCTATATGACTGTGGCACGTGTCAGGTGATTCACAACGGAAAACTCAGCGAGGCATCCGAAGTGTATACAGAAGTAAAACGGGGCTGTCTATTATTACCGATGAGATTTTTAATTGTGGTGGACTGGATTATCCGTCAGAGTGTGCACGGGAGCGATGAGACAGGAATACGCTTGACCACCAATAATAAGACCCTAGATGATCTGGATTTCGCGCGTGGATGATATATGTCTAATGTCACACGAACTCGAAGACTTGCAGGTGAGAAACAACAAACTGGCTGAAGAATCAGGCAGTGAAGACAGAACTGCAGGTGAACATAGAGAAGACGGAGGTGATGAAGATAACCAACGAACCGCGACAACAGCAACAACCAGCACCAATCACCATTAACAGGAGAGATTTAACGGAGGTTACTTCCTTCACTTATCTGGCCAGGAAGCATCGTTTCAAGTACAGGCGATAGCATGAATGAAGATGTCAAAGTCAGAATCGGAAAGGCAAGATATGTCTTCAGCAATCTGAAACTAATTTGAAGATCTTCTACACTCAGTGTAAGGAACAAGATTCGGATTTTTAACACCAATATCAAATCGGTCCTTCCAAACAGTCATAAACTTAGCGCATGAGTCCTGAAAAATCATTTTCAACAGGTTGCAGACTTTTATCAACAGCTGCCCCCTTCGCTGACTCCATATTGAAGATCAAATGGCTAGCCGACCAGAGAGAATTAGCAACCAGAAACTCTCTCTGGGAACAGACCAACAGGCAAGAAACGATCGCCCAACAAATATGTAGGAGAAAGTGGAGATGGATCGGGCATACATTGAGGAAGCCGCCGAATGACATCGCACGCCAGGTCCTCAAGTGGAATCCCAATGGGAAGCGACAAGTGGGTCACCAGTGCGACGGTGACATAGCGGAGATCGTGTGAGGAAGAGATGAGAGAGTTTGAGCAATCGTGGACACAGCTGAAGAGGACAGCAGAATATAGGACAAAGTGGAGATGTGTTGTTGAGGCCCTATGTCCCACTCGGAACTCAAGGGAATAATAATAACAATATCCTGAGGAGGATATTGTTGAAGAAAGTTGTCTGCTCAAATCGTTCTTATCTCAACTATTATTTAGATATTTAACAGGTGAGAAATCGTCAGACAAGTGTGATTCAAAAACGCCTTAAATGGATAACGAACTCTCGCTAGTAGAAGTGAGGCTAGATCTCCGTCCTCAATGTTAGGAAAGAATTGGAAATATTACTCAACAACCAATTGCATTTCCATGCAGTTGGCAGTAAGGTATACACCTGTTGTGTAAGGGCTAGTACAGCTACTTGCCTGTTCTATTAGAACCTCGATAGGTAGAGTGGACTTTGAACCTATGACACAGATGTTGGAAGTCAAGCATCTCATATCGATAAACCTCAGCTCCAACCTGTTCCAAATATTTGGAGTTCCTGTCCATTAGCTCTTTCTGTCTATCTGAAATTTTGTTCATTATAAAATTCATCTAATTATAAGATAACGCAGAAGAAAATCGACAAGAAATATTTGTCTTCAGTAGTTTTTCAAGCCTTAATATCGAATGGCTAGCGCTCAAGCAAAATAGATTTACAAAACAATGACTGTCCCTTGCTTATGGATATACTACTTTGAAGTTCTAGTGTGGTGAGAGCTGGCCAAAGTTGGTAGACAGTAATTTACGTCAATATTTATGTCCCTAATATTGGTTGTGAGAAAAAATGAGAACGAAGACTTTGCGTAGACGGATACAGTTAGCATATAGATGATCTGACATTCAAGAAACAGCCACAGAAAGGATGAAAGATTAACTTTCAGTGAGAAACAACCAATCAGAGGACTGTGTTTATTTGCTTAAATAATCTATAATAATGTACATGAAAATATGATAAATATGTGTTGATTTCCTTAATAAACGATCTGTTGCCTGGCCCTTGTCTTCTGTTGTTACACCGGCATAGATCAAATATTTTAAAACAACAAAAAGCCACCCCTCAAAAAGAGTTACCCTCATTCAAATATATATCTAAAAGCAAGGAAAAATCTATAACTTTTCTAGAGAATAATCGGTCGGTCGGTTTTCGACATAGAACTTTGCACCGATGTGTGACAGTTCAAGTCACCACACTCCATGTAGCACATAAAGGAAGAGAAGAAAGTAGGAGAAATGCATAATATAGACAGTAAACAGAGGTGTGAGACAAAGGTATAGTAATGACGAAGAACAAAACAGTTTCATTGGAAATCATAAGTCACAAGGAGTGGATGCATCTGCGCCAGTTACTGGGAACGATTTTGAGCCATATTGTGGTGAGAGCAAGCTGCTAGCCGATTGGTAGACATTGATCTACGCTGATTGGTAGAAATTAATCTAGGCTGATTCAACAACCGATCACAGCTGACCTAGACGTGGACAAATATGATTCGCAGACAAGTGGCTCGCATTTCCGAGAAATATCGAAAACGAGAAAGCAGAAGACTGCGTTTGTTTGCAAACAACCAATCAGAAGACCGCCTTCTTTCTGCGGGCAGAAGCCTAATAATGTACGTAAAATACATATAAATACCTGTTGGTTTTCGTAATAGAACTGATCTGTTGCCTGGCCCTTGTCTTCTGTTGTTACAATATCACCAAATGTTTCCAACCATTGGTTTTTACCGTCCCGAGGACCCCAACCAGTCAGTCAGGCAGGCTACACCTTCCTACGTGGCTTAGACTAACTGTTGTGGATTTCATTGACTGGTGCCATGTTTTGGTTTGACCACCACTAGCTCTTTTCCAGCCTGACCCTATATCAGCTAACATTGCCCGTCGAGGAAGGCGATGACTAGGCATACGTAACACATGTCCTAACCATCGCAGTCAATCAATGTAACTTCACAGCCTCGTTGATTGATTGATTTTTCTTTCTTACCTAGCACTCGACGCCTAACCTCAATACTGCTCACCTTATTACTCCACTTCACACGGGAGATAGAGAGCAGACACCTATGATCGAAGACAACTAATCTTTTCATGTCTTCCGCTCTCAATGGCCAGAGAATAATATACAGTGAGGACACGAATATGCGCTAATGGAAATTCACAGAATTACTTTATGCGACTACAACAATTGAAGACAAATATGTCTAGCTAACTAGTAAACTCATGTATCCTCGTTTCAATTCAGTAACTGATCGATAGTGCCTGTACACATATACATAAACGGATCCTTAAAAGGAAAAAAGAAGGTTGAAACAACTTCTTTAATACTCTTTGAATTTCAGTGTTACTTTTTCAGCTTTTTAAAAAAAATAATTAAAAACCATCTTGAAAATTAATCTTTTTCCTATCAGAAACTATCTGATGGAAAGTAATTAACTCTATGTGTTTATCTTTGCTTTACAATGCTGGCTGACACACATTTATGCGATTCAATAATTTTAGAGAATCATGTGTATTAAAAAGTACCCCCCCCCCGCACATAGCTCAGTGGTTAGAACACTGGTCTAGTTAAACCAGGCGTCGAGAGAGTTCAATTATCTTTGGCGTCAGGAGCTTTAGTGCGTCAGTGGTACCAGCAGTAGAATGCTAGCCAACCACGCTTCATGTGGTTCGGAGTTCGACCCGGTCGGTCGGTCGGTTTTCGACATAGAACTTTGCACATATGTGCAGCAGTTCAAGCCGCCACACTCCAGACGATGCACTCCTTTACCTCGCTAAGCCAGTAGAAAGACTGGTAAAGAGGGAGGGTTGAGCATGAGGCGAGTAACGCCATCCCGTTAAAGGGACACCATTGCTACTGAAACTTCAAGCCTCTAGCATGAAGGCGCCCAATGCTCCACTGAAAGCGTAAAGGATTAAAATTAAAATAACAAAACAATGTATTGAGAAAGACAGGAACTTCATCAAGAAACAATACAAGTTAGGGAACTATTGAAAACCACAAAAGAAACATTGCCCGGCGGTTTTATCTTAAGCTGGCGTTCATCTCTGTCCGCAGTATCTAGTTAAGATTTCTCATAAATGAAAAATCTGACTATTTCACAGTAAAACATCACTGATAACAACAAAGAAAGAAACTTACGCAACTTGAAATAAAACATTTACACAAGGTGTAATACGTGATGTTTTAGGACATGCCTTGGACAATAGATTTGTAGCATCAGGTGTTGATGAAGTCGGTGTTGACATGGATGATGATGATGAAAGCGTCGATGTAGATGTAGAAGATGAACCACATACTAAAGCATAATAAAGCATTCTTGGAGAACATCGAAGACATAATGCATTAAGAATATTTGAAATTTTCTTCTCACTAATAGTTGTACACTCTGACAAGGCATGGATAAGTCGAATACCATTCAATGTGCCTGATAGATCACAGTGTTTTAATAAATCTTTAGCTGAATTTAATAACCAATTGGTTTCATCAGCTTTCTAAATTAACAATAATAATAATAATTAATAGAAAAATTAAAAAAACCCTTTGGATATTTAACCTACAAAAATTTAATTCTATGTTAGATGATTATAAGAAAGGTTTTTGTATTTCCCAATGAATGAAAAACAAAACGATATTGTTTTTACTGACGTTTCGCTATTTAATGCTAATAGCTTTATCAAGGTATTATGAATGAATATCATATAACCCAATGCCCAAATTTTTTCAAACCATATTAGATGAGTTCATTTTAATTATCACACAATGACGATGCAGTATTAACAACTGGATGACAAGGTTTTGTATTCTTATTATTGTATCCTTTAATTCCTAGAGGAACATAGGGCTTCAGCCGTGCGTCTCCATTGCCTTCGGTTCTCTGCTAGAGTCTTCACCTGGCTCCAAGTCTGTCCACACGTCTTCATCTTCTCTTCACATGACCTCCTCCAAGTCAGCATTACATGGTAGTATTTGGTAAATTATACTATTTTTCTTAAATGGATCTATTTGGTCCTTAAGCCCCGACAAAGTTTATCTCTGAGAGCTGGTTGGTTGGTTGGTTGGCTGCTTTAAATGCTACCCTAATTCCAGCGTCAATGAGATATCTACGTAAAGCATTACATAGGTCAAACAAGTAGTTCAGGGGGTCAACTAGATTACTGGAACACATCATCCAGTTGTTAATACTGCATCGTCACTGTGCGACAATTAAAATAAACTGATCTAATATGGAATTACATTCTATCACAGTGCGTAAGTTCTTACACTTACATACTACAAATATTTATCATTCTGATGAGGTACAACTAGGACTTTGAATTATTCAGGGAAATATATCTCATAAAGTGAAGCAAATTGATTTATATATTTTCAATACATCGTAAACTGAGTAAACGAATTGAAATAGAAGTCTACAGCACATAATTCATGCAAAACTAGCTAATGATTTGAACGTCTAATAAAGTCATTTTTGAATGACTTAAAATTATTCAAATAGAATTATTGTGATGTGATATACATCGGACAAACCTCACCAGAGAGAAATCAAAATCAGAAGAAATGAACACCGTAGAGCATCTGTGTTGGACCACCCACCGAGAAATCCAATTGAACTAGACAAACTTGAAAAATCATAGGTCTATACGCTATAGAATCAGGCCACAAAATTGATTGAATAAGGCACTAAGAAGACAAATTTCGCGAGATGATATCATTTCGTAGTTTCTTTACAACCTCTTTACAACGAACATGGTTAACAATCCATTGCAAAACACTTATTAATGTCAGTTCACAAAATCAATCAATATTGATGACTGTTTCGCAATTATTTCACATAACTCTAATTCAAGGTTATTGAAGGTGATGGAAGCCCTTTGGATTAATCACATACAGCCTAAACTGCCTATACAAAACACAATAAACTTCAGTCTTCGCCAACCATGGACTACTTGACCTATTGAAATATGATTGATCATTAGTATGTACTTTTCTTTTCTTTATATAGCTGAGTAATTGTCACGAGCTTTATTTTATTTTATTATTGTTAACCATTTTCGTTGTAAAGAGGTTGTAAAGAAACTACGAAATGATATCATCTCGCGAAATTTGTCTTCTTAATGCCTTATTCAAATTTATCAAAGAGACTAACTGTTTTAATATTGAAATAATCCGGAAAAAGCATTTCAGAAATCACAAAGAACGTCTAATATCAGAAGCACTTCATATCAAGTGGAATCCAAATTATATATGTCCAAACCAAGTTCACTTTTAACGGTTTGAAAAAATTTGGGCATTGGGTATATGATATTCATTATAATAAATAGCATTAAATAGCGAAACGCCGGTAAAAACAATATCGTTTTGTTTTTCATTCATTGGGAAATACAAAAACCTTTATTATAATGGAATCCAAATTGTCTGAACAGGAATGACGGATAAAAACAGAATCTGACCTGGTTACAACACCTGCCTCCCCTCCCCCATGAAGTGACAAAATAGACACGAATGTGATAAACAAGTTCACTATGTAAACACACACTACTTTTATAATGTTATACACACTGATCAAATCCAACAATCTACACCTGGTTTTGTTATCTTTACCAATTGGCCAACTTGACAACGAAAAATTATAATAGAATTAATACCATTTTAATGTCGCTTTTATGTTCGCTAAGCTACATGGTTGTTTAATTATGAAGCTTCCTATTGATCTTCCCTAGACACTATCCACCGTGATAACACTAAACATGTCTACTTGAGTTGCATCCGAAGTAAACTAATGCTTGGAAAACTTTTCTAGAAAAATGCGTTACATTATAACTAGAAATGACTATAGGGATAGGGAGGGAGAAAGAGATAGAAATCAAGTGAACACTAGCCGAAAAAAGAAGTTAATTAGTGGATGGTGACTAGCATTGGAATCCAGGACGCACATTTCGTCCTATTTGGGACTCGTCATCTGGATGTGCCAGCTAAAGCACTTTCAATTGAGAAGATGAAATTCCTGATTGTGATTATATTCTTATTGAAATTTCAGACAATTAACAAAATATCGTTAGGAATATCAAGACAATAAGTTTGATTATCTAAAACAAAACCGGATACCACTAGCGTGTGAGTAAAGAGAAATGAGCAATACAACTTATATATATATATATATATATATATACTTACCTTCAAAATAGATTCAATGTTATTATGAGCTAAACTTGTACTACATTTGGGCATTTCGTTTTGACAAGGCTTTTTACTAGTGCATTGAATTAATTGACCAAGTAAAGACAGTAGTCGATCAGATTTCAGAGTATTGCCAAATGATGTTAGCCGCAAACGATAATTCTCCAAGTCATGGTTTGATATAACAGGCTGTGTATGATACAGAACAATGAAATCAAAAAATATGATCTACTGATTTTTTTGTTAGTAGTACAAAATAATCTTAGAAAAAACATTTGCGTACGTAACACGGATAGTTGCGTGATTCTCTCCTGACAGGAGAAGCAAAACAAAAATTGCTCGAGTACCAACGATAAAATAGTCAAAATTACCTCTGAATCTGCATTTTTGTGATTTTTAAGAATCCACTGTAATATATTACAAGCTTTATTGGAGGCTATCATTCGTAAGCTAATTGGCATTATACTTTTGACACAGGTGGTACAATGCTTTCGTTGATCAGATTTGATCGATTTACACTGTGGACTAATAAATATGTTGAATAATGCATCCAGTTGACTACTTAAAGACTCTGAATGAACTGTGTTAAACATATTGTTCAGAAGGAAGTTAATCTGTCCAAGTGACTGAGAAAAATACAACAAACAAAAAAGAAAAAAAGAAGAAGAGAGGAAATTTGATTAGAAATAACTAACTGTATGAAAAATAGGCAAAATAATAATGCGAAAACACTCATGAACATTTATGCTTTATGATAAGGAATATTTGTGTCAGCACATTTTCTTCTTCTTCTTCTTCGGATGAAGATGTGGAAGCCAGCCAGAATAGGAAATGCAACATACACCTTTATCACTCTGAAATCAGTTTGGAAATCTGCTGCTCTCAGCAACAAGATTCGGATTTTATGTGGGTTAGAAACTTGACAGGTGAGTCACGAAAAGCATTCCCAACATGCAGGCTTTTATCAACAGCTGCCCCCTTCGCTGGCTGGCTCCATATTGAAGATCAAATGGCCGGCCAGCTGGTCAGAAAGAATTAGCAACAAGAAACTCTGGTGATGAACAATCCAACCAAGAGCAGGTTGCGCAACAAATATCTAGGAGAAAATGGAGATAGATCGGGCATACATTGAGGAGGCCATCGAATGACATCATGCTCAATGCAGACCATAGCTCGAGCAGAAATCCCAACGGGAAGCGACGAGTGGGTGGTCGGTGTGAGGGTGACATGGAGGAGATGGTGTTGCGAGAAGGATATGAGATTGTGGCTGAAAGGATGCTTTCCAGGCAGGCAGACATGTAGGTAAAGGAGGTTGCTTCTTTCAGATTTATCCCATTTATGCTGGCTGATTGTTGTTTCTGCTGGCCAGGAATCTCCACCACCTACTTCTGTTTTCTCTATGTTCACCTGAAGGAAGTCCAATCTTCTCTGGATGCTTCCTCTGCCAACTCGTTGCTTTTCACTTGCATATCTTCCAGTTTGTGGGAAGTCAGACATATATCACATCGGCGAAGTCCAGATCCTCCAAGTTTTTTTTTGTGTAGGTCCATTTTATGCCTGTCTCCTCGTTGCCCACCACTGTCTGTTGCATTATCCAGTCCTACCGCAATCAGGAAAATCACTGAATATAGTAGACAGCCAGTCAGCTTGTCTTACTCCCATCTTCACTTCTTCGAAGGATTCTGTGAGTTTCCCATTGTGGATTACTTGGCATTTTCGTACTACAACTGTATAAGCCATATAATGACAGATTTATCAATATTATTTTTACACATAAGAAAAGGTAAAATGTCTAACACTCACTATTAAGACTTACCATAAATGTAAGATTTTCCATGCACACAGAAAGAAGTTGTTGAAATCCACGCTTTGAATTTAATAACAATGACATTAAGCCACAAATTACAGGTTCACCAGAATACCACATTTTTATTATTTGTATGATTTTTGTTTGATGTGTTGTTGTAGACTTTTCATACATTGATGATGATAACAACTGTTGAAGGATAACACCAGTCTAGAATAAAATGTAACATAACATAAGATTGAACATATCTCAGCTTTGATAAGTAGTAGTAAGTGATATAGTCTGATTATTTTTTCTAGGTCAAATTTCATGATTATTTTGCGTCTGTTACACAAAAGTTTGACTGTTGAGGGTCCAAGTATATCACTTGAAGACATGAATTACTTTATTTTATAAGATGAAGTGATTAATCATAGGGGTATTATTAGGGAAACACCATACCTTACATATACTTAATACCAACTTTTCCTACCTATGGAGAAAGATCTGAGAGTGTCGACCAAATAGTTATGCAACTCAAAGACAAAAATACATATGCAGTCTCACAATTTTGAACATTTCTAGGGAATTTTATGAATATATATATATATATATATAATCAGAACCACTGGATGAAGCATATAGTGATGAGCATTATTATTACTGTTTCCTTTAATTCCTAGAGGAACATAGGGCTTCAGCCGTGCGTTTCCATTACGTTCGGTTCTCTGCTACAGTCTTCACCTGGCTCCAACTCTGCCCACACGTTTTCATCTCCTCTTCACATACATGACCTTCTCCAAGTCACCCTCACCCTTGCACTGACGACCAACTCGCCGCCGCTTCCCTTTCGGGTTCCTCTCGAACGATGGCTTGTCTAGTGATGTCACTTGATGGTTTTCTCAGAGTATGACTAGCCAATCCATCTCCATTTCTTCCTGCCTATTTGTTGCACAATCGGTTCCTGCTGTGTTGGCTCGCTCATTGCCAGAGATCCATCCCTGTTGCTGATCTTTTCTGGCCGGCCATCTGTTCTTGAGCGAAGTATTGAGCGAAGACAACTGTTAATGAAGTTCTGTAGTTTGTTTGAGATGCTGTTTATGACGTGCAGTGCAAGTCTCTGATCCGTATAGTGAGTAGCACTGACTTCACATTGGAGTTGAAAATCCGGATCTTCTTTTTGATGCTGAGTGCTGTTGACCTCCACACAGACTTGAAAGTAATGAAAGTTTGTCTTGCTTTTCTGATTCTTGCTTTGATATCCTCGTCAGTTCCGTTCTCCTGTAGTTGAAACGATACTTCCCAAATATGTAGGTAAAAGAGGTTGTTTCTTTCAGGTTCCTCCCATTTATCCTGATCGTTGTCTGTTGTTGTCGTTCTTGTCCAGGAATCTTCATCACCTCTGTTTTCTCTACGTTCACCTGAAGTCCTATCTTTGATGCTTCTTCTGCCAACTTGTTGCTTTTCGCTTGCATATCTTCCAGTTTGTGGGAAATCAGACATATATCACATCGGCGAAGTCCAGATCCTCCAAGTTGAGCATTAGGCATAAATTAACTAACTGACTAACAATACAAAGATCATCTTGAAGTTGTTAATCAGAAGTCATGACCACTGATGGTATTAGGACTCATACTCACAGATAATATTGGAGATAGCGGTAGAGCTATATCGTGAACAGACAGAAGTTAAACCGCATGAGATATATTCAATTTCCACTCAGTGACTGTATAGTGTGATGTGGTTACATAGTAATCTAAAGAATATGGAATTCGATCTTTGATGAACTTATGAATATGTACTGTGCTGAAGAGTCCTGAACTAAGACGAACAAGGTTGTTATATATTCTCCCTGATTCTTTATTGATTCTCTAACTGATATCGATTCGTGACGAAATCCTCCTTGAAATTATTCTAATACCTACAAATCAACCCCTTTGAAAATCAATCAATGAAGGTGTTAAGTCAAATGATTTCTACTCATTCTGAACGACTATTTATCGAAAAGAAGAGAAAAAAACTGCAGATTATTCAAAAATACACCATAAAATTCATGAATTCTTTAACTACTACTGATCGAGGTTATTCAGTCAGCTTTAAACTTCGCGACATAGACGACTCTTTCGAGTTCATTGGCACTTTTGACTATCTCTCACCTGAAGTGCCACGGAATGTAGCAGTTAACTCGTTGAGCAAGTCCCACACATCATTAGACGTATTGTAGTGAGAGCTGGCTGCTAGCCAAAGTTGGCAGACAGTAATTGACGTCAATGTTTATGTCCCCAATATTGGTGGTGAGCAAATGAGAACAAAGGCTTTGCGTAGGCGGGTACAGTTAGCATATGGGTGATCTTTTGCCTGACCCTTGTCTTCTGTCGTTACATTTGGTGTCGCTGCCTACCGACAAATGGGAAGCCTATGTCCTGCAGTTTTCGATGGAGACATATGGATCTTCGGGCAGGACTTTGAGGCTTCTGCGCAGTTGAGTGGCGTTCAAGATCTGTCAGCGATGAGGCTGCTACTTGGGACGCTGCTGGGAGGTCGGGAGAAAACAGCATATGAAAGTCTGAGGCGAAATACCTACGAATGTGCGACAGGGTCAGGCAAACAGTTTCCAAAGTGGGAAGGACCACATATGGTCACTTTGAGATGGGGTTACACAGACACAATCGCAATGGTAAACACAGAGAAACAGGTGAACATCCGCAAGCGCCGAGATTCCAGACAGCAAGACAAAAGAGCAAAGCCCCAAGAACCAAGAAGACCGAACCAACTTCAGTCGCAATTCTTTGACGGGGGGACAAGTGTGATGAGAACTGGCTGCTAGCCAAAGTTGGTAGAGAGTAATTGACGTCAATGTTTATGCCCCCAATATTGGTGGTGAGAAAATGAGAACAAAGACTGATTCAACAACCAATCACAGCAGACTTTGTTTGCGTAGGCGGATACAATTCGCAGATAGACAATCTGAACTTCAATAAACGGCCAAAAAGAGATGAAGGATTAACGTTCAACGAGAAACCACCAATCTATATAATCTATAATAATGCACATGAAAATCTACAAATATCTGTTGATTTCCTTTGCGTAGGCGGGTACATTTAGCATATGGATGATCTGTTGCCTGGCCCTTGTCTTCTGTTGTTACAGTATGACTAACCTAGTGACCAATCAAACTATCACTCCCATTCATTATTCGATTCCCTAGTATTCAGTACACTGACATTGTCACAGTAGAGGATGAAAGACTTGGTGAAGGAATGTTTATCTGCAATTTGGTATCTATCTCTATATAAGCCAAATTATGTACGCACACTTTATCTTCAACGCACGCACCATTTGTACACATCTTCTGTGTTGTACTACTGTGATGAGAGCTGGCTGCTAGCCAAAGTTGGTAGACAGTAATTTACGTCAATGTTTATGCCCCCAATATTGGTGGTGAGAAAATGAGAACAAAGACTTTGCGTAGGCGGAGACAGTTGATGATCTGACATTCAAAAAACAGTCACAAAGAAATTACTTTCAGTGAGAAACAACCAATCAGAGGACTGTGTTTGTTTGCTTACAATAATCTATAATAATGTATATGAAAATACATAAATATGTGTTGATTTCCTTAATAAACGATCTGTTGCCTGGCCCTTGTCTTCTGTTGTTACAGTACTACTTCTGGCCTTCTTTCACATTGTGTTTTTTCGTGTTCCTTTCACATCTCTTCCATGTATCTCTCCGCAACGCTATATCACATTTGCATCCTCTGACATTAGATCTATCTCCCTGTTATTTGGTGTTTTATGTCAATGCACATCTCTTTATATATTTATACTACTTATAAATCTTATCAGTAGCACACGACACACTATTAAAAAACTACTGAAAACATTATGTTGATTCACTTATTTTTTTGTAAAAACAATAATAATTTTAAATAATTCAACAACTTACATCCACCTTATTATACAATTGTGATTGAGCATAGTATATCATTAACGATTGGTTAACAAGTTCTGAATTGATACTTATCCCTAATGAATCATCAAAATAGTCTGGTAAAAAGATTCCACTTGAAGCATTTTCGCCTTCATCAAAAGAAGAATTAGATTTCTTTAGTATTTCAATAAAATTCACTTCATTTGAATAAATCAAGCGATACCATAATATACACAGTAATGGTTCATATCTTCCAAGTGTATATATTTTCTTATGAATATCCTAAAGATTAAAAAGAGTGAGAGGGAAACAGGTGATGAGTAAAGTTCAAATGTGAACGATATGTAGAAGAGAATAATGATATTTTGATAAAGTTTGAAGAAGAAGAAGAAGAGGAAGTCGAACTGTAGCGTTACCCAACCAACCAACTTACATTCCTATGTGTCACACTTATAGTGGAGTGACAGATAAATGGTACTGTTTGTCTCCTTTAAAACCTCAGTTCTGGTGGGAGGAATCAGTAAGACAACTCCATGATGCTAGGGTTTGAAATTCTTTAGTAGGACACTGATTATGAGACAGACGAATTGCAATGTGCTTGTTATGACAAGCGACAGGAGTCATGCGTTTCACAGCTTTCCCCTTGCTTTTTAGGTTTAGTTGATATAAACTCTTAGCTAAATTATTATGTTCTGACAATCTGACAACCCTTGACCTACTAATTTGACCTATGTAGGTGACCTCACAGTCATTTAGCTCCGTCCTTCTCTATGGCGGTGAGACGTGGCCATTGATAGCCGAAGACATGAAGAGATTGTCTGTTTTTGACCACAGATGTTTACGATCTCTTTCTCACGTTAGGTCGTATAATAAGGTAAGTAATGTTGACGTTAGGCGTAGAGTGTTGGGCAAAGAGGGAAAATCAATCGAAGAGGCTATAAAGTCACATAGATTGAGATGGCTAGGTCACGTGCTGCGCATGCCTAACCATCGCCTCCTCCGACGGACGGGCATTACTAGCTGATATAGGTGCAGGCTGGAAAAGAGTAAGTGGTGGCCAAACAAAAACATGGCATCAATCCAAGAAATCCTTGACAGTTAAACTGAGTGAGGTAGGAGGGAGATGCAGACTTCCGGGTTGGAGCCCGCCCTCGGGACTCTAAGAATCAATGTCTGGAGACAATAGGTGACATGGCTCAAACTCGTTGTCAATGGCTTACGCAGATGTATTCAGTCTCTGTAATCTTTCATATTCCTTTCTACCATTACTCATTCTGTTTCACTCTTATACTTGTCAAAACTCTATTGATTCTCTTCACTCATCCTTTTGTCTACCTTTGTGTGCTCTTTGGAACGTGGCAACTGGAACTGCTGCACTTCGGTGCCAAGTTCTATGTTGAATCCAGCCAGCCAGCCTCACAGTCATTGTAGGGTATTTTGTAAATTATATTATTTTGTCTAACTGGGTCAACTAGGTCCTTTAACCTACAGAGCTTGTCCCTGAGTGTGTTTGTAGGTTTAAATGCCACCCTAATTCCTGCTTTATTTAGAATCCCAGTAAGGGTATGAGATGTCCCCTCTTTGTATGGTATAACTGTATATGACTTATATTCTCTCTTATTTATGTTATTATTACTAGTTTCACAATTATTTTTCTTTTTCTTTTGGCATTTTTCAATCTTCCTAATGAATTTTAAAGGATAGTTGTTTAAGACCAACGCCTCTTCTATCTGTTTTATTTCATCATCAACATAAACCAGATGTCAACTCTTGAATAAAACTAAAAATGTTTCATAACCTACTGAATTTCATCATTTCCACAAAATGAATGTCAAAATCAACATATGTGTAAAACTTGGGCACTGTGGTAGTAAGTAACTTCATATCAGTTTGTTTATCAGATGTATCAAACAGTGAAACAGTATTACTGTTTATTGGATGAAAAAGTTTCGAACACAAATTATCATTGTTCATAACCATATCGTCAATTATAATCACACGACTTCCAAACTTGACTTTCATAGTTTTCTTTTTTCTCTCCTATTTGTTGTCATAGGCGTAGTAGAGTTTTCCAGATGTCTGTCTGGGTGGACCGGTGTTGAATCATTCCTATTACATGTATTTGCAGTTGATTCGATAAACAAAGCCTCAGTCAGTTATCACTCTCTCCCTACACCCAGCTGTGACATTAGATTTTATAACTGTCATCTTATCCCATCCATCCTATTGTATGGTTATGTGTAATTGCATGTAGTGAACGCTGTCTACGGCTGAACTATTCTCCAGATTTCTTATCTTATTCGAGTCAACTAATCTAGATTTTACTGTTAGGTTTTTATGCTCGGCTAGTCAGTCTCAGTGCATCTGCTCTACTCCTTTCACCTATGTATTTGACCTGAAAATCATTCTTGCACAGTATTAGTTAGATAAACTAAATTGTCTTGTTTAATTGGCTGTTCCACAGGATTGATCCTTTAACCGACAAAGCTTATTTCTAATTGAGTTTGTGGGTAGTTTGAATGACAGCCACTTTTATTCCTGCCTGTATTGTTAAGAATTCTGCGTAAGGTGGTTTTCGACGTTCCTTCTTTGTATGGAATTACTACTGATGATTTAGATTCTTTATTGTTGGTGTTGTCATTATGTTGCACATGTTTGACATGGATGTCGTCATTATTATTACTATTATTATTATTATCATCATCACTATCACTACTATCATTGTTTATTTTATATTTTACATTTCCCTACATACTTTCTGACTAATTTATCAGGGTAGTTATTAAGTTTCAAAGCTTCTCTTATATGCCTCACTTCCTGTCTTAGATTTTCCTTGGTACTGATTAGTTTTTGTGGCCTACTTTCACTGAAACATTTCACCAATCCTATTTGCACTGACACAGATAAGGTGGGATGATCGGAATTCCAAATATCGGTGTGAATGTGTGAGTTTCCTGTAAACACTAGTGTTTAACTTCCCATCTTCTTTCCTTTATACGCTAAAATCTAACATTGGAAGCTCCTCGTCCTACCTGACTTTCCAATTCATAAGTGAACTGAATTGCCTCCACTTCATCCAGTAAACAATAATACTGTTTTACTGTGTGAGATATCTAATAAACAAACTAATATGGAATATCAAAATTATCTACTGTTCTATCTTATTCAAGGAAATAACAATAAATTTTGATGCAGAAAAAGACTAGGAAACATCTACTTTTATTAAATGCAAGTGATATTTATATTTTCGGTAGATGAAATGAAAGCAACTTACTTGAATTACTGAGACTGTCGCTTTAGTATTCCATTGAATATTTCTCCAAATATCTAAATTAAAAAACGGACAAGATATCAGATTTTGGTATAAAATATTGTTACACACTAGTAACCAAGAAAATGAAAGTATACATATATATAAATATATAGTGGGAAGCCGTGACCAGTAGGGTGCAGCAGGTTGAAGATGAGGCAGTAATTCATCGAAGAAGACATTGCGAAATGGTCGTGCTATGTCGTGAATTGGCAGAAGTTAGCATTCAAGAACCATTGGATCGGGTCCCAGTGGCTCAATGGTCTACGAGCTCGCCTTGTAACCAGAAGGTCCTGGTTTCGAATCCCGGTGGATGCGTACTGATGAAGAGTCCCAAACTGGGACGAAACAGCTGTCCAGCACTCCCAGGTTTTCTAGTGGTTCTCTAACTGATGTCAACTCATGATGAAATCCTCCATGCAATCAAATATATATATATATATACATCCGGCTATCGATCAAAGGAAGCCTTTACTGCACACCAGTTTGCATTGTCCTTGACGGACAATGTTATTTGACTGACATAGGAAGAGGTTGGAAAAGAGCTAGGTAGGGTGGTGGTCAAACCAAAACATGGTATCATCACTAAGTGAAATCCACACAACATTTAGTTTAAGCCAGCCAGTCAGTCACGCAGGGAGGTAGATACAGACTTCCTGACTGGTTGGGAACCTAGCGATGTTAAGAACCAATGAAGACTGAAGACAGACCAATTGGTGATATGGCTCAAAATCGTCGTTCTCGATGATGGCGCAGATGCATTCATTCACTCTGTGTGATTTGTCATATCCAAATAAAAACTCTATTGTTCTTCCATATTACTATTCTTTTTGCCTCACACTTCTGTTTATTATCTCTGTTCTCTCTTTCTCTTGGTTTGTGTGGTACATAGGAGAGTGGCAATTGGAACTAGTACACATCTGTGGAAAATTCTACATTGAAACCGGTCAGTCAGTCAGAGAGAATCTTCAAGGAAAAAATATCGAGATTATGTCACTTTAGGAAATATTATTCTACATGAGGAACATTCTAATACTCTACTAATTTTCTTTCTTCATATCCTTCGACATTATCTAGCGGTACTTCAAAAACCTCCATGAAAATACGCACTAGTATTGAAGGAATAAACTCGCTGAAACATGTTACACAGTGAACTAGAGGGTGAGTGTGGGGTGGTTCAGAAACTTCAACAGACTTCCAATGATAAAATAATAATAATAGCATAATTCCTAGGCGTCGGTGGCATAGCGGTTGGGATGCTCACCGACCATGCACATAGTCCGGGGTTCGATCCCCGGCCGGCGCACTCCTTTACCTAGCTAAGCCAGAACTAAAAAGCTGGCGAAGAGGAAAGGTTGGGCATGAGGCAGGCTAGCAACTCCATCTTGTAAAATAAACACTGCTACAGAAACTTCAAGCCACTAGCTTGAGGCCCTATGTTCCACTGGGAACGTGAAGGAAAAAAAAAGAGAAATAATTTCTGGTATAAATAAGTACAGTAAAATTACTGAGATTATTCAGATAAGAATTATATTCAGGGTTACATCACAAGACAATCCTGGTTCAACACCAACAATTACTACAATGATAATTGAAAGAAACATTTGTGTTTTGTTGACTTAATATTTAGCGTTTTATTTTTTTCCTCCCTTTACGTTCCCTAGTGGAACATAGGGCTTCAAGCTAGTGGCTTGAAGTTTCTGTAGCAGTGTTTATCTTACAGGATGGGGTTGCTAGCCTGCCTCATGCCCAACCTTTCCTCTTCACCAGCATTACTTCTGGCTTAGCGAGGTAGAGGAGTGCGTCGGGCGGGGATCGAACCCGGGACCATGTGTATGGTCGCCGAGCGTCCTACCCACTATGCCACCGACGTGAGAGTTTCATGCTCTACCGACTGAGCTAGCCGGGCCCTAGCGTTTTATAATTAGGAGATTTATTCCTTGTGGGTTGGTTGGTTCAGAAGTAGTACGCTCGCCGATCATGTATGTAGTCCGGAGTCATTCTCCGGTCGACGCACTCCCAAACCTCACATAGAGACAGTAGTAAGCCCGGTGGTGGTTAGGAGGGGAGGTTGAGCTTCAGGCTAGAAACGCAATCCCATAAAAAAGGGATAACGCGGCTATTACTGCAAAATTCAAAGATCAAGGCTTGAAGAGACCTATGTTCCATTGGGAACGCAAAGGAGTAAAATACAAAATAGTAAAAGAGTTGATAAATTTGACCTCAAACTACACACATTTACTAGATGCAAATTAGTCGAAGTACCAAGCTTCTAAAAATTTTCCAGTATTCTCAGTATATCTGCTACATTAAAAAATTCCTGCATATTTCCAGTCAAATTGGTGTTTATAGTTGTCCTCATGCCTTAATATGAAGAAATATTATACGTCACACCGTATGACTGCTGCTTCCCCATTGGGGGTAAAATTTATTTTGATAAAATCACACAGTGTTATACAGTAAGTAATATTTACTGATGACTACGTTTCGAACAACACAATTTATTGCCACTCATAATCATTTTAAGACATTACTCACATAACTTTTTAACTTCGTTTATATAATTCCATTATTTGTCATCGCTTGATTTCATTGGTAGTAGTATTTTCCATATTTTCGGTCTGGGTGATGAGTCATTCCTGTTGAATGTGTTGGGTGTAGACTCGATGAACAAGGATTCGGTGATCAACTTCTCTCTATCTCCACCTACCTATATTACTTCTTACGATTTTAACGCCCTCCCACTCTATTGTGTTGTGTGGTAATGCATACAGTGCTCTCACTGAGCTTTTTTCTAAATTACTTATCTTCGCGGATAGGTTCAATCATTCTAGCCTTAGCTAAATTCTTATATTCTGACAATCTGACTATCCCCGATCTATTAGTTTGAGCAATGTAGTTGACCCCACTCACAGTCATTGCAAGGTATTTTGTCTAATTGGATCAACCTACACGGTCCCTTAATTAACCTACAGAGCTTGCAGGCTTGAATGCTACCTTAATTCCTGCTTTATCAAGAATCCTATGTACGGTTTCAGACGTCCCCTCCTTGTATGGTAAAACTGTAGATGCCTTATATTCTCTCATATTTATGTTATCATTATTAGTATAACTGCTAGTTTATATTCATGCATATAAAAAGACGAAGGAAGCTTATGTAATGGAGATGAATAAAATTATTTGATAGATTATTCAAAATATCATGTAAGAAGTAAAAAAAAAACACCACCACCCACGGACTTACCAGATTTTACCAGTTCCGTAAGACAAAGTAAATGAGATAAAGATAAGTGCATCAAAAGTACTAAATTCGTTGACTTCCGGGAGTAATCAAACTGTAAATTGATTAACTGACCAATAGAAAATGGTTCATACAGGAGATAAAATCGAATACCTTCAATGATTTGTTGGAATACGACAAGAGAATGTCTGAAACAAAAAGTAGCCGAGAAACAGTAAATCGCTTCACATTCAGTTTTATTAATTAAGATGGAAGAAAATATACATAACATGTGAATAACCTTGAAACAAAAACACCTATGAATCGAGAAGATCTATTTCCCTATACGAATTTATATAAGGAAAAGTGTTTACGCTGTAATGAATTCATTCATTTTCGGTAGAACTCTTCAGCTGAATACTCTCTACATACAGGAATATATACACTATAAGAAATACATAAGGATTAACAGACATCAGGTGTCAAGTGCTATGACAAATTAGATCCATTGTAGGTTCAGGGACTTAAAAAACAATTGTTCTGTATGCAGAGTTTAATTTAAGATTTAAAATGTTGATTGCCATAGCTTCTGACGTTTAAAGAAATTTGATACCTACTCCTTCATTGGCGGGATTTCCGCATACTCTGTGGATGACTCTGAAGTTAGTCTAAGTGTTAGCTGGATGTCCAGAATTGGGCTGATTTATAAAATGACTGTTTTTCATAGATTAAATGTATATGGTTTAATAAATAATGGGTTTATTTAAACTTGGGCACTGTTATTATTGTTCCCTTGGATTCCTAGTGGAACATAGGGCTTCAACTGCACGTCTCCACTTGCTTCTGTCTTCTGCTGTACTTTTCATCTGCATCCATGTTAGTCCATACTGTTTCAACTCTTCCTCACACGATCTCCTCTATGTCACCCTTGGACGTCCCACTTGCCGATTCCCTTTCGGGTTCCACTCGAGCTATGGCCTGACGCGCGATGTCACCCAGCGGCCTCCTCACCGAGTGTCCAATCCATCTCCACTTTCTCCTGCATATTTGTTGAGCGACTGGTTCTTGTTTTGTTTCTTCCCATAGTTTCTTGTTGGTGATTCTTTCCGGCCATCTGATTTTCAGTAAAGAGAGAAGACAGTTGTTGATAAAGGTTTGCAACTGGCTGTTGGAAATATTCTTTGTGACCCGCCGCCAAGTTTCTGATCCGTATAGAAGAACTGACCGACTTGACGTTTGTATTGAAAATCCGAATTTTGTTGTTGATGCTGAGTTGAGTGACGAAGATTTCCAGATTGGTTTCAGGTTGATGAATGTGTTTCTCCTTGGGCACTGTGGTAGAATGTAACTCCATTATGGATAAGATTTTATTTTGATAAGTCACACAGTGTTTGTTACGCAGTAATATTAACTGATGACGTTACGAGCACAAATTATTGCCACTCATAATCATATAATATGATTATCCATAATGGGGTTTATTTAAACAACTGCGGTTTCTACATCACAGTCTGCCAATGAGTCCTAAACTGGGACAAAACACCTAGCTGTTCAGTACTCCCAGTTCTCTAACTGATATCAATCTATGGCCTAACCTGAACGAAATACTATGATAAATAGTGGATCCATGTATAAACTTAGGGGCAGTAGTCTATTATGGAACAGCATGACAGCACATACTACTGACATGATAAAAAGTAGTATTTACTACTAGACACAGATCGAGGCGATCTAAACACACCGGACAACTGTTTTGCTACTCCTCTGAAGTCAAGCCAATTTGGCAATGGATAGTTACGTGTTTGTTTATTTATTTAGAGAGAAAGTTGCTACATAAAATACAATAGCAGCTATCCAATAATTTACAACAGTATATCATTGCTCAAGAACGATTACACAACCACTGAGGGATTTAACAATACTCTTTATATATAATACATTTCTAATCGAAAACTACAAAGGCAACAGAGTATTTACTCGAATAATTTTGCAGTTTGTTTTGTGACACTGTATTCAGCTGGTTGAGTTAACTTCACTCCATAGGTGAGTAAGTGAAAAATGAAACGACTACAAATCACTTTTGTCATAATCCAACGTATAAAATGAGTTATATTGTAATAATCTAGAAGAATCTGTAATGCATTAGAGAAAGAAAAGACATAAAAAAAGAGAAAATAGCTTTGTTAATTTATTATAAAACTAGTCAGCTGGAAATTAAATAAAATTAATTTATTATTACTATTGGAAAAAAACCTGGTAAATACTAAACACCAAGAAATGCTCTATAAAATATCTTATAATTTGTGCGCGGGGACTTAGACTGTGCCATCCGTTCCTACCTGAGGTGTTACTAAGGCTGTCAACAGTTTGAAACGAGGCAAAGCTGTGAGACCCGATGGAATGACTCCTGAGGTGTTCAAGGATCGAGGAGATAGTTCACTGTCGGAGTTGACTACGGTACTAAGCAGCGTCTGGGAATCACAGGAAGTCACTTCGGGTTGGCGTCAGTCATTGACTATCCAAGTATACAAGAAGATAGGCAAGTCTTCCTGTGAAAATCACAGGGGGATTAGCTTGACTAATATGGTATCTATAGTTCCAGGCGCAATAATAATGCGTAGACTAAGTGGTACTCGAGAGGAACAAACATGAGAGAACCAGGCAGGCTGTAGACCAGGAAGAGGATGTATTGATCATATCTTCACCCTCCGACAGATTCTAGAAAAGAACGTACGCATACTTACTGTCGGGATCCAAAAATTGTCATATTTCTTGACCTGAAGGCGGCATTCGATTCCGTCAACCAAGAGGTACTCTGGCTATGTCTGGAAGTGAAGGGAATACCGAGAAAATACATTGCACTGATCAAGGCAATCTACTCGAACTCATGGAACCAGGTGAGAGCTTGCGGCGAGTTGTCATCTGAAGTGGTGACAACTGGTGGTATCCGTCAGGGATGCCCACTATCCCCATTTCTATTCAACTTCATCATAGATGTACTAATGGACTTAACCGTAAATGACTTCAGCAACTAAGGGATTGACTTGTTACCAGGGAATAATCTCATTGACTTACAATATGTAGTTGATATAGTCATCCTCCTAGGTGAAGACGCTGAGAAAATAGAGCACAGTCTTCTAAACACCTTGAGTTGCAATCTTCGAATGTTTGTCATAAGATTCGCTCCCGTCAAATGTAAAATGATGAGGCTACAGGACTGGACTACATTGACTTCTAGCTTATAAATAGGAAGTGAAGTAGTGATGTGAGCATGTTGACCCCTTCACTTATTTAGGAAGTTGCATCAGCCATACCCCAACGGGTCGGTTGGTGACGAAATCTCATAACGGATACAGAAGGCTCGTTTGGCATATGCCAGTTTACGCTGTCTCTGGCAAAGAGGTGATATCCGGCTATTGACCAAGGGAGGTGTACTACTAATTAGTTCACTCAGTCCTCCTTTATGGTTGTGAGACCTGGCCATTGAAAGCGGAAGACATGAAAAGGCAGGCCAGCTGTCTTTGATCATAGATGTCTGCATTCCATCCCCATGTAAAGTGGTATAATAGGGTGATTAATATTGTTGTTAAGCTTCGGTCAAGTGGTAGGAAAGGAAGGGGAAATCAATAGACGAGACTGTGAAGTTACATTGATTGAGGTGGTTAGGACAGCTGTTGAGCACGAATACCTAAGCATCGCCTTCCTCAACGGGCAATAATAGCAGACTGACATAGGATCAGGCTGGAAAAGAGTTAATGGTGGTGAAACGAAAACATGGCGTCAGTCGATGAAATCTACAACAGTTAGTTTAAGCCAGTCACGTAGGAAGGTGTAGACTGCCTAACTGACTGGTTGGGGTCCTCGAGACGGTAAAAACCAATGAAGGCTGGAGACGGACAATTGGTGATATGGCTCAAAATCCTTGTTCTTAATGGCTGGTGCAGATGCATGCGCTACTTGTGGCTTAGAATACCCAATGAAACTATACTGTTCTTCTTTATTACTATTCCTTTGTCTCACACCTCTGTTTACTGTCTATATTATGCATTTCTTCTACTTTCTTCTCTTGCTTTGTGAGCTACATGGAGTGTGGCGACTTGAACTGTCACACATCGGTGCAAAGTTCTATATTGAAACCAGTCAGATACTACCCAGACGTCATCCTCCGAGCCTCAGACTTGAAGCTTTGTCCAAAAGGTATTGGATCACTGTCAGGAGGTATATTCTCACGATTGTCGGTGACCGAAACAGGTTGATACACCATTCGGTTTGTTCGGATTTTGGAGTCCATGTACACCAGACGTTTGAAATCATGGTTTCTCAGCTCCCCCAGATACACCTGGATGTTCACTTATCCAGTTTTAAGTGCCGGACATTCGCATTCAACCTTTCACTTTTGTGAGAAACACCCTCGTCGTGTTAAGGAAGTGAATAACAGTCACCTGTGACAGAGGCTAGCAATGTGTGCCTACAAGACAGCATTTCGAGAGGAAGACCGAAGTCTACCCACACGCAATCGACAGTGCTAGCATGTTTATGCGGAAAAAAACAACTAAACTCATTCAACTACTTCTAAGTAATCAACTAGTCTGGTGTATTTATCTTTCTGAAGTATTTCCTCTCTAGTGGTATTACAAGCCATTGGTTTTCTTTGAAAGTAATGATATTGGAGATAAAATTCATTAAATAACAACTTAGAGGTGACAAAATCAAAGCACTATATCATCAGTTCCTGAAATCAGTGACATATCACAATTGATATGATTATGAACAATAAATTGTGTTCGAAACTTTTTCATCCAGTATGTAATAATACTGTTCCACTGTTTGACACATCTAATAAACAAAGAAATATGAAATTACTCACTACCACAGTGCCCAAGTTTTACACATATATTAAGATCCCTAATGAGACTGAGTCTAAATCTTTTACAATAGAGGAGATGCATTCACTTTTTTATTTTTAAGATTCTTAAAAAAATCTCTACCAATATTCATTTAATTATCCTCTCTATTTCAACTTTTCCGTAGATTAGAGTCTTACCCTGTTACTGTTCCCTTATTTACTGTGTGATTACTTATTTGAATTGTGTTGCACTTCTGTACTTGTACAATTCTTTATTGATTTTTTAGATAATGCGAATCGATTACTAAACTATGAAGGTGTGTTTTGCTCCAATCTATTAGACAGAAAACCTTCCTTCAACTACAAACCGAAGCAATCTTCGTTAATCGCCACAAAAGCCATGCATCACTCTACAAGTGGTGAAAGCTGAGTTAGAACGATACAAGGAAGGAGGGATATTACACTCCAGTGCAGACCAACAGTCAATCACTTCATACATTCATAGCATGTTTAAGGTATATAACAGATATGATTTATTGCCTAAATGATTAGTAGCATAAGTAGTGTTAGTAGTAGTGTGGTGAGAGCTGGCTGCTAGCCAAAGTTGATAGACAGTAATTGACGTCAATGTTTAAGTCCCCAATATCGGTGGTGAGAAAATGAGAACAAAGGCTTTGCGTAGACGGATACATTTAGCATATGGATGATCTGACACAGCCACAAACAGATGCAAGGTTAACTTTCTGTGAGAAACAACCAATCAAAAGACTGTATTTTCTACTAATAATAATCGACAATAATGTACATTAAAATCTATGAATATGTGTTGATTTTCCTTACTAAAGGATCTGTTGCCTGACCCTTGTCTTCTGTTGTTACAGTGTTAGTATTCCATTACAATTAATCAATACTCACTTTAGGATTAAATCCACAATATAATACTTCTTCAACTTTCGATATAATATTCCATATTACACCGGATGATTCATTTTCAGTGAAAGAATTAATTATCATAAGAAGATGATTGAAAAGACGCTGTAAAGCTTCATAGTCAGTAGAATTATCAATTTGAGCTGTACCAGCGGTGAAATGACTTAAAATATGATTTGAAATCTAAAAAACCAATAACAATAAAATATGATGAAGAGAGTAAACAGAAATATGGTATTTAAAAATAAAATAAAGAGATTATCTGCGTGAATAGGAATATAAGAGAGAAGGCAACACAAAAGGCCGATAACTTCAATAGTTATCTAGGAAACTAAACATACATACATACATAGATGTGGTGAGAGCTGTCTACTAGCCAAATTGGTAGACAGTAATTTACGTCAATGTTTACGTCCCAAATCTTGGTCATGTGAAAAAAAAACACGAGAACAGACTAACTCAACAACCAATCACAGCAGACTTTGCGTGGGTGGATATGATACGCAGACATATGGTCTGACCTTCAAAGAAACGGCCACAAAGAGATGACAGAATAACTTTCATCGAGAAAGCAACCAATCAGAAGACGCTGTTTCTCTGCTCATAATAACAAATAATAATGTACATAAAAATGTATAAAAATCTTTTGATATCCTCCGATAAACGATCTGTTACCTGGACTTTGTCTTCTGGATTTACAAGATGATCATTACTTTTTATTTGTTGTTATTTCAATTACAGCTTGATGCCACACCGTATTTTCAGTAAAAGTATGGCATTTTCAGCATGGACATCGGTAGCCCAAATTTTACAGGCCGACCATAGATATCAGGTGTGCGTCGGCAGGGAATCGAACCCCGGACCATGTGCAAGGTTGGTGAGAGTCTTAACCACTGTGCCGCTCAACAGTCTCCTCAGCGTATATCCACAATCCATCTTCATTTCCTTCAGTGTAGTTGTTAGGTGGTGGTAGGTTAACGGTTGGTTCGTTGCAAGAGTTTCTTTTTGTTTATCCTTTCCAATTGACCATCTGTTTTTCAGTATAAAGCCAGCAAAGACACTTTTTGATGAAAGTTTGCAACCTGTTGGAAATGTTTTTCATGATACGCACGTGGAAGTTTCTGAATCATATAGAATCACTGACCTGACATCAGTGTTGAATATTCGATCGTTGTCCCATGTTCGACGACTGTTGACCTCCACACTGATTTCAGGGTAATGAACGTCAGTCATGCTTTCCCACCCTGACTGATCGTAACATCCTCATACGTCCTACCTGTAGTTGAAACAATGCTGACTAATTCAGGTAAGTGAAGTAGACGATTCCCTTTAGATTCCCTCTATTGAGTTTGTGGTTGTTGTTGTTGTTGGTATCTTCAACACCTCTTGTCTTTTCCATGCTCACCTGAAGTCCTACTTTCGCTGCCCTTTCTACCAGCTTATTGGTTTTTGCTTCATTGTCGTCAATTTTATGTGACATTTCACAAAAGAGAATGCTGTGTGAAACTCAGAAACTCGTCTAGGATCTCTTTATCGATCAAGTGTATGTCCTTTTTCTTACTCTTTTTTTATTTTATTTCTTTTATTTTGATTACAGCTTGATGCCACACCGTATTTTTAGTGCAAGTATGGAATTTTCAGCATGGATATCGGTAGCCCAAATTTAGCAGGCCGACCATAGATATCGGGTGTGCGTCGGCAGGGGATCGAACCCCGGACCATAAGCATGGTCGGCGAGAGCCCTAAACACTGTGCCACCGACACAACCACCCGGGGTCAGAGCATTCTTGATCACACTGAACCCGGCGCCAGGTGAACTCTCCAAGATATCCCACCTAACTCGGTCAAACACACTGGTGGTGAATATCATCGGTGATAGTATGCAGACTAGTCTTAATCTTCTCATCACTTTAAACATTTCGACGAGCTTTCCATTGTGAACCACTTGGCATGAAGCACAATAATACAGTTGTGCGAATTTAGAGGCATCGAACTCCGTAGTGTTGAAGCAGTTGTCAAATAACTTCACGGTTGACGCGATCAAATTCCTTTTCAAAGTTGACGAAGTTGAGGTACACAGCAGTTAAGAGTAACAAATAAGAAAGAAGTTAGACTTACAAGCGAAAACCGACAAACTGGTCGAAGAAGCAGCAAAGACAGGACTCCAGGTGAACATAGACAAGACGGAGGTTATGAAAATAACCAACCAACAGCAACATCCAGAGTCAATCAGCATCAACGGAAGGGATTTGAAAGAGGTTACTTCATTCACTTATCTAAGGAGCATTGTCTCAACTACAGGAGGAACGGACGAGGATGTCAAATCGAGAATCGGGAAGGCGAGAAACACATTCATCAACCTGAAACCAATCTGGAAATCTTCGTCACTCAACATCAACAACAAAATTCGGATTTTCAATACGAACGTCAAGTCAGTCAGTTCTTCTATACGGCTCAGAAACTTGGCGGGTCACAAAGAATATTTCCAACAGCCTGTTGCACACCTTTATCAACAACTAACTCTCTTCACTATATACTGAAAATCAAATAGCCGGAAAGAATCACCTACAAGAAACTATGGGAACAAACAAAACAAGAACCAATGGCTCAACAAATATGCAGGAGAAAGTGGAGATGGATTGAACACTCGCTGGGTGACATCGCGCGTCAGGCCAGTGCTCGAGTGGAACTCGAAAAGGAAGCGGCGAGTGGGACGTCTGTGCAAGGGTGACATGGAGGAGATCGTGTGAAGAGGAGTTGAAACAGTATGGACTAACATGGATGCAAGTGAAAAGTACAGCATAAGACAGAAGCAAGTGAAGACGTGCAGTTGAAGCCCTATGTTCCACTAGGAACCCAAGGGAACAATAATAATAATAATATAATAGATAAAAACAGTTTCCGGAGTAGTTTTCTCATGTACCACCACCACACTTAGAGTGCGTTAGAGATGATTGATACCACACAATCATCCATGCAGAAAAGTATATCTGAAGAGTAGAAACAGACTCTGAGATGCAATGGCTGAAAGCAAAGTTATAAAGCAAATGGAGGGGAATAAGAGTCTACAAAATAAACAGGTTAATAGAATTCAATTCTTTTTCAAAAACACAACACATAATAAAACAAAACAAGAATACCTGAGTTATACTGTCGACTAAAGGAATAACATTTTCTTGTGGACACAATTGTTTTGAAATGTTAACCTCTTCAAGAATTAATGATATTTGATCATAACACGCTGGTAGATGACTAAGACGACGTAGAAGAAAGTGGAAGATAGTTTCACGTTGAGCATTGGCTTGTCTATAAACAAGAAGAAAAAAACGGTGTTAATTTCCGGAAATGTAGACATTTGAGTATTGTTGAGTATTCAAATATATTAAGAAAGATGGGTCATAAATGCTATGCATGCTATTCACGTTACTCAAAGGAATCGGAAAGCATTATTATACATATTATTGTTTCCTTTAGTTCCTAAAGGAACATAGGGCTTCAGCTGCACGTCTCTGTTACGTTCGGTTCGCCACCAACGTTTTCACCTGGCTCCACGTCTGTCCACATGCTTTCATCTCGTCTTCACATGACCTCCTCCATGTCGCCCTCGAACTGACGACCAACTAACTCACCGCTGCCCACTCGCCTTCCACTCGAGTGATGGCCTGCCGTGTGATGTCACTCACTTGATGGTTTGTAGAAATTCCGTTAATTTTATTCGGTATTCTATTTTTTATTACATTTTATGCATCTTTTATAATTTGTAATTCCAATGATCTTAATTAACGAATCGATAATACTTAAAAACACCAAAATTGTTACTGACGACTATTATAGAATATTCTATGTACATAAACATATGCGTATATAATTGTAGAGTCAGATGAGGAAATTATCGAAAAGGATATTCTTTGCTCAATTATTTTGCTTTTTATAGATGTCTAGATGAATATTTTGGCTATATTTTAAGTACTAACAATTTGTTTAGTAAGATGAATAAAATTGCAATTCACGCAGGGTGATATTCGGAAATCCGAGACGACAAACACGCCTAATCTTACTGTCTATGTTGATGTGGTCAGTTGGTTAACTCCAAAATATACTAACATTAGCACGTAACACCAAGTTTGTATTTGCAACGCAGTATATGAGACCCTTCAATTTTGGGTATCCACACTATTATGTGACCATGAACATGATAAGAAAAGTAGTGCAATAAACATGGTACACTACTGGAACATTGAATTACAATCTCATTGTCATTTTCTTTTCGACTTTTATAATGTGATTATAATCAATGTATATTTAGGCAGATTCTATATAAATTTATTGTAAGAACTAATCGAAAGGCTGGCTGTTGGGACAGTCATTCACAAGTCAACTTGGATCATTTAGGATTATCTTACAGCCGGTGTACTTCTCAATAGTTTTATTGGACACTAGTAACTAGTGTGATGTATCTATTCCTTTGTTAAGCGCAGAGTGAGTCCTATCAGTCAGGTTTGCAATGTGCCCACCATTCTAGCTACCTAGGCATCAAGATGCACATTGAATTGTTAGCACTCGTCAGCAAGGCGTGTCTGCAACCTTCAAGGAACTCATATCCCTTCTAAGATTGGTGGTTACATTGTAAACCTGACTGATAGAATTCAGTCTGCACCAAACAAAGAAATAGACACATCACTCTAGTTACTAATGTCTAATCAAAGTAAGTAATACATTCCTACAAGAGGTTAGTTGCGAGCCCGAATGACTCAGTAGTAACATCTTTGACTGCAGGCAGCACTGGGTGACGCGGGCTCGAGTCTCACAATGGACATGAGTTCCTTCAAGGTGATTGCAGATGCGCCTTGCTGACTGACGAGTGCCAACTAGCACGAAACCTAGGTGAAGCTAGGCTTCCTGTGGCCGATTGCCTCCAACTATTTAATACTTCGTAATAGTGCTGGAGAGAGTCCCAAGACAAACTTTCAGTCTAACATATATTCTCAATAGTTATATAGCTAGCATTAGTTTTTCAATATAAAACTGCTTTTTGAATATCAGAAATTATTATTTTGCGTTCTCTATACTAAATCTTGTTGTCTTACATGTGAAACAGCTTTATGCGTGTGATTGCATTCCTATTTATGATCTGCTGTTTTCTAACAACTGAATATTTAAAGTTGATTATAAACACGGAACCTAGAATTGAAATATGTTCATTTTAAGTATCTGTATTATACACATACATGTTTCACTATGAAGCAGCAGACTTTCATGAACTTTGAATCATTGAACCTAAAGTGTAAGATATATTTCTGAAGATAAAGATTAATTGGATTACATTCTTGAAAAATACACTTCTAATGCATGACCCTCCTGGTGAATACTGTTGCCCCTAGTCTCTATGACACTGTTAGTAGAGATACATTTTTAGTGGATAACTTTTTTGAACAGAAAAATCGATCTGTTTTATCTTCTTTTAATTGGCGGCTAACAAGTTATCTCGAATTTATTCAAGCGTATGTGTTTTGATATTGTCAACTGGTTTTAAACTTTATCAGATAATTTTTCGGGGTGATCTGGAAATCATGATTTGATGTTGCTGTTGTATAATTGCATTCATAAGAGGGATTTCTGCTTATTGTAGCGTATAAGTTACAAAATTTTATCCAAGTCTGAGACATTCAAGCAAAACCTCTCGAAAAATCCTGGGACATTCACTTCACATCTTCCCAGTAAGCATAACAGTATCCTCATTAATTGACAGAGGTTTTTCAACTGTTGATCGAGTATGTAAACTTTCATCCATTCTATGAATCATCGTCTAGTAAGTCAGGATTTACAATCTGTGTGACGGGTTTCACCTAGCTCCCCCTCTTAAGAGCCGACTGACAACACTGTGGGTTCACTGATAGTCCTAGTAGAACAGCTTAATGCTTTTCATCGTGGGTCAGTGGAGATTTAGCATTCATGATTCGATTCTTAACGTAAACCAGTGGCTGTTTCGATAAGTTGAACACGCAATCAGATTGTTGTTTTGTAATTTTAGCTAATCTAGTTTTGAGAACCTCTCATCTCTGCTTTTATGTGTCTTCTACTTGACAGTGCAATCACAGTGATCGGTGTCGATAACTCCTCTAAGGTTAAGAATCTTTTCTTTTTTTTCGTTTTGGATGTCGACTAATTGTTCATATTTCTGGATTCGATAGCGTGTATGTGTGTGCATCTGTAATCATTTTTTTGGATCATTTGTCTTTCACATTCTCCGGTCAATTTCCATCTCAATGGGCTGTTGATCAATCGCCAGTCTATATTTGAAACTGCTTGATAGGTGTAAGCGCAATATCGCTTGAAATTAAGTCACGCGTAGATAAAGGCTATCCCGATCCAAAACAAGCAAGAAGCTGGTCACTGTTTCTACGGTACTATTAATAAACAAATCAATAATTATATTTCCAACAAACCTTAACGGTTTCAAGAGTACAAAGCACAACGCTTAACACAAAGTAATGTACCGCTATCAGAGCGGAATAACGTTAAAGCCAAAATTACGAACTAGCCGGAATCAGACACGACCGTTCTGGTAAGCAGTCAGTAGAAGAATGAACCCAAGTAAGGCAGGACATAGAACAGAGAGCGGTTAAGAGATAGACAGAGCATAGGCACAAAGATAGAATTTGATTGGTTACTTAACCAGGTAGGCTGATACAGATGAAGATCAATAAATAAGATAAACTCGACAGAATAGTACAAAGTAAGACATGGGTCAGCAAAAATAACAGTTCACAAAATACTCTGACTAAACGGATCGATGTAAAAAACACACACACAGTTCATTAAACAAGGGGGGATAGACACGTTAGGCATGGATAACTGGGTTGCAACAACGCTAGGCTGTTCCGGGACAGGTTGACTTGATTCAAGGATGGGAATTGAATTGATCTTACACCGACCCCCAAAATCCGACTAGGATTTTATGAATCATGTTACACAGAATAACCCTCGTGCTCGACTCTCTTACAACTGACTTCCCTCTAGTAGGCATATCTTACGTATATCGCGCTTCACCTCGCCGTTTCTCGTTTTTATTGTAACGGTTCTGACAAGTCCGTCCGCGGATTGCTCGCATCCCGCAATAATTCCTAGTGGCCAACGGTCTCTTGTCGAAGATTCTGGCGCAATCATCCCGGGGAGAGATTTTTAGATTTCGTAATCCATTTCTGTCTAGTTTGAAGTAAGGCTAGATATTCTCGCTTCCATCTCTGCCAAAACGAAGCTGCTAGATGCATAGCCTGCCTCCATCCTGAGGACAGTATCTGATGATGATTATGAGCAATAAATTGTGCTCGAAACGTCATCAGTAAATATTACTGTATAACACTGTGAGACTCTATCAAAATAAAATTTACCCATAATGGAATTACACTCTACCACAGTGCCCAAGTTTTATTCTTATATCAATTTACTCCCACACTCTACCTCTTTGACTCGCATATATATATATATATATATATATATATATATATGCATAATTGTAGAACCAGATGAGGAAATTGTTGAAAAGGATATTCTTTGCTCAGCTTTTTGTTGTTGTTTTAATCATAACTCATAAAACAATTTTAATTAGAGTTCAATGAAGCTTTACAAGAGGGAATGAAACAAATATTACATCATATGACCTCTCCTGATTGCAGTAGATTGGATAATGCGACAAACAGTGGGCAATGAGGAAACAGGCATAAAATGGACTCACAAAAAAACTTGGAGGATCTGGACTTCGCCGACGATGACATATGTCTGATTTCCCACAAACTGGAAGATATGCAAGTGGAAACCAACAAATTGGCAGAAGAAGCATCCAGAGAAGATAGGACTTCAGGTGAACATAGAGAAAACAGAGGTGATGAAGATTCCTGGGAAACACCACCAACAGCAGCAACAACAACAGACAACAATCAGTACAAATGGAAGCAACCTGAGAGAAACAACCTTCTTTACCCACCCACCGACCTGGGAAGCATCGTTTCAACTACAGGCCGACGGAACTGACGAGGATATCAAAGCAAGAATCGGAAAAGCAAGACAAGCTTACACTACGCTCAAGTCTGTGTGGTGGTCAACAGCACTCAGCATCAAAAATAAGGTCCGGACTTACAACTCCAATGTGAATTCAGTGCTACTCACTATACGGATCAGAGACTTGGCCAGCGCGTCATAAAGAGCATATCAAACGATCTACAGGCTTTCATTAACAGTTGTCTTCGCTCAATACTTCGCTCAAGATCAGATGGCCGGCCAGAAAAGATCAGCAACAGGGATCTCTGGAAGGAACCAATTGTGAAAGAAATAGGCAGGAAGAAATGGAGATGGATTGGCTGGTCATACTCTGAGAAAACAAACCATCAAGTGACATCACTAGACAAGCCATTGCTCGAGTGGAACCCGAAAGGTAAGCGGCGAGTTGGTCGTCAGTGCGAGGGTGGGTGACTTGGAGGAGGTGATGTGAAGAGGAGATGAAAACGTGTGGGCAGACATGGAGCCAGGTGAAGACTCTAGCAGAGAACCGATTGCAATGGAGACAGACGGCTGAAGCCCTATGTTCCTCTATCAATTAAAGGAAACAATAATAATAATAATGACCTCCAAAAATACCCTTATATACAGAAGAAAAGTATTATATATATATATATATATATATATGATCTATCCAATCGAAAATGAAATATGTAAATGACTAATATACTGGATTTTTTGGAGAAATAGTAAAAAAACGAAAACAAAACAAAACATACTGAATTTGATGCTTTTTATTTGCATCAATATTTTGAGTTTGTTTATGCATTCGTTGGTTGTTTAACGGTTGTTGGATAACAAATAAATCCACAATCATTGGAATCATTGCTGTTAATACAACACTACTAGGATCTCGTGTTTCTGCAGCTAATGTTTCCGCCAAATGTACAACCTACAAAATATGGAAAACAAAAAAAACACAACTGAATCATACCTACACCTGAGTGGAAGCGATGTTGTTTTTACTGGGGTTGAAACTAAAGATTAAATTGGCATCAATTTTAATTGTGAACAGGAGGAGTATATGAGATGGTTTTGTAAAAGAATAAAGTAAAACAAGTAGACCTGTTGAATTTGAAAGCATTAGTTAGAAACACTAATGTCATGCGTTTATTCCTTGGTATCCTCGGTACAGACTGAATTCTATATCATCAGTTATGTTTGCAGTGCGGTCTACATACTACTAGGTGTTTCATTATGACAGTGAACTTTGAATTGTTGTTAAATGGTTGGAGACAATCGTCATGAAACCTTCGACTTAAATTTTGCGCATGTTGGCATTTGCCTGGAGAGGCACACCTGCAGTCTTGAAAGGACCACCACCAGTCTGCACCAAACGAAGGACTAGACGTATGACATCAGTTACCATCAAACCCAACGGCTTGATCTCTGACGAAATCTCAGCACGAATACAGAGGGCTAGTTTCGCATATGCCAGTTTACGCCGTCTCTGGCGTAGACGTAATTTCCAGCTATCGATCAAAGGGTGGGTGCACTGCTCAGCAGTCCGTTCCGTCCTCCTTTATGGCTGTGAGACCTGGCTATTGAGGGCGGAAGACGTAAGAAGATTAGCTGTCTTTGGTCATAGGTGTCTGCGTTCTATCTCCCGTGTGAAGTGGAATAATAGGGTGAGCAGTATTGAGGTTAGGCGTCGAGTGCTAGGTAAAGAGGGGAAATCAGTCGACGAGGCTGTGAAATTACATCGACTGAGATGGTTAGGACATGTGTTATGTATGCTTAGTCATCGCCTTCCTCGACAATGGGCAATGTTAGCTGACATAGGGTCAGGTTGGAAAAGAGCCAGTGGTGGTCAAACCAAAACATGGCTTCAACAGTCAATGAAATCTACAACAGTTAGCTTAAGCCACGTAGGAAGATGTAGACTTCCTGGTTGGGGTCCTCGGGACGGTAAAAACCAATGGTTAGAAACCATTGGTGACATGGCTCAAAATCGTTCTCAGTGGCGCAGATGCATCCACTCCTTGTAACTTATGATTTCCATTGAAACTGTTTTGTTCTCCGTTATTACTGTTCCTTTGTCTCACACCTCTGTTTACTGTCTATATTATGCATTTCTCCTACTTTCTTCTCTTGATTTGTGTGGTACATGGAGTGTGGCGACTTGAACTGTCGCACATCGGTGCAGGGTTCTATGTCGAAAACAGACAGACAACAGTTACCTGCTAATGTCCAGTCAAAGTGCCAATTACAATCTTACAGGAGGTCAATCACCCCCCACCCGAATAATTCCGTAGTAACGTCGTCTCTGACTGAGGTACCCGGGTGACACGGTTTAAAATGTCACAAGAGACATGAATTCCTTCAAGACTACAGATTATCCTTGCTAACGTAAGTAGACTAAGTGGAAACCTTATAGTGAAACTTGTTGTAACAGAAAACCAACTTAAATAAGCATTACAAATATTCAGAAATACAGACACAAACTTACCTGACTTAGTTCTACAAGGCGTGAATTTACCGCTTCGTCATTCTCATTATTATTATTAGTAGTGGTAGCAGCAGTATTGGTCGTCCCCGTAACAGTACTAGCGGTTGAATTCTCTGAGTTAATCGTATCATTCTGTTTAGACTGTACAGATGTCACTGTTGACGACGGTGATGATGCTGATGCTGATGATGACAAAGTAGTCGATGAAATAACACGGTGTTGATAAGTTAGAGTAACCAAAAAACGAAATATAGCATTTACAAGACGCTGATGTTGATGTATTGTAGACGGTTCTCTTAAATTTATCATAGGGAAGAGAAATGAATCAGAATTGTAACATTCACTCCGGGAGATAGAAACTGATGAGAATGAAGAGAATAAGGATCGTTTCTGTGAATTCAACTGTTGACCAGCTTTACCAGTTTGTTGATGATGGTACAGTGAATTCGAAGTCATCAATGCGATTGTTTCAATTCGTTGAATTTCTGAAGCCAAATTTTCACAATGGCTGATCACAGTATGTAGGAATTTCTGTTTTTTTTTAAGATAGAAAATTGAAAAGAATAATTAGTAACAGTTGAAATGAAGTAACTATAAATCGGTGCCAAACACTACAGCTGTTCAAACATGCGCAAATTTTCTCTTCTGAAATACACCATTTTTTACGGACAAAAAAGTATTAAGGAATGTCACCTTATGTGAAAAAACATTAATTCCATAGGAGTAGAATATTGGAAAACAGTATAATTCACTGAAGAAGGTTCCACTTTTTTCAGCAGGTAGATGAAAGCACACCTGATGATTATATATATATATATATATATATATATGACTGATCATCTGCATATTCTAAGTCAACGAGATTATTCCTTGGTAACAAGTCCCTGAATCGCTGAAGTCAGTTAGGGTTACGTGCATTGGAACATCTATGATGGATGCATTTCTGATGGACACCACTAGTTGTCAACACTTCAGATGACAACACTCAGTAGGCTGTCACCTGGCTGCATGAGTTCGACTAGAGTGCCTTGGTCAGTGCAATGTATTTTCTCGACACTCCCTTGACAGCCGAACATCGCCATAGTACCGCGCGGTTGACGGACTCGAATGCCGCTTTCAGGTAGGTCAGGAAATATGACGACTGTTGGACACCGACAGTAAGGATGCCTATGTTCCAAAATCTGTCGAAGGGTGAAGATATGATCAATACACTCTCTTCTTGGTCTAAAGTCTGCCTGGTTCTCTCGTGTTTGTTCCTCCCATGGACCACTTAGTCTACGCATTATTATTGAGCCTAGAACTATAGATACAATATTGGTCAAGCTGATCCCCCTGTGATTATCACAGGAAGACTTGTCTCCCTAATTGTATATTAGGATAATCAATGACTTGCGCCAACCCGATGGGACTTACTATGATTCCCAGACTCTGCCTACTACTTTAGCTAACGCAGACAGTGAACTGTCTACACCGTACTTAAATACCTCTGGAGTCATTACATCAGGACCTGCTGCTTTGCCTCGTTTCAGACTAGTGACAATCTTAGTAACCTCAGTTAGGGATGGAGAACATGTGCCTATGTCCCATTCAGGGAGGTGTTGAATGTTCGGTAAGTTGAGAGTGACTGTAGACCAATTAAACTGCTCCTCAAAGTGTCCTTTCCAGCGTTTCCGACGTCTTTCTAGAGAGCTACTGATGGTGCCATTTTTCTCAGAGATTACTTCGCTTATCATTTGCCTTTTGCCATCTGTTTCCCTGATAAGTCTAAATAGTTGTCTGGTGTAACCTATCACCGACGTCTTTTCCATCTCTTTCGCTTTTGTCACCCACCACTGTTCACGGTCGCTACGAAGGCTTTTCGTTAGTTTGCATTTGAGTAGCTTTCGCTCCTCATTGTATTAGGAGCTCGCCGGAATCAGTCCTCTTGTGTCAATCAGTTCGGATGAGGCGGTAGAGATCCAATGGCTCTTACTAACTTTTGGTTTTAGGTTTTTAACAGCTTTTACAGCTGTGTCTACAGGTAAATGTATGTTGTGCCAGGTTACCTCAGGAGGCGTCGACCCCAGATACTCGTTTCGCTATTTTCTCCTTAAATAGGGAATCAGGGCCTCGATCTAGTTGGGGACGTCACTGCTTCGCTGCCAACAATTTTTTATGTCCGTTTAATCGCGAGCACAAATCGTGCGCGAACCAGGGCATGATCGGAGTTTACGTACATGTTCACTGAAACACTGAAGTATGTTGTTTTAATTTTCTACTTATTATAACCATCATGATTTCAGGTAGTTTTACAGCTGATGAGAACCTGTGAAATGCAATGATGATATCATTTTATACTGCAAATCTGGTCTTTCTTGTTTTATCAAAATAGTAAGATGAAATAAAAAGAGACAGTTTAACTTACTTGTTGTACATCAAGCTGACAATAATTCATACGTAAGTATATTAGATGAATGAGTAGATCTAGTATACCAGTTTGTAGTGAATAATTATTTGTCCATTTATAATTTTCCATACCCCGTAGTACAATGTGCTCAAGACGTTTGAAAAATGACTGAACGTCAGACTAGAGAAGAACAGTGACAATGAGAACAATAATATATGTATATATATATATATATATATATGGTAAAAAACAGAGGCTTTAAAAATGTATTTACAGCAGTATTAATAATAATAATATAATAATAATAATAAAGCTTTGTTTCAAACAATATATGAACATATAGTAAACAGGGCGGAGTTAAAGTATCACAACCAAATTCAAGGTCTTTTAAAAGTTGACCTTCCAGAACAGATCATACACACAGGGGATGCTATGAAATAGCATACCAAATCAAATCATACCTGGCTTTTTGGACTTGGAGAGGATGGATATACAGTATTCTACTTATTCTCTAGGTACTTTTTCTGCTAATCTATACTGTTAGATAGGGTTATGGCTTTTAAGTTCAAGGTTAGGTTTAGTGTTAAGGTTAGGATTAGGAGTGGGCTGGAGATTAATGTTAGAAATATCAGTGGATCTCAAATTACCATGACCTACAGTAACCTGGATGAATGGGTATGTCATGCATGGTACGGCTTCCCGATAGATCATCTGTGTATTAACTGGGAAACATTCTTACAACACATAAGCTACAAATATACAGTGTAATATCAAGTTATATATGTCCAAACCAAGTTCACTTTTAACAGTTTGAAAAAATTTGGGCATTGGGTATATGATATTCATTATGATGAGTGTAGTATCAAGTTTGCAATATTTTCTGCTGTATTTTTCAACGATTATGCAACTTTCTTTGTATCTGAGTTCTGATCGATTGTTCAAGGTCACTGTCGTTTTAGCTATAATAGTTTAACTTTGCTGTACAGAGATTTCCAGAGTATTCAGTTCCAAAAATATTTCCTCTTCATACACAATTTACATATAAAGTAATAATCTAAAGTATTTCATGTGACGTAGAGTTGTTGCATATAAAGAGAGTATCAATTCTATACATGTTTCCTTTATTTCTTTCAAGAATTTCACAGAGTTCAGTTGGAAGCTAATTAAAAGTGAGCGTGAGTTCATGTAGTTGGTCATTTAATATAATTGCACGATAAAAACAATAAAAAATGCAGAAGGGTTTGAGCATTTCGATGGATGGAAATTCTGGTAGCTCAGTGATAGGATCCAGCATATAATGATATATCTGCCTAGTCATCGCCTTCCTCGATGGGCAATGTTAGCTGATACAGGGTTAGGCTGGAAAAGAGCTAGCGGCAGTCAAACGAAAACATGGCTTCACCAGTCAATGAAATCCACAACTGTTAGTTTAAGCCAGCCAGGCACGTAGGGAGAGAGGTGTAGACTTCCAATCTGGTTGGGGTCCTAGGGACGGTAAAATCCAATGACGGCTGGAAACAATTGGTGATACTGTGGTGAGAGCTGTCTACTAGCCAAATTGGTAGACAGTAATTTACGTCAATATTTACGTTCCCAAGATTTGTCGTGAAAAAATGTGAACAAAGATTGATTCAAAACCGACCACAGCAGACTTTGCGTAGGCGGATGCAGTTAACACATAGAGGATTTGACATTCAAGAAACAGTCACAAATAGATGAAAGATTAACTTTACGTGAGAAACAACCAATCGGAAGACTGTGTTTGTTTGCTTAAATATCCATAGTGATGTACATGAAAATATATAAATATGCGTTGATTTCCTTAATAAATGATCTGTTGCTTGACTCTTGCCTTCTGTCGTTACAATACGACTTAAAATTGTTCTAAATGGCTAGCGCAGATGCATCCACTCCTTGTGACTTATAATTTCCAATGAAACTACATTATTCTTCGTTATCACTATTCTTTTGTCTCACACCTCTGTTTACTGTCCATATTATGCATTTCTTCTACTTTCTTCTCTTGCTTTGTGTGGTACGTAAAGTGTGGCGACTTGAACTGTCGCACATCGGTGCAAAGTTCTATTTTGAAAACAGACAGACATAATTATATATCATCCTTTCTCACGAATCGTGTGATTTATCTTGTCATGGAGTTATTATGTGGATCCATCATTTCTCACGCATATTCTGATTTAGTGTGTGATCAATTCATCGTCTTTTTGTCTCACCTTGGTCTCTGTCGGACTGCCAACCAATGAGAATAGCGACTGCCAGCCAATAAGAACAATCCATTCTCACAGCTGTGAGCCGATTTTATTGTGGTAAAGAAAATGTATAAATGTCATGTATTGCTTCCTATAAAATGTCCAGTACAATATCTTATAGTCACAGGCCGCCTTTGGTTTTCTGCCTCCCACGCTTAGCGTCCCGAAAAAACTACTCTACATGAAGCTCCAATTCAATGGAGATTTATCTGAGGAAACACTGAAAAATCAACTGTCGCGCTCACTTGAGAAAACCTTCTTCGCAGCTGAACTACGACTAACCCTCTCCACAAAACCTATGATTCATGTGAACGTGAAGGATAGGCTACCACTGCTAGCCTCATCAATGTGTATTTACCAATTCACCTGCTCGTGTGGAGCCAGGTATGTCGGCCGTACCCAGCGTTCGCTTTCCAAACGTATCACCGAACACTTACCAACATGGTTTTACAAACGAGAAAAACGATGCCCCCGCAACTCTATCTTAGAACATCTGATAGATTCCAGACACCAAGGTACACCCCAAACAAATTCCAAAGTCGTCTACAGAATACAAAGTAGTCTTCCTAAAGGTGTACGAATCAGACTTCTTCAAACTGCAGAAGCAATGGCGATTCACTTGCTAAGTCCTGAACTCTGCGTACAGAAGAAGTTCGTTCAATCACTATATTTGCAATGGATGTAATCTATCTTATTACCCGACAGGTAAATTCTACCTAATCCTTTTCTCTTCTGTCTCTTTATTAGTATTATTTTGTCTTCTTAATTGTAATATTTTACATTTTCAACCTTCATGTTCTCTACCTCCATCCGATTTAATTCCCGCACCTCATTACCACTGTTACTGACTTGACCAACGCTCAATTTCTAGTCAATTATATTACGTTATCTAGCTTTTTAACTCAATCTTACTCTAGCTGCTGTCTAATTAACCTTGTTTCTATATTAGATCATTCTTGTATTACCTGATTAGTTATCTAAACTTGACAAACCCCATGTATACATACAGAAATAATTATATATATTTGCGATTGAACAGCTATGTGAATGAATTCGCCGTCGAAAAGAGTCTCTTCGCTGAACGTCTTCTCTTTTTCATATGATGTCGATTTATGTGATTCAATTCATTTTGAAACTGATAAACTCTTTCAATTTATGAGGAAATCACAAAATTAACTACCTATGGCATACACTTATAATCACTTGTCATCAAGTGATATGTGGTCTCAAAAGTTGTGTGTGGTAGGCTTGTTTCTGTATACTTACACAAAATGAAGAATTTGACTTCACCTTATATTACTCAAAGTTTAAAAATTATAGTGAAACAACTCACTTTTATCTTCAGTGCAGACATAGTCATTGTTTGTGCCGATGAAGTAGCCAATGCTCTATCAGTGCTATTTGCATACTCTAACCCAATAGGAATACGACGTTGTCGAGCGAATCGAATCCATGCAGATATCGGAGCTTGATGAAGTTCTGGTATTGTAATCCAACAAAGTTTATTCTCGTTTAAAACACTTTGGTCTAATAAATAATTTGTGACAGCTTTATTTTGTTCCAATAGTTTATCAATGCAACAATCGACAGTATCTAAAACAGTAGAGAATTAAAAAAATTATAATAATAAAAGATTTCTCATAAAAATAATAACGAATAATATGCATTTTCAGAAACTCGATGGATGAATTGACAACGTATTAAATCGACATCCTTAAAGTACTTTTTAGTACGCTTTTTATTGAAATGATTCTTCTTTGCTGAGACTATCTGAAATGGTTTTGGTATGTTTAAATTCAAGTTGAGTATTATGATGTGAAATGAGATACTTAACCACACAAAAGAAAATGCAACTTCCGTTTATTACAGTTTATACTTCATAAGCACTACAGAATGACGACGATAAATAACTCTAGAAGGAAAAAAAATTAAAAAAACAGCCAAACAATATTTTAGATGATTGATTTCATAAAGAAAATCAAAACAAATGATTCAGCGAAGAGACTCTTTTCAACGAATTTATCATGAAGCTGTACAATCGTATATATATATATATATGGTTTTTAAGGAGTTATATCCGGTGAGGGAATTGAATCATAGGTGTGAATGTATAAAATATTAATAATAATATTAAAAATAATATGAAATGCAATTAAAACTAAAATGTTTGTGATTATAATCGTAGTTAAATGTCGAGTGGCAAAGCAAATTAATGTCATATATAGAATAATTCATAGGATGGATAGAACTTGAAAAAGGGTGTGCAATTCTAAGATTAGTAGACAAATCGAAACACAAATATTGTGTGAAATTTAATAGCATAGAATTTAATGTTGCATAAAGGAATTGATTTAGAATGACAAGTGGAACAAGTGAAATAATACCGGGGACAGTTCAAAGTGAGAGTAGTAATAGTAACAATCGACGTAATAAGGAAGAGTATACAAATTGAATAGACAAAAATGAAAAAGTGGTAGAGCTAAAATATGATTGGGGATTACCATACTTTAGCATAGAGGGATTAAGACCATGAAAGTTGGAGGGGTTGAACGAACTTCTTTTGTGCACAGAGATCTGGCTTTTCTGTTTCGATAGCCAAAGTTTCAACTATACAGATGAGTCGGGTACGTAGGGATTTGGGTAAGTTACTCTTTGCCTTATAGATGACTTTAAAGGCGGAAGCTATAGAGATAGGGTGAACATTATTGGCCAGATGTTCAGTAATCGCGCTTCTTATTGCTCCACTTCCACCTTTTCGTAACCATGCAGGATATGTATGTATATGACATTAATTTGCTTTGCCACTTGACATTTAACTACGATTACAATCACAAACATTTTAGTTTCAATTGTATTTCATATTATTTTTAATATTATTATTATTAATATTTTATGCATTCACACCTATGATTCAATTCCCTCACCGGACAGCTGAGGCCTTGGCAATTCATGACTTTAAGCCAGACCTTTGTGTACAAAAGAAGTATGTACAATCCCTACTTCTGCCTTGGCCGTAGAGGGATAGATATTTATTTATTTTGTTTTAGTTATTCTATGTACTCTTCCCTTATTACTACGATTATTATTATTATCATTATTATTATTACTATTCTCACTCTGAATCTCTTCCACTTGACCCACTTGACGTCTTAAGTCCAAAATTATTTATTTTTATTTTCACAATATTGAATTCTATCTTGTCAAATTTCACACCATGTTATGTAACATTTTATATTCGTCTACTAATCTTATAATTATGTACCCCTTTCCAACATCTATACACCTTATGTATTATTCTATAAATAACATTAATTGTTTTGCCATTTGACATTAAACTATGATTATAATCACAAATATTTTAATTGCATTTCATACTATTATTATTTCATGTATTCACGCCTTTGACCTAATTCCTTCACCGGATACAATGTCTTAAAAACCATATATATACGATTGTACAGCTTGGTAATAAATTCGTTGAAAAGAGTCTCTTCGCTGAATCATTTGTTTTGATTTTCTATATGTTACAATGGGAATTTTCCGTGATTTCATAAAATTGATATTTCGGTTATTAAACATATATGTTTTGATGAAAAAATTCACGTAGGTATGAGTGTATGTCTCCAGTAGAAAAGATTTATTTGTTAATTTGTTTGTAGTGACTGTCAGAGGTGTTCGGAGCGGCTTGCTTGAATCACTGGACTCTCTGAATTGTCGTTCAATACAACGTATCATACCTTATCGAATTCTTATTGTTTAAAAAACCTTTCAGTTATATTTCTGAGTCACAAAATCTACTATATACAAATTTAGCTGGCTTTCAAACTACCGGTGAGCATTGTTCGGAAATATACGGAAAAGATTATGAAGGATTAGGCTACGCTTCAAATAAAACAGGATTGTGTCACATAATATATACTATTGACTGCCAATTTACTTTAAGATCGATCCTGCAAAGAATGAACATACTATGCTGTACATCATGCTGACAATTATTGTATATTCCACATAAATTGTGTCCAGAACACGGCAGTTATATGCACAAAGAATCAGCATGAATTATCAGTGTATAGTTTAATTTCACATTCAAAACAAGTCGATATTACACAAAACAAGTGTGAGACATTTTGTTTCTTTTTATTCGAAGAAGACAATTCTGTGGAACCTAGTAAGGAATACATTTTCACTTATTATGAAATGAAAAAGATATACTACTTAATTTGTGTGGGTAGTATATTTTATATCGCATAATTTGCAAACAATCGGTTATTCCTGTGTCAGTTAAGGGGGCTTAGACTATGAGCAATAAATTGTGCTCGAAACGTCATCAGTAAGTATTACTGTAAAACACTCTGAGACTTTATCAAAATAAATTTTACCCATAATGAAGTTATGCTCTATCGCAGTGCCCAAGTTTATTTCTTGTATCAATTAATTCAGGGGAGTCACTTCACAATAAAAAAAATCTAAATGAATACGACGATTTGTTGAATTAAATTTCCAATCCATTCCAATTTTGTCTGAGGCCTTTCCAGTGTTCATATCATAATATACCAAAAAAATTACTTGGTTTTTGGTGCGATTATGTTCTCTGAGCTGGATAGTTAATTTGCGAAGCTTTCATCACCTTACTAGGTGACATCTTCAGCGCATACTTCAATTTGAAGCTTCGCAAATTAATTATCCAGCTCAGAGAACACAACCACATCAAAATCATCCACCTGAGCTACAAATCGTCTCCATCATATCTAAATTGCTTGGTGTCTTACAATTTTCTTAAATTAAGTGATTACTTCAACTAGCCTAGTTGAGAGATTACTGTAGAAAATACTGTACAATAGGAATTTTGGGGAAAATTATCTCTACCCCAAAGGTAACTGACTTGTTTATATTGAAGAAATTTTATCAATGAACTGAGAATTACAACAATGAAGTCGACTGATGTTAAATGCTAAGTATTTACAGATTTCGACAACTACTACAAAATTAGGTAAGTCAGTGAATACATACTAGAATTCACATATTTTAATTTTACTACTTATTTTATTTCAGTAGTAACACTTAGAAACACAATTGAATTATTGGGAAAATCAAATAAAAAAATGCTATGTAGACAAAAATCACTGCATTATCGTTTATGACGTTCTATGAGCTTTGATAATTTGATCGAAAACATTGGATCACTAAACTTATTGGATATTGTAACGGCATAAGACAATGGGTATTTGATAACAGAATTGAACGATGGAAACTTGATGTACGGACACATCGGTAAAACACGTCTAACATATTTATTGGAATCACAATTGACAGATATCTTCGGTATTGTTCTACTTTTGTCTTCCTTCCTGTTTCCTATGTTGTTTCACATGCATCGTCCAGTTATTCTCTTCGCCAATAAATCCATCTCTCAGCTCCTCGATATTCTTGCAGATAATATACATATTTACATACTAATTACAAAATCCTATGAGTAGTACATGTCACAATATCGTAAATTTAATGGCTAAGGATACCACTAAGAGTGGTAATGGAAAACTGTACAATTGAAATAAGAGAGATCAAATAGCATAAAACCGTTTTCGACCTAACCAATACATTCAGCAAAAAAAAGGAAATATTCATAATGAAGGCAAATAGTTTCATACGGTTAATTCTGTTTAAATCGTTTGACTTTGCCGTTTTGGATTTTATTAATTCTATCTACCTACATTAGTGGTTATTTGTATACTTCCTGCTATACTGAGAGTGCTTATATTTTTGTATGCTTTAATAATCTTTGTTCTCATCCTCTCTTAAACATCTCTCTTCAAGCCATCGTAAAAGACAGATAACTTTATCATTATTTAGACGAAGCAATAATAAGACGTAATTTATCTGAATCGTGTAATGCATTTACGCACACAACCCATTTCGAACAATCTGATCAATCACACATGGACTTGTCATAGGAATATATATATGAAATTAATAAAGAGTTGAGAGGTGAGAAAATAGACTACTTAGGTCAAGTTAATGGGACAAAATGACAATGAAGATCAAAACAAAGTTTATCAAGGAAGGTAGGTTTAGTGTGATGAATTGCTTTTGAACGCATGAAGGTGGTTTAAGCTTCCTAGGGCTTCTACAGACTTTAGGATACGCCCCAAACACGTTTAATAAATAGGTTTAAAAGACGTGTAAACATCAATTTTATGTCCTGTCTCCTCTGTAATATGTTTTGCATAGAACATCTAGGTCTCCTGTTTCCACCAATAATGGGTTCTGGAGATTCTATTTGCTTCTGAAGTCAGCCCCTATTTGCAGAGATCGATGAGTCCTCCCTATGTATGTGTCCACACGTACATTCAAATTGGTAATTACAGTGGGATGTGACATCATTTTTCGCACGTTCTAAGGGCTTAGATGGATATATTAGCTTCACCTCCTCAATTCTTGTGACCTTAAATGCATTAAAACTCTTTTTAACCACAGCGTCCAGTCTTTGTCGACCTAGCAAGCTGCTATGGTCACCCATGTAGAATAGCCTGATATATACGTTTTCCGATTGGACACTAGTAACTAGTGTGACGTGTCTAGTCCTTTCTTTCGTG